TTATTATTTTTTCAGAACTTTTGTTAAATATTAAAAAAAAAAGTTCCTAGACCTACAATGACATAAGTACCTATTTTATTTATAAAACTATATGTCGGTAATATTATTGTATACCGTAGTTAGATGCTACTTTTAATTATATCACAGCATTCAATTGATTTCCATAAATTTAAAAAACCTCTGTGCTCACTTCCATTATGTTAGTTTCCATTTTCCTCTATACAAATAAAAAATAAATTTATTCAAAGATTACTTTCTATTAATCGAGTTGCGTTTGCATAACTCGAACTAGTTAAATTTCAACTCGATATTTATCAGAGTTATCAGATCCATAACAACACTAACAAATCTATTCTCTTTGGTTTAACGTCATGAATTGACGTTTAGATCCAACAATTTGTGCTGCCATCTAGTGAGTTCTACTTTTTGTCACTGACATTTTGAAACTATTAACATAGCGATAAATAAAACTAAACCTCTAGCAAAGAGGTTCAACGTTATAACAGTATAGTTTGCGTTGTATAGTTGAAATTAAAAAAGCATCCCTTGCCGAGTTTCTTGCAGATTCTTGTCAGTACAAGATCTCCCGCCTTAGTTTTGCGAACCGTTGGCAAAGTTTTCGACTTTCACAAGTACTTTGTACCAGCCTAGTCTGAATTGATTTTGATATTTATATTAATATCATTCGTTTTGTGGATGCATAATCACACCTACAAATACAATACAATACAATTCTGCGCTCCGCTTTTGTTATTCATTCCAAACCTGAATTCGAATGAAAATTACGAGCAACCAATAAGTTGACTTATCACCAGTGGTCGGAATTAGGTAGAGTTATTCATGTACTCACACTGATTTCATACAGCGAAAGAATAAAGTGGATATGCCTCAAATCTCGAGATTAATTTTAAAGAGCAGAAAAAATCCCGTGATTTTTTAAATAAAACGTTATTAACTTTTACACAATCTAAACTACTGCACGCACGACGTTGTGGTTGGTTTGACTTCTAGTGCTGTGGGCGGCGACTCTGTTAGTAGGAAAATGATTATTCCCATCCTAGACGAAATTCTTCCTAATATCTCTCATATATTTAACCAGTCCATTCATACGAGTATCTTTCCTTCTGCTTGGAAAGATACTTATGTTACTCCGTTACCTAAAAAATCCAAACCACAATCCTTTTCAGACTATAGACCGATTTCCATACTACCATTCCTCTCTAAAGTTCTGGAACGCCTCATTCACAACCAACTATCTACTTTCCTCTTCAAAAATCATCTCCTAAATCCTTATCAATCAGGTTTCCGTGCTGGTAATAGTACCACCACTGCACTAGTAAATGTTACAGATGATATCAGGTCAGGAATGGAACATGGAAAAGTAACGGTTCTCTGTCTACTAGATTTCAGTAACGCGTTTTGATATACTATTTGGCATTTTACGCTCTATTAACATATCTCCAGCAGTGGTTGAATGGTTTCATAGTTACCTGTCTGGACGCCGTCAGCGAATACGCATTGAGGATTCCTTTTCCACTTGGTGCAACATTTCTGCCGGGGTGCCGCAGGGTGGCGTTCTCTCTCCATTACTTTTCGCTATATTTATTAGCTCAATTTCACGACAACTAGTTTCATCCTTTCACCTTTATGCAGATGATCTACAAATTTATTCCCAAGCTACTCCTGACCAACTAACTTTTGCCATCAATACTGTAAACCGTGACCTTGAGTTTGTTGTTGATTGGAGCAAGTGTTACGGAATAAAAGTTAATCCTTCAAAAACTCAAGTCATGGTAGCTGGCAGCCCCGTAATGACTAATAAAATTGACTGGTCATGTTTACCTGCGATTTCATTTGGTGGAATTACTTTAACCCCCAGTGACTGTGTTAAAAATTTAGGCATAGCTAGATAAAAACTTAACATGGTGGTCACAAATTGAGGAAGTTAGTCGTAAAACCTTTGCTGCTGCTGGTTCTTTGAGGCGGTTGCGTAACTTTTTACCAATAGCAACTAAGACTGCGCTTGCACAATCTCTTCTTTTACCAATCCTGGACTATGCCGATGTCAGCTATCTAGATCTAACTGAGGAGCAACTAAATAAACTTGACCGGCTTCAAAATTTTAGTATAAGATTCATATTTGGATTACGCAAATATGATCATGTATCTGATTTTCGCACTAAGCTCAAGTGGTTGCCAATTTGTCTTCGTCGGAATGCCCATATTGTTTCCTTGCTTTACAGTATACTGTTTAATCCTTTCTCTCCAACGCATCTCAGGGAACGTTTTAATTACCTTCACGATACGCACTCCCATGTTTTGAGATCATCAGAGAACCTAAAACTGCAGACGCCGATCCATTCAACAAAGTTTCTCGACAAGTCTTTTGCAGTTCAGGCTGTCCACATTTGGAATAAATTACCAGATGATATAAAGCGTGCACCATCATTGAATGTCTTTAAAAATAAGGTAAAAGAGCATTACTTATCTGTCACTTTCTGAACATTAAATTAGGCTATTGTATATTTATTATTATATATGTATATATTTATATGTGTATATATTTATATATGTATATATTTATGTTTGTATGTGTGTATATATTAGTATGGAAATTTTTTATTTCAACTCTGTAGGACACCATTTACTACCCATCTTTTTTATGTAACTGTCCAGTCTAACTTTTGGTTGCCTGGAAGATATTGCTTTTTAGCGATAAGGCCGCCAATTGTACTGTTTATTGTTATTAAATTGTTATGTTGATTTTATTTTCAAGTACAATAAAGTGTTCATTCATTCATTCATTCAATGACATCGGATGTCCAAAGTTGCAAAATACCAATTTGTATTGTAAATTAATGTAAACTAATAAAAACTTTATGTTAATTATCTTTGTTTTATTTGTCTATCTCTGACGTTGTTATTATTATTTAATTGTAAGATTGTTGGCCACACGGGATTGTCCATTAGAAATCCCAGGAAGGTCCACATTAATATCAACATTTCGATGCAAGTACATAAATAACTCTACCTAATTCCGACCTCAGAGTGTCAAGTGTAAGTTTTACGCTAACGCGTTCACTAGTGAGCGCGTTAAGAATTTGTATGGAGATTTGTAATTCTTGGTAGTTACCGCTAGGGGCGCTGTACCGGATTCCATACTAAAATCTTAACGCGCTCACGATCGACAGTGAACGTAAACGTCAAAAAAACTTACACTAAGCGCTCTGCTTATCACTAAGGTTGACGTATCAACCAAATCGTTCCTTTACACGTAACATAATAAACAACTTAAACTTACGATAACAATAAATTAAAATTAATTTGAAAGTTAGATATTATAAGAAACAAAAAACGATGTCATATTTATTAATTTTCGATACTCAATTTACTGTTACTACGTTAGAAACAAAATTGGAATGAATATCATAAACAAAATCCAAACATCGCGAGGGACATCTAGTATGATTTCAAGAACTAATTTTTATTTTTTAAATACTTCCTCGTTATTACCAAAGAATAGGGTATTTGACACTATCGAAAATAAGTTGCATTTTGTGGTCATCCTGATAGATAATATTCTAATAAAGCTTATTTCTTAACATATGCAGAAAAAACATGTTTAGACTTAGTAAAATGACGTAAAGAAAATGCAATATTTTTAGGAATTTATTCAACGATGAAAACTTTCTATAATTGGTCGTCGTCACAACCAATCACGATTCTGTTTACTGGCCTGTGTCGTCATCAGCTGTCATTTCAAAGTAGTGTTAGAAAGATAGGTACATAAAATATCGATACCTGTAGGTATCGAGTACTTTATAGTAATTTACTGATAACATAATACTTTGCCGCTTCTACTGATAAGAACTGCCAAAAAGAAATACAGAAAAAAAGAATCATTTACTAAGCTTTTTAATAAATCCAAGAAATAGGGGAAGCGCCAGCAATTTAAAAAAAGAGCAACTTACATGTTTTTGTCATTTGTTGAACTTTAATAAAATAATTCAAATTACAAAGTCGATTTTGATGATATATACTGTTCATTTAGTGGACAGACATACTAGATGCATGAAAAAAAAATAGAACCTTCTTTATCGTACTAATGTCTCATCCATCTGTAGTGTCTGTGCGCGCCTACAGGCTGTGAAGTGCGAGCCCTGTCAACAAATATAAATAAGTCGCAAAATGTGTATGACACAATAAAAAAGTTTCAATACTTTTAGCGAATCCTTACCTAATTTTATCACCTATCTCTACTCTATATAGCTACTATACTATTGTGATTGTGAATCTATTTTCTTCTAGACTCGAAGTTTGTTTGTTACTTATAGAAGTATTAGTACATTGTGGCAACTACAACAAAAGCTACAAGTGTGTAGCTCATTTAAATAAAAAACGTAAAAGAAACGCACTACGACTTCAATTTCTCTTCTAAATTATTATTTCAATTTACTCTAAAGCCAGTTGTTACTTATCGATTTAACATATTTACTGGCCTGTGACGTCACGATCAGCGCCATTACATAGAGCAGCGTTTTTCGCGCGCTTTTGGCTATTAAAATTTTAACAATTATTTTCACCAAAAATATAAAAGATTCCAATGAAATATTATGACAGTGTGTTTATAATGTAGCAAACAACGATTTAAAATAGTTTTCAGAAAAGTGTCAAATACCCTATTAACGTCAATATACGATATCATAAATTCAACAATATCTTTTAAAAAAATCGCTATCGCATGTCAAATAGTTGTAGCGTGAAATTCTTTCAAAGTTAAATTGAAAGGGATTGCGTCTTTTTTTTATATTTGACAATTAAATAGGCCCATGGTTTTACATGGTGTTTTTTTTCACCTTTTCCTCATAACAGACAAATGGTACCGAGTACCGAGGTAAACAACATTTTTGTTGGTGGAATCAAAAGTTCTTTAAACAAGTTTATTCAAATAAAATTTTGACTGTCATGAAAATTAGGATATTAAAAAAAAGATATTTTATTAAGATATGGTCAAAATATTTTATTAGTTAGCTTACAAATACATTATCTTATATAGGTTTAATTTTAAAATGAAGACCAATTAGTGAAAATACCAAGCATTTAAGATCTTGGACAAGGTAGTAAAAACAACGTAGACCTTCAGGATCTCGTGACTGATTAACATCAACTAATGAACCAGTTTTTGAAGTTGTGAAAGATATATGTTCTTCACCGATCACTATCTCCAATTCCTGAAAAAAAAAAACCTTATTAGAAGCAGAAAAATAGGCATATAGGTCTGCATTCATGTGAGTATATTAAGAGTGTATAGGTATAGTGAGGAATATTCCTAGAGAAATGTACTAAACAAAAAAGATCAATAGCCTTGGCAGAATCTTTAAATGCTGACCAAACTTTTGGCGCCTTCCTGACACTAGCGCACGGGGCAAGTGGCCCGTTAGTTCCGGTTCTGTTTTGCAACTCCAGTACAGCAAGCCAAGCAATATCTTAGTACTTTAGTTCAAGTAACTTCTAATTGAGATACCAATATAATTTTATTTCCATGTTATTTGTATATTCTAAGGTAATTTGATATAAAATGTCATGTGAAGTTGGAAAAAAATATTTTTAATTATAAATTTCTGGTTTATTGAACGAAAAAACAAAACAAATTCCCAATTTTAACTTATTTCCCAGAAAATCAACTAATATTCTCAAATAAAGACTATTTGTTTAGTACACAATCTATTTAATTGACTGCATTATAAATTTTTGAAGAATGTATTCCTTAATTATTTCCATTCTTTGAAGGCACATTGTAACTAGGATAAAAATGACTATGTTTAATCAATTTAACAATCCACCAGCCCCAGGGTATTTTTAGCCTAATATTCTTATTAGATCTTTTGGCGCCTTCCTGATTTTTTTTCAGGCTTCAAAGAACGTTTTTGGCCTCCAACTCACCTATAAGATCATAACACTGAACTCTAGATCGTAGCACTACACAAAACAAGCATAGAAATCACCTCATACTGCATGCGAGCCCTTCAGACCAATGAAAATGTACTTGCACTAGTCAACAAACCTTGGAACTCTTATACATTTATCAACATCATGTCTGTCTGTGCATCTGCCAGTATGTCACAGCCACATAGCATAGATTATTATCAAGCATAGTTTTATGGTAAGGCTTAGGACCTGAGACTGTATAAGTAGATGTATTGTATTAAATGCTTTAAGATTTTTTCTTTACTAATTTAAAAATATTTAATTAGGGTTTTTTACTGTTGTACTGTTATACAATAGTAATATATTTTTTAGAGCTCTCTTTTAAAACTACTGAGCCGTGTTGTCGCAGTCATATTCAGTGCTGTGTTACACACTGAGGAACTGCATGAAATTTGCAAGTGTAACTCCAAATTGCCATAACTTTTTAATTTTTATAAATATTTGAGAAATTTTTTGATTATGCTTATTCTTTCATTTGAAACAGAAAAAAAAAATTGTTAAATTGTTCATTGACCTAAGTATAAACATAATCCTGAATCTGACAATTTTAAGAGACTTGACGAATATCTTTATATTTAAATGTTACCTTATTCTGTAGACAATAAAAATTATAATCAATTTTGAATTCCAAAAATATATAGTAACTTGAATAATAAAATATAAATCAATAATGTAATCATTAATAAACACAATTGTTAAGATAAAAGAAGATATAATACATAAAAATAAAATAAAAAGAAAAGTCAAAATTTTTATTACAGTCAGAAGACCGTTCTGTAGAACATTTCTAATCTAACAGGTTGTCCAACCCAACTACAATATGAATTTTGTCTAGCCAAGCCATATTACAACTTTTTTCTTATTTTTTTATCGATTTTGCATTAGCATAACATAATTCACATTTACTTAACTTAAAAAAAGTCATGTAAAATTGAGATGAAGAAATGGTCTTACTTGTCGGCCAACTCTATCCGGCTGCGGCCATAGGTGATCATCTTCATGCATTATTTCCGAATCCAAAATAACTCTTTTCAATTCCTCCATTACACAAGGATGAACATAGGCTTCCTTGCGAATCATAGTATCATTCTTGTAGTTAGAATTGTTAGCATAACGTAATTTTCCATCAGGTCGGAATTCGAATTCTAAAAATTCGTGACCAAACTTTCCCTTATGCCCGACGTAATATCGGATGTAAAAATCTGTTGACATGCTTGTTTAATTTATGTCAGCATGGAATAAATGAAAATATTTTGGAAGTAATTAATTATAGCAAACGAGCAATTTTAAAGAGAATGGGTACTTTATTAATTTATTACAGTCAAATATAAAATCAACAAACATAACCTCACTGCTCGAGCAATAAAGCGTCACTCAGACAGACCACACCACAGACAGGCTAAGAAGAAGGTACTATGTATCACACAGACCAAGAGGGAGACCAAAGAATATACCTCACGATACTATTTTTTTTTTTGTAAAATGGTTTACCGGCCCTGGCTTCGATGGCCCTCAGCCATTATATTGTCTTTACTACGCTTTTTTCAACTGACCATTGGAAATCATAATAATTAGCGTGCAACGTTGTGTTGTAGTTATTTATGAAACTAACTTACTTTGACTTAAATAAGTAAAATTAAAACAATAAATATTTTTCAAAGCTTACGAGTGGAATCAATATAATAAAGTTTAACTTTAAATTAATTCTTAACTTTAAAGTAAGCCTTCCTACTCCGACAACGAAAAGTGTACTGGTTTTTTAAAAGTTCCGTTTGAAAAAGCGTTTGGATTAACCAACCAAAAAAGTTGTTGCAAAAAAGTCTGGATGGATGTTACCATGAAGCTAAAGAAATGTTACGCGTAACGAAGAAGTATTAAAAAAAACTCAAAAAGCACCTCCACTAGATGGCGACTCTAGCAAAGGTTAATTTTTGCAGAAAACGAATGGACCAAAGACAGTCATTGTCGTTCCATTTAAGTAACTTAATAAAAAACTGAAATTTGAAAAGTTCGAAACTTAGATATCAATACAAATACGAAAAAGTAGACATAGATATGAGTTGTTTATTGAGTTATGAAAACTAATTTACTTTTAAACTTAAAAGAAAATTGGAAAGGTTGTCATGGAGAAATCAAGAACGTACTGTAGCGACATCTAATATGATTTCAGAAATTAGTGATTTTTTTTTATATACTTCCTCATTAATTTCAATTTTACATGTAATAATTAATTTGTGCACTTAACATTGGCAGAATTGTGCGAAATGCGCAAATAAGTCATGAATAAAAAAAAAGAAGAAGAAGAAAAGTTGCTGTTGCTGAATTTCAACAATATCCGAGCCGGTTGATGGTGCTTTATTCAATTTCCAAATTTTTTCCCATAACTCCATTACTTTACCTCTAACATAAGATTGGCAATCGCTTAGTTATATTATTATATACAACATTATTTTCTTTTTTTTTAAGAGCCGGAAAAGGATATTTATTTTGTATATAAGAAAAGTCATTAATCACGACTGCAGTGTATTTTTGTTTATTTTTTTCTTTAATTTTTATTGGGCATGTTGCCAAGATAGATAAATGAGATCGGCCACAGTTGATACACCGCTTAATATTTTTAAGCATATTACATTCTTTATAGAAATGATCTCCACAAAAAACGAGGAAGTATTTAAGAAAAATAAATGAACTAAGAAATTTTATGTCCCTAGATGGCAGCACAAACTTTGTGCTGCCAGGATTTAAATGTCAATTTATAACGGTTTTCTTTCGTGTTTAAAAGATAATTAGTTTTCAAAACTGAATAAACAACTCTTATTCTAAGTTTTGAACTTTCAAATTTCTGTTTTTTAATATGTTAGTTAAAAGGAACGGAAATGACTGCCTTTGGTCCATTCGCAAAATTCGAAACTTAGATATCAATACAAATACGTAAAAATACAAATAAAATATGAGTTTTTTTATTGAGTTTTGAAAATTCAATTACTTTTATACATGAAAGAAAATCGGAAGAGTTGCTATGGATAAATCAAGAAAGTATCGTAGCGACGTCTAGTTTGTTTTGGGGAACTAATTTTTAGTTTTAAATACTTCCTCATTATATTGTATGTTTGTGAGATTAATAATGGCGAACATTAAAAAGTAATTTATTTTTTTATTACTGGCGTTGCCGTTGGATAAAAGGTCACTCACTCAGGAAAGCGGTGTGATTTTGAGTGTACAAACAAATAAATTGTGTGCCTTATATGGTTGGAATAAGCTTCTTTGTCTAAATAATATGAAAAGGGAAAAACGTTCCGAGCATGACAACGACAACGAGGGATGCTGTCCCTTTCTTACAACTGCCAGAATCATTGAACAGGCAATAAATGCTGTTTTTTACAATGAAGAAGTATTTAAAAAAATGTTATTCATCGAAAGCAAACTAGTTTCCACGTTCCTTTGCATCAGGGTGTTTCTTTGGAAATTCAACCTCTGACGACTACGACGATTATTGTCCTTCAAAAATAATGAATCTTGACTGGTACTTTTCTCGAACTTAGAATCTTGAAATTTGGTACGAAGTAATGTCTTAAGACGAAAACCGTATAAATAAAGGAAAAATTGGGAAACCATACATTTTTAGTTACATCATGTAATAAAAATATTTTTAATAAATACCTACAGGTTTTTACGGAACCCTGGTTACGTGAGTCCAACTCGCACTTTATCAGTTTTTGTTGTATGTTATGTAAAGCATTAATGAAGTTTTTATAATTTAAATTTTACCTTATCATCACACTCTGATACATTGTCATAGAACAAAAAATGAATCTGTATTAATATGACTGAATATTATTATGTATTGATTAATTAGTAATAAAGCAGGTTTTAAAAAGATAAAGAAAACTATGACTTTACCAAAGAATCTATTCTGAATTGAAAAATGACATTTCTATTAACTTGCTTGCATTTGTTTTTTCAATGTGTAGAAGAGCTTCAGAGTGCTTTGATATTGGTTTTGCAATTATTTTTAATTTTTGTGCTTAAGATAAGAGAAGATTCTGATATTTTTAAGTTTAATTATGATTTAATTATCAAGATTCTTTGATCTAAGCGAAATAGAGTGAAAATTTTAAAAGGGCGCCATCTGCAAGCGATCCTTTCGTTCCCGTTCCTAGAGAATTAATTTAATGTCTTCGAAAGACTACGTATCAGTACTTATATATTACAAAAACTGTCGTAGAAAATATAACCTGTTGTATTCGTGTGTTATATTAGATTTTAGTAAAAAACCCGTTTGAAAGAAATCTTTCAAAGACAAAGTTCATACCATACCATAGACCACGAGATTATTGGTTTGGGTCGTTCCTTCTGTCAATAACCTTTTCCTTTGAGACCCAGACAAGATGGGTGAGTTATTCGATTTTTCTTCAATTAAATCCCTAATTATCATCACAATTTTGTTATAATTGATTGCATCTTTTAACCAAATTTTTTAAGTTAGTGAGCTGAATATATATTTAGCAATATTTTGAAATCCACTGGTGTTGTGTTATTTTGTGAAGTAATGTTTTAAAAAGTCGGTCTCTTTGCAATTGTGTATAGGTATTAGCCGAGATCATTGGCATAAACGGAGAGCTACAGGCGGCAAACGCGCACCTATCCGCAAGAAGAGGAAGTACGAGTTAGGTCGTCCAGCCGCAAATACTAAAGTAAGCTTTTTTCCATTTCATTAGCAATGTGGCTATCCGGTTATATTTTTGTAGGTTATTTTGTGGGTACTATAATGCTAATAACAATTTTAAGGAATATTCCCATGTGCTTACAATTTAGGTTGTTAAATTTTGGCACTTTTGGCCCACTTTGCCATAAAATTTACAATAATAAATTCTGAGATAACTGATCTAGCATTTGGTGACAAGTTCACTTTTTGTACACATGTCCTATTTCTTCAATTGATTTTGAACTCTCCTCCAATACTTTATGATCAATTGAAGTAATCTGGGAGCTTTGTATTGTTTGACGTACATACGTCACTTGATTTCTTTTTTAATTTACTCTACATCTATTAATAATTGATCTTAATTGATTTCAGTTAGGACCACAGCGCATACATTTGGTGCGGTCCCGTGGTGGTAACACCAAATACCGCGCCCTGCGCCTTGACACTGGAAATTTCTCATGGGGCTCAGAATGTAAGAATCACCGTCACTATTTATGTAGATAGTAAAATTTTAGGTTACCTCAATTTATTTGTTTTGCAGGTTCCACACGCAAGACCCGTATTATTGATGTTGTATATAACGCTTCAAACAATGAGTTGGTGCGGACTAAGACCTTGGTAAAGAATGCTATTGTTGTTGTTGACGCTACACCATTCAGGCAATGGTACGAGTCTCATTACCTGCTGCCCCTGGGTAGAAAGAAGGGTGCCAAGCTGGTGAGTTTTTTTTATTATAAAAGTTTTAATTAGCTAGTTATGATGACTACCTTTTGCGTGTCACATGAAGAGTCATAAGACTTTACTATGATTATGGACTTTAAACTGAAAGTTTATAAATATTCATATTTTCTAAAATGTAATATTTTTGGAAGAACTACATAATATTTTCTTTATTTTAGACTGAGGCTGAAGAAGCCATTATCAACAAGAAACGTAGCAAGAAAACTGCTAAGAAATATGTAACAAGACAGCGCCTTTCTAAAGTTGAGGCTGCTCTTGAGGAACAGTTTCACACAGGACGTCTACTAGGTTAGTTAATTTGAATACTCAATGATTATTTCAGTTATGGTTCCTGTATGTTTGTATCACTCTTTAAACTGAACTATAAATTTCTAATTAACTATGGCCTCACTTTATAAAAAAAAAGTATTGCCGAAGTAACACTTATTATTACACAAAAGCATTTGACCAGCCAGGGACCAAGTGGATTTTTTAAGTATTTTGTATTAAGAATAATTTTCAGTATGGCATTAATAATTAGAACAAAATTCTCATCTTTATCAAAGTTTCAATATTTGTAACAATATTTCTTTCGGCTGTTTGGGTGGATGCCTGAACATTGATGAGAATATGCTTTGTAGTAACAAGTGCTTGAAAGATTTGTCAGTCCTGTTAGGTCCTGGGTAGCTCATTGGTTAGAGCAGTCACCCAGATTGCGAAATGCCCTAGGTAAGATTCCCATCCCAGGGTGCCAGGGACCAAGTGGATTTTTTTAAGCATTTTGTATTAAGAATATTATAGTATTGTTGAGTGTATTAATAAAAGTGATTAAGGTCAATTTTGGTGGACAACCTTTTTCTTTAAGAGCAGTGTAAGCTCTGCTAAGCTTAATGCAATGTAGGTTACTTATTTTCATTATTTTAAAAATATGTAATTGGCAATTTCTCTTGCAGACTATTCTCCTATTATTTGAATTCATACAATTATTTATAAATATAAATAAGAACCTTTTGCCAAAGGTGTTTTTTGAAGTTTTGTTGTAGATGATGTGTTGTGTATGTAACAGTGAACTGAAAAAAACTTAAAATTTATGACAAATTTATTTTTAAACATTTCATGAGTTCAAATTCGAATTCACTTGGGTGTCTGAATTCACTTCAAAAAGTGGCATCTGCGCAATCTCTAACATTTCGTGACACAAGTGAAGTTAGTTTCAAAATGACATTGAAATAAAATATTTGATACACATATAAACAATCAATTTTACTATGTATTTTTATGCAAAAATGTAATCAATAGAATTTCTTTACTAAATGAAGTGAATTCAAATTCGGGTTCAGATTTTTATAGAATAGCCCTGCTGATCTTGGCAAACGGAGACACATGGGCATAACCATTTTTACATAGGAGTGGAGCACAAGAAGTATTTATTTCAAATGTTTTATTGATAACCTTATTTATTGAATTTCACAAGATTTCTATAAAAACCTAGCTAATAAGTCCGTCTTTGAATCATATTAAATGATAATAAATTTTGTTATATCATATTTAATTTCAATTCAAGGTTGAAGATGGGGCAAGCACCCAACCTTACCCCACCAACCCCACCACGGGTACGCCCTTGATTAGAAATGTGATCAGAAATTTTCCAAGATTTTTTCAGTGTTTGATTGTGTACACTGTTACCAGGTGAAATTATCTTAACAGTGTCATAAATAGCCTAGCCACACGCATTCAGTTTAATCATAATTTCCTGATCGGGAATACGGATATGGTCCCTTAAACGTGCACCTTTCAAACAAATATCTGATTTTTGGTCTGAACTCTGAAAGAAGTGAATGTTAAAAACGAAACGAAAGCTTTGGATGAAAGGCGTGTCTTCAGGTTTTCGAATCGGCATTTCTGATCAGGATAATGGTCTAGACTTAGGAAGTCTTTGTATATAATTTATTCATATGTTTGTTATCTATCATTTCAATTTGCACGTGTTTGTTTTCTATATGTAAGGGTCTGTTCTTGAACATTTGTTCTATGTGTACATACATAAAATAGCTATGATACTGTAAGCTATAGGTTTTTCTATACCAATAAAAGTATTCACATAATTTGTCTGGCAAGTGAACATAAACTTTCAATGAGGTTGAAATTCAATTACTTTCTATGACTATTTTATTGAAATTTCATATGTAAATAACGACATTAGATATGAGGCATAGTTACTATATCCCATAACAGGTATTTTACAATACTAGGCTCAACGGAACAAGTCCATATTGAAAAAAAAAAGAATGTATACTAGGCTCCAAATTTCCAAATACTTTATCTTGTATTTCCGTAAATTACTTGATTTTTGTCTATATTGTAAAATATTTTAATCATATTTCCATGATGCACTCAATATGCTCACCTAAGAGTCTTGCTATAACTGACAGTGGTGTAAGATTCTTGCATTTACAGAATAGATTATAAAGGAATAGGCAAATCGTTATACAAAATATTAAATTTAATTATTGGCCCTATTTGTTTGTAGTTAGGGTACCTGATAAACTTGTATTAAGTATTAAATAATAATACTAGGAATAGGTGCGCCGCGCCTTGTTACTAACTTACCTAGTATAACCCAAAACGAATTGGCCTTGTGCCTTAGAATTTTTTTAAACAATGTGTGATATTCAGAAGTTAATAATTTTATGATTAATTTTGTGAATCATTCATATGATGAAATCGAGAAGTTTTGAGGCTGCTTCACAGACTGGAACCGTTTTGGTACTAGTTTTGCAGTTGCATGATCTAACTGTCATAGTTACTCTGATGTTGAGTTTCTGCATGATGAGCATGTTCTTATAAATACTTTGAAATAATATTGGTTATATTTTGTCAACAGCTTGCGTGGCGAGTCGGCCCGGCCAATGCGGCCGTGCTGATGGTTATGTGCTAGAAGGCAAAGAGTTGGAGTTTTATTTGAGAAAGATCAAGTCAAAGAGGGCAAAGTAAGGATGTAAACTTATAAAATAAAACTAAAAAAGTGTACATGTTAGTTTCATTTTACTCACTATAAGAAAATAGTATGTAAAGCTTTAAATAAGCTCTAACATATCAAGGAGTCTGTGGCGTAATCCGCGTTAGGACATGGTATAAATTATGCAAGGCATATCAGGCGCACAAAGCAAACACTGACTAATTACATGCTAAAAGCATCGAATGGTCTATTCCCAGTCCTCCGATCAGTACTGGTAGGAGCAGTGGGATTTTTCCTAATCCACCGATTAATAGATTTGCTGAGGAACGGAATTTTCTTTTGCTATACCTCTGATGAAAAACGTGTATAGACAACTTTTATTTTTCAAGTTATAGGTGTATTTTTCCGGTCCGGAATGACATGAAAAACTCGGATGAGTAGCTTGTGCACTTGTCCGTTTTTTTCCTGATCGGAGCGGCGCAGTGTTAGGAGAATTATTATGCTAAATGAACTTTACGAGATCAGTTGACTGTATTATATATAGGCATAATTTTTATACGCGTGGTGTAGTTTCTTTGAGCAGAAATATTTTTCCCTTAGAATACTTCTTTTTTAAAATTTATTAATGACACAAACAATTTTATTAAATGCGAAAAAGACATTGAGTGTCACTTAATTACTTTTGTAAATCTTCTGTTTATTCTTTATTATTACTTCTGTTGTCGAATATTTATCTATACTTATCAATTGTCTAAAAAAAAAATTGATAATAACAGATTTCCAGGCAAAATTTCATCCCCTATTTTTCGCGATAAAATGTAGCCTGTGTCCTTTCTTAGAGTTAAGTCTATTTACTATATTAATTTCCATTTAGATGGGTTCAGTTGTTTAGGCATCTAAGCGTAACAACACTTCAGCGGTGGATTTACCAGTAGGCTGATTAGGCTGGAGCCTAGGGTGGCAAATAAAACCCATATTTTTATATAAATATAATTTTACACTTTATTGCACAACAAAGTAAGATATACACAATGTGCAATAAGACAGTAATCTTTCCATACTGAACACTTACGAACGTAATCCCTATATTAAAGATCACTAAACGCTCTGTAAAAATAGGAACTTATGTGATAATTAATTTTTATAATATAGGCACAACAATTTTTTTTATTTAAAAATTTGATTTTTTTGGACTACATTTAAACGCGTTTTTTACTCATGCTATTAATCCTTATCAAAATAAATTATTTCATCACAAAGTACAGTTTATGTAGATAATATTTGGTGTTTGAATGATTTGGATGTTTGGTTTTGAAGTAATGGAGAAATTAAAATATTACTATTTCTGGTGCACGGCCCGTCGCGAAGTGGACGTCACCGAGGCGGGGGTGCACGTACGGGAGGGGAGTTTAGATCTATGAGTAAGGTACCAATGGACCACGCGGGCAAAGTTGCTGGCGGAAAGCTAGTAACAAATAATTTTTTAGGAATATATTCAAGTATATATCATTTTATGTACGCAAGAAAACATAATTCATATATTATGAGCTATACTAGATGGCGTTAAGTATATTTCTACAACGCACTGTTTTGGTCAAGGATGGGTTTTAAAATTAAATGTAGTAAGAATTTTAGGCTTTGCTATATTATAAACGGCGTTTATTCTTTACTTAATTACGTTATCGTTTTGTTCAAAGAATTACAGTAAAACTACTAAATAAATATCGGATTTAGTTAGACCATGCAATTATAAATACTGGAAAAAGAAAAAATGTCCTCTACTTGCTCAGTGTTATTCGGATATAAAACAAGTCAAATGTTACACTTCAGAAATTAGTCCTATGTTAAGCCTAAAATTTTGGGTAAGCTGTATTGACCACAATGCACTTATTGTGGATTAATTCATTCATTCAATTCACGAATCTGGATTCTATAAAATCTGCTAAAAAAGACTATGAATATAATGTATTATTACAAAATTTTATAATAGAATTGTATACAAAGTACAACAACTGGCATTTTATACAGATTTCTCAAAATGCAATGATGATTCTGGAGCAGGGTTGTATGATCAAAGTACAGGATATGAAGTAGTATAACAATTATGTCATTGGAACTCGTTTCAATATCCAAGGCATTATCATATGCCAAATATCTAAAATTGACACAATTTGTAAGTAGGTCTGTGTATATTTCTGTAACTCATACATAATTCACTTGAGATAGGACGAACATACTTTTTAAGGTGATAAAATGGTGAAAGAGGGATTGAAAGTTTGTGTGGAAGTTTATCATTGTCAAAGATAAAATCATGCAACTTAAATTAAGTTATTTTACACGACATAATAAATAATATTTGTTTGAGCGTTTTTGGAAAACGCGAACGAAGTCGCGGGCAAAAGTATAGTTTTAGTATAAATCAAATATATTCAATTAACTTCAAATAACAGCCTAGACTACTTATACTTGTACTTGTACTTTTGGTTAAGTTAGTGATAAAAACAAAACCCATTCAATCGGAGGTATGGTAAAGCTCCTCCTATCAAACCACAGAACATAGAGAGAGATATCAAACCCATTAATCCGAAGACTGGGAAAAATAATCCCGCTGCTCCTACCAATCGGGAGTACCAATTGGAGGACTCATCGAATTCGGCAGTCGTCACCATTCTTTGACTGTATTTGTTTTAATTCGGCTAACTTAGCGGCAGATATTTAACTTTGTTCCATAAGACGGCAGATATTTGACTGTTCCAGCCAATGTACCAAGCCGTTTCTGGGCTTTTTATTATACTAGCTTTCCTCCAACGACTTTGCCCGCGTGATCCTGTATTATACATATAAACCTTGCTCTTGACTCACTCTGTATATTGATGAGAAACGTATTAATATCTGCTGTGAAGGATAAAAGATCTTTGCGTACAGACAGATAACAGGACGCGACTAGTTTTATATAGTTTTTTGTCATTTGGAACTTTTATTACGAGTGAACGTTCAGAATTGAATTTTGTACGCAAATTATAATATAGCAAAGCACAGACAACGGGAAACAACTAGTTTTATACAGTATATCGTCACCTAGAATTTTTATTATGAGTTAAAATTATTAACGAATTTTGAATATATTTCATTTCTTTATTTCATCTGATTAACCGCGGTAGCTAACTGCGTTTTTTTGCTATCGTTTAAGAGGAGGAATGGTAAGGTATAAAAAAAAGATCCAAATATACTATAATATTCTTGTATTGAGCGGGTCTACCATTTTGCCTGCCATCAGTGCCACGTGTATACTGGAGTCCATTACGAAGTACAGGAAGGGATAAGTCGCAGTAAACGATACAGGCTGTCGATTGGTTACGTATCCTGTGAAAATAAAATAAAAAGTTTTAGATTTAGAGTTCGATAAGTAAAAGGTTTGGTTTAAAAGCTAAAGCGCGTCGGCCTGGGTTTACGTGTAGTGTGCAAATTCGTATTTAGGTGGAATAATATAAGGTTACTGTAATTTAAAGACATCGTATCTGGAGAATTCAAATAGATTTTGGGATGTTATCGATTAAATCATTGAATCTTTTTAGTTAGCGGATAAATATGGTGACAAATTACTAAGTACCCAATATTGGAACTATTCGGTACTTTGAAACTTATAGACGTATTTTTCCGGTAACTGTTCAAGTTACCGATTCGAGTTGCTGTATATACACATCATAGCGGTATATAAATTGTAATTAATTTTTATTTTGATTTCCGGCTTTAATTTTTTTACTACATTTTTTAAACAACTAGGTTCAATGTTTTGTCCCGATTTCGCCCGTATCATATGATGTAGCCTACCGTACCTTCGTTCGTGGCTGTATTTCTAATATAGAGTTTCGAGAACGCTTGGGAATTTATATTCAGGTCTACAGTCCTTGAAGGTGTAAAAAAAAAACTTTTAAATTATGGTAACATAAAAAAGTCGTTTACGTTGCAAAAAAAACGCATATTTCGATACTCACAAGGAAATGAAAATTACTTCCCGTTAACTAGTTAGAACTATGGCGAGCAACATCGCTTTATATCTAGTACAAGTCCGAAGGAACTACCTATATATTTGTAATTAAATCAATGTCTCTGTCATTGATTCTTTCGACAGGATCAATAACATCGTTGATAAAATTTGCGATAAAATTAAATAGTGGTCCAAGATGTGAGCCTTGAAGGAACTTGGAGTTAACAGATAAAGAAGTCGATAGGGTAGTGTAACGACCGTGCATATTACTATAGGAAGGTTTACTCTCCGATATATTTATGGTTAATGCTGGCTGTTAATGTTTTGAATTATAATTTTTTTCGCGATCGAATTCGTGGTCTTGTTTTGTTGTTTGAAAATCTTTCTTTTCTGATGGCAACCGGCTCCGAGACAGTATCATATAAAAATTACATACAAGTTATTTGATGTATATATATATATTATTTGGTAATAAACTCGAATTTTGGAACAATTTTACCAAGGATTTTATTCTGTAACCCTGAGCTTTAGTTCCACTGTCAGAGTAGCTAACAGTAGCAGGTTGAATCTGATAACTTGATTCCGTAATAGGGGAGTAGTACCTTGGAGTCTTATAATTCTAGTAATGATGAGTGAGAAAGTAATGGGAATTTGAAAAATACAACGGAATTTTGAAAGAAATTCTATAATCTATTAGAATAGCAATTGCAAATTTTGGCTACTAGTTGCTTTAGTTTTATTGTTCTATTCAACACCTACATATGGTACCTATTATGTTTAGAACAAACGTCCTTGGTTGCAATTTGAATGCGACAGGCTGATGTTAATCAAAATCATTGAATAAAATTGAGCCTTTACCAACAGGAAATCATCAACCAGTAATTTTTCTAGCTACAGTCATTTATGTAATTGAAAACTGCTATCAGTAAATTATCATTTTCATCGAGCCCCACGATTAGGTATCGAGGCCAGCGACGATTAATGATACATCTGGTTATCTTATCGTTATTATTATAAAGGTTTATTTTGAACGGGATAGTTTGATTTATTAGTGCAGTTCATTATGGTCTACAATGAGCAAGCAGCATCAATGAACGCAAATATGCGTGTCGCCGCGTTGCGCCAGCGCAGCGCCCGTCCGCGTCGTATAAACAATGGACGCCACGAGTCGTGCACTCAAGTTAGCACTTAGTTTTGCACCCTTTTTGCAACAGTTATTGTATTAGGTGCATGCTCTGATAAATAAGCACATTCTCGCATTGACATTAACAAGATTTCATATGTAAACCATATTTTTTTACTCTTCTCAGATCCATCTACATAATATCCCTCCGTCCGATCACTTATCCTGCTAATTCATTTATTTAACACAGATAAAGGACGTAATATAATACACACGGCCGCATACGCATCACCACCGTAAGCAGACCTCTGTAAGTATCCGAAGCACGGTCGGTATTAAGTCGACAATGTATAGTCTGATGTGCAGCCGTATGGTACATAAAAAAATCTAAGAGATGAATATCTTGTTAAAATTAAATACGCCTGCGCTTGCTCTGTGGGTTGGTTCTGTTATAGTTTTCTCTCAAGCCGTATATATTAGTCAAGATATTGGCAGATACGTATATTCAATGATTATCCATATTTTTGAATTAGTATAGACTGTCTATAACGTTCATGAATTGACCTTCATGGTTTTCAGTTTGATAAATTGTGTAAAATCAATTTAGCTTATATTTTTGGAGTACATCAATGCCATCGAAGTATGCTCCAAGCGCGTCGGCCCGTGACGATGACGCGACTGTGTATGTACATATATATATACTGACCTGCATTAGGGCTGCCTAAATCTTTACTTAAGTCCTTAAGAATAAAGCAGGTACCTCCATGGCCGAGTAGCTCATATGTTATTTTCAAGCGTTGCCATCTCTGACATCTTGGTTTCGATCCCCCGTCAGATCGATATCGAAAATTAACTTCTATGTTGTCTAGACTCGAGTTTATGTGTTGAGGTCTTTTCCTACGTTTTTTCAGTTTAAAATTTTCAGATTTCCATAATACAAGGACTTTAGCTAGGCTAGTTTCTTATTGTGACTCTAATATTAATGTTATCTAATTTGTCATTTAAAAAAATTACTTTATATATATATAAACTATATATTTATATTACAAACCTATTTTTGGTTAGTTGTAAGTTATGGAACATAGTGGTTTAAATACGTAAAGAAGTCCTTTTTTGGTACCTACTTAAAAAGCAGCTTATAAAAATATTAGGACAATCAACATCGACCCTGGGACCTCGCCGGCCACTTACCCGTGGAAGTAATTATGTGGATCGTACCGGAACCATAACATGGGGATTGTAGACTCGACCGACAAGTCATTATGAGCCCACACATCGACTAGAGGTAACTTAAGTACAATGTCGACTAAGAGTAGGTACTCGTTAGAGATGGTATTCTTTATTGCACTACAGGGCAGACTATTTGATTTAGATTTACTGTGTAACAGTCCAGAGTTTAAAGTTTTGTAATCTGAGAAGAGGCGATTTAAACTTACTATTCTTTTTTATGTCGTCCGGACGATATTTTCTGATGGCTACGGAAACTGCCTGTTCGATACTGCGCACATACACTCCTGACTGTCTCGTCATTGGCGTGAAGTCGTGCTGCCGAGGTTCAAACACATCGCGTATGCCCAACTGTAGGTGATCAATTATTGGATCATGTATTCTTTTTAGTAGCAAATGTAAAAGAGTTATTTCATAAAAATAAAGTAAATGTTTTTGGTTAAAATTCACCTTCTGCAAATCCGTTGTAAGCGTAACATGCCCTTTAACTGTAAAACTGGGCACTACGGCTCGGACGCGGCGCGGACGCATCGCTGCATACACATCGGAGAGATCGGACTCACGGGCCATGCGCGAGAGCAACCGCCCGAGCTCCGCCGCACCTGCTCTTGACGGCAGCACCACCAACAGGTAGTACCGTTCACTGTCCAAAGGTAACCTCAGAGCTGCTGCCTCCAGGTGCGGCAGATAAGCGTGCTCTAGTACTGTGTCGTAGTGCATGTATGTCACCTGTGAAAACAAAGCATTCATGATAATTAACATGTTTGTACTCTATTGTTATTGCTAAGTGATCTATTTCACAGAACATTCTTCATTTTATTATACACAAATTGCGGCTGTTGTCATGTTATTTCCTAATAACGTAAGTACTTCTTAAAACTCATTGTCATTTGCCACCGTAACGTGTTATAATAATATAAAAAATATCAGTTACGAATCTCGTTTGAAACTATTCGTTACATGTTAATAATAGAACTAAAATGTAAATCAAAGCTACTCACCTGAACACTCTTTAATCCATTTGCTAAGAACATTTTATTATTAAAATTTGGTAATGGTAAGTCCAAGCCAACGTCATACGACCTATATATTAAATAGTCGTCCATGTACGGGGGATTAGTAAAGATAAAGTCGACAATAGATTTCTTCCTACGCTCCAGAGTTTCCAAAGAGGATTCATTACTAGATGTGGTGGTTACAGTGTCTTCTGTGGAAGTTGAAGACTGTTCCATTACAGGTGATTGCGTGGTGGTAGGCTCGGTTGGGGTATTTAATGTTACCGATAATATTGTAGTAGACATATCAATTGTGGTACTATCTGATTCTGTGCTGGTTTTTAAATCAGTAGATGTCATGATTTCATTATTAATAGTTGGTTCATTAAGTAATGTTGTTGTTGATGGAGAGGAGGTAACTTCATTTGTTGTCATAGAAAAGGTTGATGGAATATCTGCGTCTACTGAAGTGATAATTTCAGTAGTCAAAACCGATTGTTGTGTTGTCGTTATCAATTCCACAGGCTGGACGGTAGATGTCGGTTGACTAGTAGTGGTTGAAGGAATTTGACTAGTGGTGGTCGTAGGAATGCTAGTAGTTTCAGGTGGTATACTTTCAGCGTTCGCTACAGGACTCATAGTTGTACTGGGAGGAGTAGGCCCCCGAATATCTATCTCATTTATGGTTTCAACATTCGGGTTCGGGGTTGTTTCTTCTGTCATTGCTGTTGTAGTTGCTTCTTTCCCTTCTGTTCTGGTTTCAGTGTTCATGCTTGTCGTGGTAGGTTCTCTTGAGCTTGACACATCTGGAGGCATTGTCGAATTTCCTGTTGATGTCGTATTTTCCGGCGCAAGAGTAGGTAGTTGGTCATTTTCCAAATCAAAACCGTAAAATCTTAGAACTTTTTTATAATTATCGTTAAATGTTACATTCTCATTGTTCAATGCTAAGCCAGCAAGGAATCCTTCTTCAGGTACAAAGTATGTCTGAAAAAAATATCATAGTTATTTCAAAAATACTTCAGGTAACAATTGTCGATCAAAGACAAAATATAGATAGATACGTATTTTTACATTATTTCAAACTTATTTGAATAAACCATGGATTTATGCAGATAATACATAGGTTGATGATTGTGTCAGTTATAGTCTACCTTTCTAACTCTTTATGGGGTTAAAGGGCATTATTTTACATAATCGTAAGTATATGAATTACCTATAGTCCATTACCGAACCGATATCATTTCATATTAGGTAGGTCGCAATTTTTTTGAAGAAAATTTTTTAATCATTCATGAGAGCCGGTCTCAGTGTTTGCAAACGTTAACACCACTAATCCGCATTGACCCTTCGTGGTTGGTTATTGGGCCATATTGAGTCCATAGTTATAGGGAATGCCTATGCCCCAGGAATCTATTAATAGTGTGTTGATGATGATGTTTTATGAGTATTTATAGGGACACGTATTTAAATTTTTTAAGACCTGGATTTATTTTTGGCACTCTATTAAAAATCCCAGGAATCTCATGATGAGATTCGGACGTAATACGAATAAAGTTGAAGCGAGTTAGTGTTACTCCATCACAGTGCATTTAAGTATGACCTATGATAGAAAACCCAACATTTTTATTACGGAAAAGTTTTTTATTTTTAAGAGATATGTTACCAAATTAAGAATACATTAGCATACTTATTTGAAATTGTTTATCTTGAACCACTTAAAATACTTTAAAACGTGTACTTGCCATTAGAGTATGGTAATGCTTCTGGTGACTTTAATTTTCTATAACAGAATGGTAAAAAATGTCAAGCTTTTTAGTTACAGATCAGCTAATGAACACAATTGGCGCTATGCCATTGTTCTCAACTAGAAAGCGGTCACATCGGATAACTTTAAATGCGGACTTGACGAAGTCCTTAACATTGCTTGTCCTCTACTAAATCAAATTAAATTAGGCATGTAAGCATGTTTTTTGTTTTAAAGTAAAATATTTTTTGTTGTATAGGTTGTTAAGATCAGACAATCCAACCTACAACTTATCGGTATAAGTACTATATCTTTTGATCTTTTAACTTGATTTTATTATATTTTCTTCAGGATTGGTAGGGTTGAATATTTACTTTATTAATTCCAGGTTAACTATTCCACTTTTAATTGAGATTAAAATAAAAGTTACATAAGCAACGGGATTATGTAGTAATATTTTAAGTAGATAGGTAGGTACAATTATGCTTCAGTTGACCGATTGTACCGTTTCAATGTATATTTACTACAGTTACCTGTTTAGTATTCTGTGATGTTTGGTCAAAAAATTAAGACAGTCATCACTACTTAACATATTCTAATGGAAAATATTCTTAATGAAAAATACTTAATAAATCCACTTTCTCTTTGGTATTCTGAAATAGGGTCCGAATCTGACGACCTTTCGCAATCCGGGCGACTGCTCTAACCACTGACCTACCCAGGACCTAACAGGACTGACTAATTCCTCAAGCTCTTGTTACTTTTTCGCTACCACAGAGCGTATTTTCATCTATGTTTAGGCAATCCACCAAAACAGGCCGAAAGAAATATTTTTACAAGTATTTTAAATTTTCGATAAAGATGATGATTCGCTCTAATTATTATATTTAATCCACTAAAAAATCCACTTTGTTCTGTGCAGTTTTAAAGCATTTTCATTAAGAACATTAAAAATATTTTCGTATACTATAGCATTATGAATGCAAAATTCATCAAATACTCGTATCATATTGTAATGATCTAATCGACTCACTTTTAAAGTCCGATGAATATCTCTGAATCCTATCCTCATGATGTTTCTGTTCCAGGGGAGGTGCATACTTCGCTGGATCTGGAACGAGGATTCGCCGTCGATGCCCTCGTATAATGCCACCAAAATCCCCATTAGCCCGTACGGAGAGAACGCTATGTTGTTGTCGTTTAAAAAATTATGTTCCGCTAACACTTTTAAGCCAAATTCGTTTGTGGTGTCTACCATTTGAGATAAAGGGGTGCGGCCAGCATCCCATAATTTTATTTCAACCGGGATTCCATGATCATCCGTAGCTGTTGCTAGTGCTACGAGTGCGTAGAGAACGCAGAACCGTGAGAGAGCGCCGCGGGCGAGCGAGCGGCGGCGGCGGCGGCGGCGTGCACTTGGGCCCATCGTGTCCGCGGTTATGACCGCGCTCCGTTGACCACACACCGGCCGGCTCAGGAGTTGCTTTGGGCTATATCCTCGTGTCTAATTAGCATTGAGACCGACGTTTTCGGTGAATGCCCTCACGGTAAGATTTGCTGATGTGCAAATAATATACGGAACATTCCTACATATATTTTGACTGCCAGAAAAAATAAGAGATTTAGGACAGATCGACGTTTTGAACTATTACTAATATTGAGACGGTTTTGGTATGAGGATTTAGTTGGCCAAACCTTTAGTTTTTAATCACATTTTTTGTTTCTCGGGATATTCTATTATTCTGGTTAAATATAAACTTAATTTAAAGTAATGAAATTCAAACTCATTATCACATAAGTAAAATTTTTACTAGTCTGATAGAATTAATTTTAATACTATGAAATACCTAATAAGATACTTTGCACAAACACTGTTTAAAGGTTTTCAATTTGTAGGTGAATTGTCGATTCTAAAGAGTGAAAATCAAATGAATACCTTAGAATATATAATTACTAGGTTTTGCCCGCGACTTCGTCCGCATGATATGGTTACATTGGGCAGCATTCTAAACGTATATTTATTCATCAAATACCGGAAATGAAGTCTCATCAGTTTATTTTTGATAATGACGAACTTCCGTACAAACTTCAATTCTTATTTCATCCTTTTCATCACAATAAAAAGCAATCCGATCTCAAGTCAACTCTGTTTAGTGGCTTAAGCGTGAGAACATAACTGACACAATATACAGACAGACCTACTTTCGCATATATAATATTATGTATTACGATATCGAATCGAATTACATCATATAATAAGAGATTATCAGACAGTTACCTTACTTGGATTGCTTGGTCGATATTAAAACTTACAGCTGTTAAAATTTAAATTCAAAGTTTAATTGTTAATATATCGACGCTGGAAAGCAAACACGTAGTAACCTGCAAAACCAAAATGGATATTTAGAATGGAAAATCTTTAGATTTTTCCAATAAATATATCTTATTTTTGTATCAATTGACTAAGAAACACCTTATTTGTTATCATGGACGTTTATAGGAATTATTTATCGAAAAAAATCAAAGTTTTTCTGCTCTGAAGAACAATTTTGGTTTTACGGGTTACTACGTGTTTGCTTTCCAGCGTCGATATAATGAATATGTCGTAGCCAAGTGGGTAAAAGATCTGTCATTCAGCTCCATTCACTTACACGGCTAATAGTCGATCACCTGAGTAACCTTCACAACATCCTTCTACAGTGTAGCTGACCAGGGAACTGATTAACTATCAAGGACAATTATTATTTTAATAAATTTTTTATTTTATCAATAGCAAAATATCCGCGATATTCGAATAAAATTACTTTGATGTTTAACTTCGAATACACTACAACAAAAAAACTATATGTATTTATTTATTTAAGTTACAGCAACAGCTCTACATCTAATTAACCAACTAGTGTCCACAATGTTACAAAACTTTATGTCTGAAAAATTTAAGCTATTTCATCTAGTATCACCTTCATCAGGCCTTTTACATTCCCACTGCAAGGGTTCAAGCCTTCCTTATGAATTCGTTAAGGAGGATGGGTCATGGACCCTCCACGCCGGCGCAGTGCGGATTGGAGGGCAATAACGAATGTAAATGCAACGGCATAACGTACCTTTCGAATCAAAGAGTAGCTCGATATAATAATTATGTGGTAACCCATCCCGTGACCAACCCTTGCGAAAGTTACTTAACAACAACGATCACGGGCCGCTACGCCACCGAGCTACTCATAATTATTGTAAAGCTTAAAGTTCATTCATAAAGTTCAACGGTCATCGACTGTTTTTGGTTTTCTGACTAGTGCAAACTCATTTATATTTGTCGAAAGGGACCGCATGCGGAGTGCGACGATTTCCGTACTAATGCAAATAAGTGTTTGACTGAAACTGAAAGAGTTTATCACTCACACTATGCATGTGGGCTCTATCGACTAATGTAAATATGCCATTATAAAAGTTAACAGTTCATACAAAAACCGCTAACGTGCGAACTCTTTACCTACCTATTACATCAATACTTCCAAAGAAGTAAAATATAAGAGCAGCTAGCTTCTTTTCCTTAACTTTTAAAATTGAAGATTGTAATACCTACGTAAAAATATGTTGTAGACCCAAATGAACATTTTAAACGAAAATTAGTTTGAATAGCCACATTCTGAGATATAGCAAAGGTGTTTAGTAGTATTTTTTATAGTATTATTTGTTTTTGTTGTATTTTCATAGTGGTTGAATGAATGATATGAAAAAACCGCAAATATTAGGGGTAAAAGTATGAAATTTCCGTTTTATTGTAATAGGTTCCTTGAAATGACATAGAATCTTGATGTTTTCTATGATGTTCTTCTTTAAAAAAATGTGAAACATTTGAAGATGAACTTTCGATGAGAACAGTGGCGTAGCTAGGTAACCTAGGGCCCTGGGGCAAATAAAAAAATAGGGCCCACTGCTATCAAAACTGGTAAGGTTTTTTGAAGTAAAATCATTAAATATACAAATACTTTAAAAATGCTAAGCGACTTTATTATCAGCTCTTATTCGTGCATGGGCAGGTAATAAAACTATTAAACATTACTAACACTGTCAACCCACACAAATGATTTAGAGGAATTCCCTTTTTATAACTTTGGAATTTCTCACAACTGAGTTGCCATGATTAAACTCGAGTTGTCACCTGTCATATTTATTTTGAAAATGGGAGAAATTTTCCAAAGTTGAGTTCGATTGAGATATTCTGGTAAAGATTCGAGGGCCCCCTGAGCTTGAGGGCCCCGGGGCACTGCCCCGCCTAGCCCCTTGGTAGCTACGCCACTGGATGAGAAAGTATTTAAAAAACGAAAGCACCAAAATAGCACCTCCCCTAGATGGCGACTTTAGCAAAAGTAGATTTTTGTAGGAAACGAATGGACCAAAGACAGTCATTTCCGTTCCCTTTAAATAACATATTAAAAAACTGAAATTTGAAAAGTTCGAAACTTAGATATCAATACAAATACGAAAAAGTACAAATAGAATATGAGTTGTTTATTGAGTTTTAAAAACTAATTTATTTCAAATGCAAAAGGTTTAGATGGTATTACTTGGACATGATATTGATTACTTTACCGCGTTCCCTGTCATATATTACACACAGTGTGAACAAGTCTATTTCTAGTAGTACATATCCTAACATTTGGGAAATGGCTAAGGTGAAACCACTCCCAAAGATATCGAATCCACAACAACTAAGCGATCTGAGACCGATTAGCGTTCTTCCGTGCTTGTCTAAGGTGATGGAAAAGGTAGTCTATGAGCAGGTAGTATCTTTTTTGGTTTTTATGCACGCCTTCGATTGTATTAATGTGTCGCTACTTCTATCGAAGCTAAGCTATTATGGATTTGACGGGAACGCTTGTGGTTTGCTAGTTATTTACGCGAATGCACACAACAGGTACGAGTAGAGTTAAGTAGAAGTGACGGTTCTTGTATGCTGCAATGATGACGTTCGTAGAGGTGTATTACAGTGATTAATTTTGGGTCCTCTCCTATTTATATTATATAGCTGAGATGATTTTAAAAGGATAGCCATGTGGGTGGAACGATGATCTTTGATTTTAAATCCTAATAAATCAAAATATATGATTTTCAGCTTCAAAAAGCAAATACAAATAGTAAATAGGGTTGGTACATAAACACAGTAGTATAATTAGGGGCACAAACAGTTGAAAGAGTGAGGAAGGCTCGAAATTTGGGGATTGTAATCGATGCTCAACTTCGTTTCGAAGACCACGCGAGTTATCAAAGAATTGTTTTTATAAACTTAAAGTGCTTTACAAAATACGGAATGAACAACTTAGAAAAAAAATGTGTGAGTCACTTGTTCTTTTAAAGGAGAACTATGAGGAAGTATTTAAAACAAACAATAGTTCTCGAAATCAAACTAGATGTCGTTACGGTACTTTCTTGATTTCATGGAGGAATTAAGAACGTAACGACATCTAGTCTGAAAACCCTTCCGATTTTCTTTTAAGTATAAAATTAAATTAGTTTCCAAAACTCAAACAACTCATATTCTATTTGTACTTTTTCGCATGTGTATTGATATCTTAGTTTCTAACTTTGTAAATTTCAGTTTTTTAATATGTTAGTTAAAAGGAACGGAAATGACTATCTTTCGTCCATTCGTTTCCTGCAAAAATCATTTTTTGCTAGAGTCGCCATCTAGTGGAGGTGCTATTAAAGTGCTTTATTTTTTTTAATACTTCCTCATTGTCTTCCCGTATTTAGTTCATATGTTTTTGAGCTTACCAAAAAGGTTTTACAGCGAATACAGAATGCCTGTGCTACGTTCTGTTTTACAGTCCCTCCAAGAACGGATATCACACCTTTTCTCAATAGGGTCAATTTGTAAAATATGGAATTACATCTTATGAGTCTGCTGCTCGATGTAGTATTGAATAAGATTCCGGAATATTTGGCAAATAAGTTGATTTGGGTTAATTCTAGGTCATGCTTGTCTCGAGGTGCCTCTTGGAAACTCGTCTTGCCCCGGCCAAAAAATGCAGCATTTCGTGGTAGCTTTCGGTATTTGGCAATAAAATGTTGGAACAACTTACCACCACGAATGTCAAACTTACCACCACCAATGAGGAAGTATTAAAAAAAACATTAGTTTCCGAAATCAAACAAGATGTCGCTACAGTACGTTCTTGGTTTCTCTATGACAATCCTTCCGGTTTTCTTCCATGTTTAAAAGTAAGTTAGATTTCCAAAATCAATAAATAACCCATATTCTATTTGTACTTTTTCTTCTTTGTATTGATATCTAAGTTTCGAACTTTTCAAATTTAAATTTTTTAATATGTTATTTATAAGGAACGGAAATGATTGTCTTTGGTCCATGCGTTTCCTGCAAAAATCTACTTGCTAGAGTAGCCATCTAGTGGAGGTGCTTTTTTAGTGCTTTCATTTTTTTTAAAAACTTCCTTATTAGACAGGAGCAAACTTAGACTTCTAAGTTTGCTTTTAAAACTAGGCTAAAGAAACATTTCCTAATAGACAATACATAAAAGCTAAGTTATCGACCGAGATCGGGATAATTGTTGATGTCAATTGTTTTGTGAAATTTTATTCATAATTTAATTGAATTAATGAATTTATAATAAATAAGTATATAATTTTGATATTAATTTCAATTTTAAATAGACATTTAAAATTTAATTGAATTTGCTCTTTTATCTATTATTTTAATTGTTATTTCGATTATATTGCATTGTTTTTTAATCTTAATAGAAAGCATATTTAGAAAATATGCACTTGGGATATTACAGAGCGACGATTTACTTAATCTGATAAACATCTTACAGGCAAATTTAAGCCTTCGTCTGAAAATTAGCGTCATGTCAACAAGATCTTGTCGTCGTGATATATATCGAGAAGGAGACTTTTCGAATTTAACGATTCTGTTTACTAGCCTGTGACGTAACAAGTCTTTATGCATAATTGCCTTTGTTTGTTTCTCTATAGAAGAAAAAAAAAGTCGAAATCTTATTCTTGTTGGCTGGCGACCTGGCGTTGGCATCGATTAATTTATCGTATTTCTCTCAATATTTTTGATTGAAGTGTAGTTTGTAGTATTAGTTTGATAGTTTACTTATGTTTATTATGTTAAAATAAAATCTAAGTTAGAGCATTTCATTAGCATATATTTGGAACTAAATCATCACACAGGTCAGTATTGCCTACAATTATTTAACTTTATCACTAGCAAAGGCTTTCAATTTTTTCTCTCTCGGTCCTTAATTGCCAAATCAACAAATTGCATTCTATACTGTTCGGAACATTGATTTTAATATAACCTCTAATGTATTTACGGGCGCCCTGTATGAACAGATTTATTACTCTTTCAGCTAAATAACAAAAATAGTAAGTATATTAAAAATGTCCTTGGTAATATGACTTTTCTATTTTTTTTAATTACTGCATTTTTTATAGATTGAGTAAGTAAATTTTTACTTGGTATAAATAAACCAATTTTGTTTGTATTACTGACTAATTTATATCGGAGACTTAATCAAAATCTGTGTACTAACGCAGTTCTCTGGGGTTTGATATAAATACATTTGATTGAGCATTTATAAAATATACAAATGTAACAGCCAAAACTAAGGTTTATATGGATTAATAATTGGAGTGTGATATTCCAAATTTACCAAGTGTGTTGTCTTAACTAGACTTCATTAGATTTCCTTTCTCAAAGTGAAGAAACTATATTTTATTGATAAATTTCTTATCCTTTCTAAATGACATTGTTTATTTTTTTTATCTCAAATAAGTTCTGTGGAACTATATCATCATAGTCATATGCATATTGCAGGGATATGATAAAATCAGAGGTTTAATAAAATTGCTATGGACCATGTTCAAATCATGTCAGCTGTTAAAGTTACAACTATTTGAACTTTCCTTAAATCGAATTTCTCAAAAATTTAATTGTTGTAAAGATGTGTATGTATAAACTCGTAAAACTGCTACTTGTCATAATAAAAAAAAATTCCTAATTTATAGCCTGTTTATGTCACTTACGTAATATATTAGAATATCAAACTCAAGTGTTTATATTGACATCTAAATACAGGCTTTTTTGAAGTTACAGCTAGTTCAATGGTAATGTTATAATGTCTACTCTTATAGCCAACTGATATAAAAAAAATTATGTGGGAACATTTTGAAAGTATAATTTTAAATTAATTGAGTGGCTCAGTTAGAAGGATTTAAAGGAAGAAACAATTCATTTATTATAATTAGTAACTATGCAAGGTGTTATATTCAAGTGAAGTATGTATATTGTTTTTCATTTCACTGAACTAATTTTTGACAAATCTGAGTTGATCAAATTCAAAATCTAGTTTAGGAAAATCTTCAAACCTAGTTGTAATTTTAAATATCTGTGATTTGATCAAATCCCTAAAGGATGTGATGAAATGGTGAATGTGGATACTTGTGTATGGATTTATTAAACTGTACTAAATGAAGTCATTAGTTATAGCTTGATAAGATGTATAATTATTAACAGTTTACCTTTTTGATATCCAATGTTTATCATGTTTAGGTATAAATACTTTTGAGGGTTGCCAATATTGAAGGAAAACATTTCACAAATCTTCACAAGGCAAAACTGTTCACTATTATATGAAATTATGACCATGTAAAAGATCCCAATCTAAAGGAAATAAAAACAAGTTATGGATAGCCATTGGTGAACTTAATCGGTGTTTATTTGACCAATATAGACACCATCTTTGTATCAAATGTTTGTAGATTTGACAAGTAATGTTACTACAAAAAACCGTGCTTATTCCTACAATAAGATTTAAGCAATTAATTGTGGAGCTCAAAATTGTTTGCAGAAAGAATCATGTCCAATTTTGACCTAAAAATTAACTAACGTGTCTAGTGACATATCTCAAAATGAAGCTTATTTGTTACATAATTCATATCAGTAAATTAAATTTTAAAATAAAGTCACAATAAAAATTGCGATGTGATTCAGACCCTATAATGATAGTTTGCTACACTACCATAATGCGATTCAGACCCAATGATGGTTTGCTATGTTTCGTTTCATCTAATAAGAAAAAATATTCTTTCATCATATGGTAAAAAAGTGCATGTTAACAATTACATTCATTTCCATATTTATGAACCACACTTTAAAAAGCTTTGATTTTAAAGTTTCACAATTATCTTGAGTTTTGACAGCTGTTATAATCTCAAAAGATTATTTACAAATTATGAATCTCCCTGGCCACCAGATTAAATCTAATTTAAATTATCAGTATCACTAATGGTGGGTAGATGCAACCTTTGAAAAACACGTGACAAGTCAATCAATGTATGGAAAGCGGACATGATTCTTTGTATTTCTGTAGCAGGGTTCAATGATTTTAGCATATTAGATTAAAAACCTTCTTTATTTAGCCATAACCAGATGGCGTCATCATTTTAAAATTTGTAAAACAGATTTGACCCATTGTATAAACAGACAAAATATTTATTAAGTACCTAAATAATACATAAATGTTTAAAATAACAAAAAATTATTATCAATATGATGAAAAAAAGTACGATGCTATCTAGTTTTTGATATATATATTGTATATTAAAAAAAAAAATTATAATAATCAGATTTTTGCGAGCCCTGTTTTGTAGTATCTTGATGTGTTGCTCTGTGTATATGGAGTACGTCGTTCGTCATTTTGCAACAAATAATATTACAGTGCATCTTATAAGGTAACATCTAACATCTTACACCTACATTAAATACCAATAAGTGACATTAAGATTCTAAAAAAAAATACATATTAGGGAAAGTATATATTGTTAAAGGGATTTGAAAATAGAGCATGAAATGATCTGTGTAAGTATTGATTTGTTTATAGTTTAATGTGAAAATAATTGTTAGTTTTGTTATAAATATTGATACATTACGATTTACATTTACAGTTGGTGGTAAGAAGAATCAGAAGAAAGAAGGAGGTCGTGCTTACATTTGTAAAAAGTTTATGACCGTTTAATGGTCATAAACTATCAAGTGTAGTGCATTAAGATGGATTTACCTGACTGTCCACCTGGGGCAGAAGGTTATGAAGATTCTGTTGTCGAAGTACCCAAGAAACCCAATGTGGATGACCAATCATTATCTGGTACCAAGGTAAATATCAATTTAAATTCACTATTTTTTTTTATCTAAGCACAAAACAATTTAATTATTTAAATAGATTTATCAATTTTTATTCTTTGGATTTCGTTTTGGAAACTCTAAATTGTTTAATAATAGAATTCAGTTAAAAAGCTTAATCAACCAACAGAATCACTGAGATCATACATTTTTACTACTTAATAAACTTAACAAATCTAAAGCGGCTATTACAGACTAAAATTAGTATAATGGAAAATAGGTAAACATCTTTTATGTTATGATTTTGAAGTTAGTCTCAATAATAAAAACATTAAAATATTGTTATTAGTTAAAATTTAATTTCAAGTTTAATTTCTTCAGTAATAAAATTCCCATTTCCTAATTTTTATAAATACAGTTTTTATTTTTCTTAAGACTTTATGTCATCTTTATTTAGCTGAATGTTTGTCTCGTCCCATCTCCTACAATGCCATATTATTAAAATGGCATAATTACTTTTTGGCATATTTATTTGGGAATATTAAAATTCGCATAATTTCTGTTTGCATAAGTAATTTTATGTATATTTACTTTGCTTAGTATGAAAATTACAGAATTACATTTTGAATAATTCCATAAGGCCATTTTTTACACCATCACATAGAATGAATCCATCAATTGGTTAGGTTAAATCTGTGACCAAAACAAAAAGATTTTAAAACAATTATTTATACAATTTATACAACTAAACTAAACTAAACAAATTAACTAATTCAATGTTTTTGAATAAATTATATTACGTAGGCGCATGACAACTAGACACTGGCTAATTCATAGAAGAGACTAACGGTCAGTTGCACAAACGTCCATTAAGGTTTAATGACGCCTTTAAGCTCTAATGAATGTCAAATATATATGGGTAATGTCGCTTTAAACTAATGAAAAATTTAGTGGACGTTTGAACAACTGGCTGATAAGGAAGAAATAAATTAATTGCCGTTTGCTGCTATGCATAATAATAACATTATGACATGCAAAACTCTAAGAAAATATATATTAACGAAATCTCTATAACACGATATAAAAACATGTTTTCTTCACAATTCGTCACTTAAGGGAAAAATATTGAAATATTTTTTAATTTATATGTGATTTTATATTTACCAATTTATCCTTACGACTATGCTATCGCGAATTCTAAAAGGTAAACGCGACGTGGTTTGGCGGGGTGTCCACTTTCAGGAAAATCAGGGAAGTAAAAGATGGTTAGGGAAAGTCTGTGAAATTCAGGGAAAAATTTTACGTCAACTGTGAAGTCAGGGAAAAATATAAGATCTTTGTAAAATTTTTATTACCACAATTATTTTAAATCTCTTAGATTGAACATGATGTTTGTTTGTTTTGGTACTTTTTACTAAGAAATATATTCAATAGTATATGTGTTGTTCAAACTATGTTTAAGATCTGACTTTCTTAAAACGGAGTCTTATATATTATTGAGATATTAAGCAACAACTAACCTTTCTTTTCAACGGAATGTAAGGGCTTACGATTGTTTCAAATTCTCTTCAACAACTTTGCTTCTTATAACTAAATCTCTTCGAGGTTTCATTTCATTCCCGTCGAACAGTCATATTGAATAGATCAATCAGATCAAGTTTGAAAGATAAAGATTGAGGAAACTTACGCTCTGGACAATGACTGCACAAATACAAAACCTCCAAAATAAAGAAACTGATGACACACTCATGAAAACTAGATACGAAATGGGGTTACCAAACTCAATGGACACAAATACTTATTAACTTTTAAATAGACAAATATCCAAATCCTTGACACGCGATTTTCACCGATTTAATACGGAACCAAAAAAAAAATAAGCTATTGAGCGAAATAAAAACTTCGAAGTGTTCTCGAAAATCGAAATATTTTGCTGTAAAACAAATATGACGATTGTGGTCGAAAGTTGTGATGTTGCAGAGAATCAAAAGTGGGCAGTTATAATTTACCATGCGGCCGTAAGCTGCACTTACAGCTTATCCGCAATACGAACATGACAAGTCAAAACTCGTGTTATACGCAGAAATAATTTGTATGTGTGTGTATAATTCATGCATGTTTACGGTTTTGAGAGGCACTGCTTATCGCAACCTGATTAAATTAAAAAATCATCAAAAGAGTAGCGACTACTTAATTTGGCCGGTGTATCAGATTGATTGATTGATCAGATTGATACCACACGTTTTATCGACCGCTGATTGTTTACGTGAACAATGTCTAAAATAATAGGTATTAAGTATTAACAGTTCAGTAGTTGTTACTTTTTCGATACAACAATATAATTTTGTGGTAACTTATAAATAAGTTGTTACATTTCGATGTTCATGGTGACCAAAAAATATATAAATGATCATGATCCTGGACTCATTAGAAGGTTCTAAACTATGGTGAAAATTGGTAAGTTTGTTTTCAATAACTTTCTGCATACCCTACCCCAGATATCTCTGTGCACGCCCCAGGTGTTAAGTAGACTACGGGCTTACGTCGCCGGTTCAATGAAACTTGGCGCCCTAGGCAAAACACTAAAATACTAATGTACACCGTAGTACACCGATTAAAGAGTGTTATTTTGCCACTAGCAAGAGAAACTCCTTAGTCTGAAGATTTCGTACTTTTGAATATCCGGATAAGTGATAAGTCAGAGATTTTTTTTAGATATTTAGAGTGGACACCCTGGGGCATCGTTCAGACTTTACTGGGCGAAGTTAAGAGCGAGTGGCTTTTTGAACACTTCGACAATTAAAGCTCATGGTAACTCCTCTGGGGCATCGTTTCCTTATCATTTTTTATTGGCATTTGTATTTTCTTCTATGTTTTGTTCGACTCCTAAAGAAACCCATACAGGCCCTAAAAAGTCTACACGGGGTGTCTATTTGCTAGCCGTATATTGGTAATTCTGCTGACTTAGGCTTTAATAATATTACCAGACTACTATCTTTTATTATTTATTTATATTAACACAAGGTTGCTAAATACAACTTTCTAAAATTAAGATGTAAAGTTGGAAACTCAGGACAATACAGTTAAAAGATCAATCATTAAAATCCCAAGGTGCTCCTTAAACAAATTGCTGGATTAAAAAAATATTGAGCACATCTCAGCCCCGCGATTCTGTAAAAATCTCAACCCGAATTCAAAGTCACTCATGTGTCCGAATTCACTTAAAAAGCTGTATTCGCTTAACCTTGAATTGGTAATAACGTTTCGTGGCATAAGTGAAGTGAGTTTCGAAATATCATAGGAATAGAATATCTGAGACACGTATGAATCATTCAATTTTGTTTTGTATTTTTATACAATAATGGAATCAACAGAATTTCTATACTATTCGGACACATAAGTGAATTCGAATTCTGGTTTGGATTTTTACTTCTTTGGTGCGCAACATATCCCACCTTCTAGTTAAACATAGAATGTAACCGAATCATAATAAATACAAAGAAATATTCTTAAGGAAATGGTCATAAATTTCGTTGATGAGCTTGATGCGAAAAAATATCCAAATGGGTCAACTTGTGAGTGTTCTGTATAGAAAGCTCTTTATAAGTGACTTTTTGAGTCAGTGAGTGAAATTAAGATCTATTACAATATTAATTCATTCGTTTTTGATTTTAAATTTTGTACAGTAAATAATATAGTATTATATGAGATATCAAAGTAAAGAGCTTGATGTAAGAATCTCAAATATATACTTTTCCGCTTTAAGATAAAAAAAGGTTTCAATTATTTAATAGAGAAAATAGAGTGCCCCTTATCTCCGAAAGTATTGGTTTAAAAAAGAATCAGAAAATAATCTTTTCATTAGATTAACCCTTAAGATTCTATAGTCGCGCGCGCGACTATAGAATCGACGCGCGAATCAGACTCTCACTTTTAAACATGCCCGGTTTATGATTTGGTGTTTTAAATTATAAACTGACTATATTAATAAATTTTACGTTGATATATAACGATATAGGTCATGTCATAGCATTGCAAAAAAAGCGACGTTAAATAAAAAGTGTAGAAAAAATACAATATTATAAGTTTAGAGTGTATATGTGTTGTGTTACCGTCAAAAGATATACGAATATCGCACCTTATTTTGTGTGAATTTAAATTAAGTACAATGAGTTTAGCAGCTGGTAAGTATACAAACCTACTAAACAAGTAAAATATATGATTATAATAAAATAAAATAAACGTAACTAAAAGTGTATAGTTTCATTTATCATGTTTTGACCCTCTTGTCACGGATTATTTTTAGGTGCATTAATACTTGTTTCTGTGGCGTCGTTTTATATTTTTTTTATAACTACACAATGATTAATCAGATTCTGAATCTGATATGAAGAGGTGGATATATATTTGTATAAATGTGTTTGTTAATAGCTTTGTTGTATATTTGGTAGGCGGAGCAAGAGTTCCTGGAGCACCTGAACAGTTTGAAAATCAAGGTTGAGGATGGCGACACGAGGTGCATGGTGGAACGTCGCGGGAGGGACATCTCCGGCAAATGGATATACCTGTGCTACCCATGCGCGGCAGTGTGCAGCGGGGAGAGCATCCTGCAGGTAAACTTTATATTTGTTGGCAGAATACCCGTAGGGCTATTCTGCATAAGTTAGCTTAATTATTGTAAGGCAATATCGCTTCAACTACAACCCTATGTGGCACAGTTATTGTTACTAGATCACAAAATAATAAATATATCTGTCACCATTGATTTGTGAGGAAAACATTGCACTTATACAAAAATACAAATTAAAAGAAAATATTTGATTATTAGCTTGTTTGCATCGAAATTACTGGCCTGATTTAAAAATGATTTCACCTATAGGAAACCACATTATAGGCGGGTAACCTAGGGTATATAATTTACGTGGGCGAAGTCGCGGGAAAACAGCTAATTGTGTTAATAAGTAGAAATATATTAACTTTAAAGTGACTATTGTTTTTTTTTTTCAGACTCATATATCTGGGAAGAAGCACAAAACCAAGTTGGCGATGAAAAATATTTGGCCTACAAACATTTTTGAAGAGCATCCTTATATTCTGAGCGAAAAAGGTGCAGCTAAGGAAAAAGGTGGAGGTGAGGATAAAGTGAAATTGTTTCTGTAAATGATTGCCTCGTTTCCTATTTTGTATGATACAGACCCCTAATTTCTACACAAACATAGATAAGTTTAGTTCACTATAAAAACAGAGACTAATATGTCTAATTTCATATTCCCTTCCCTTAGAATTTGACATTAGAAAGATATTCACGAACACAACAACTATATGACATGTGATAGAGGTTGTGATCGCGACGTTTTTTTGAAAGATATTGGATGAACGATACCGGAATTTGACGTTATAGTATGACCGTTTAAATGAGTCCTCGCCCGCGCGGTACAGGGGCGCGGGGTATGACGACAAAGGGGATATCTTTAATTGACATTAGAAATTTGACCAGTTATAAAAGTTAAAATATTTATTTCTTTCATTTAGCGACAGCAACGGTTCTACAGAAAATGGCTGAAGAAGTGAATTACCATAACAACCCGTCGGATCTTGAAATAAAATACAATAAATATAGAAACGTCCGTTGCCATATTCAAGATTCTCTCGACGCATGCAAGTAAGTATTATCATTTATTATTTAATTGGGTATTTATAGTGTAGGTAAGTAACACATACGGCTCTCGTATCACATACGACTTTAAACTTTAAAAATATAATAAGTAATACTATGTATGCAGTAAAGTATTTATCTGTATATTTTTCTATAAATTGACAATGGTAATTGGCGGTAGGCCTGTTGAACAATATGCTGTTGTGTTTAGAACTCCTCTAGTGGGCGTGGAGTACCTGGTGGAGCACCCTCCCGAGGAAGCCCACTACGAGCCTTCTTACATCTGCACGCTGTGTTCCAAGCAGGGTCATCCGCGAACCATCATCAACCACATGACCTGTTTCTGGCATCGATTCAATTACATAGTCAGTATTAGCCAGTCATTATATACTTGGTTCTTTATAATTATATGCAATCGGGTCTTGTTCGTGCATTTTTTAAAACAATTAATTTACCTCGACGTTTCGGCTACGTTACAGCAGCCGTGGTCACGAGGAGACTGGAGAACTGGCGGGTGTCGTCTTCTGATTTTAGTTGAGGGTAATCCGGTAATAATGTTTTTAATTGATATTAAAAACATTATTACCGGATATATTTTATTACCGGACACCCGCCAGTTCTCCAGTCTCCTCGTGACCACGGCTGCTGTAACGTAGCCGAAACGTCGAGGTAAATTAATTGTTTTAAAAAATGCACGAACAAGACCCGATTGCATATAATTATAATGTATACAAATCGTGTGAGTTTAAAAATATTACTTGGTTCTTGTACCATATCATAGATCGTATAGTAATCATCATCATTATCATCATCATCAGTCCTTTTACGGGCCTTCCTTATGGATGGTTAAGGTGGATGGGCCACGACCACGCTGGTCCAATGCCGATTGGAGGGCATTAACGACTGCAAATGCAGCCGAGACCAACGGCTTAACGTGCCTTCCGAAGCACGGAGTAGCTCGAGATACAAATGTTTTGGTCACCCGTACCGCCACCAGAGGAGGGCCACTCGTCCGCCGCGATGAAGGCCGGCACATTCTCCCTTCAACCAAGCTTGAGTTTTTTGCCTTATGGGATGAAAAATCCAATCCTTATTGAGAAATAGCGTATCAGACAGGAGTTTCACCACGGGCTCTAAAGTTGTCACTGATAATTCTTCGCTTTCACCTTGACACCTGTTAGCAGAAATGGAGCGGAGTGACACCTTCATACGATATTCCCATCCACTAGTCGGACGATGAGTGCGCACGGGATGTGCAGAAACTGGGACATCCTTGCTAGTTTTAGCGTACACTTTATTGTTTTGTCGGTTGAACTTTTCTTCAACAGTAAAAATCATCTCGTCAGTGAAAATTCTGGCATCATGTCTCCTCAGCAGCAATGGACAACTTTCGCGTCGTAACTTACGAAGACGATCGTTTAATAAGTGAACTTTTCTACGGCTATAGGCCTTTGAATTGAAATATGTTCTTAAGATCATATTTCAATATTCTGTTCACTGAAACGCGCGATATATTAGTCTGCAGAGCGAGTTTCTTCTGAATGCGACTTGAATTTCGGCGAAGTCGCTCTCGGATGATTTTGATGTTTGCAGGCGTCCTCACAGAGCGTGGCCGACTTTTGGCGATTTTGCAGAGAACTTTTCTACTGGTACTACTGTATTGTGTAACAGACGAAGTTACGGTTTACAGGGAAACTTCTCAGCTCGCGGAAAATCTGCATCGGTTTTTTCCCCGCCTTAAATAGCGAAATGACAGTTGCACGTAATTGTTTCGTTCCTTCCATCACGAGAAAATATGAACAAATGATTTTGCGATAAAAAATAAACTAAGAGTTTACCACAGAACATAGAGAGAGATTAGAAGTATAATGATATTAATTAGTATGGGAACCGAGTGTCGCCTCTCCGCACACAAATACAGATTAGATGAAATGATCATTTTGTTCACTACATGAAAAACCGCCACGCGATAGGTTCGCGATAACATAAATCAAATCCCAAAAAGATACTAAGCTAAGAAATCACACGATTAAAAACAAACTCTAATTCAACGTGATAATAAATAATTTACTTTAACATGAATGTTGAACTGTCACGTGGCTGTATATGGGGATACCAGAAGGAAAAAAATATTTTAAGATTATGCACATTTAAAAAAATTGGGGTCATCATTTTATGTGCGAACTATTCATATAAGATTTTGCTGAAACCAAGTGAATACTGAAAAATTAAGGCTTTTCCCTACATAATTTATTAAAATATCTTTTAAAAAACGCAGTACAAAAACTAAGAAAACTTAATGATACACTCTATCGTATGTCTGTGGAGTAATATAATTAAGCGAGGGAAAGTGTAAAAAAAAAAACAAAAATTAAGAAAACAACAGAATTTTTGTATTAATTACATTAAGCCTAATTTGTATTTTTTTCTTACTGGTATCATTCCGATTGTGCATATTAGTGATGTGACATATTAGTTGATAAAATAAGAGCTTTAAATTTTGTTATGAAACAGTTCAATGTAATTTAGTTCGACAATTTTCTACAGTGGTTTGATAGTAATAATTATTTAAAGCTTTATTCAAATAAAACGAAATACATAAAGTTTGCATTACCTAATGTGAGGCATGTTAATATACTTATAAATGTAAATAGTGAAAAAGTTGAGATGGTGGAATCGACAAAGTTCCTTGGTATTTTGGTATATTGATAATTTGTCAAGTAGACTGAGTTCTGCAGCATTTGCTGTTAAGAAAATTAGACTCTTAACAAATGTTGAAATGGCAAGATTGGTATATTTTAGTTATTTTCATAGTGTAATGAATGACGTATTATCTATTGTTATGGGGTTCTGCGGCTAGCATTCAAGATATTTTTATTCTACAAAAGAGAGCTGTCCACGCTATATATAATTTACGGTCTAGAGAATCTCTCAGAGAAATATTTAAAGAAATAAATATTTTGACTGTTGCCTCTCAATACATCAATGAAAATATTATGTACGCAAGAAAACATTACGATTCCTTCACAAAAAAAAAGAAATAAAAATAAACTTGCCATTCCAAGTGCTTGTAATAGCCTTCTTGAATAAAGATATTTTCATTTCATTTCATAATAACTAATATGATCATTACACTAATAAATTGATCATAGCCATGTTTGTTTTACTTTATTATTCTAAGTTTTATATCTGTAATAATAGTAGTAGCTACATTATTAATTGCAACGACTGGACAATAAGAAATTGCTGGTCAAGTATGAGTTTGAAAGCCGTGACAAAAAAAGTTTGAAGATAGACACTAAAGCGATAAGTACGTACAAACGTCAATCTACATATAAAGTCACATCCGTTTGAGACATGCGTCTATAAACTTATGTGCAAATATGGAGCAACAAAAAAACTGATAAAAGCTGTTCTGTGGGCGGTTCTTTAAAGTGGCTTTCTTAACTCGATTTCTATAATAATAGTTTCCGATTATGAATAAGCATAATAAGGTAAATTAAATTGACGCCTAAAAATTAATTTTGTAAATTAAATTCACACCACCAACAATATTACGTTAGTTGAAAACATAATTTTTTGTTTATATAGATATTATGTTGTTTTGAAATTCATTTGATAGGTTTAGGTCTAAAACAGATAGGGCAAAATTAATTATGTAAACAAGGCAATCCGTTGTAAAGTTATTAGGGAAACTGAAATATAAGTAATGCAAAATAAGTGAAATCCAGTTTCATCAGTTTCTAACAAGACCTATTAGGTCAACTCTTAGCTTTTCACGAAGTTTCGTTTAATTTATGTATTGTTCATAAAACGGTGATATACTTCGTAACTTAGATATTTATAGCACATCAGTAATTTTTAATATTTATCTGCGTGTAAATAATTAACCGAATCTTCGTAAAAAAAGTGCCTGGACAGTTCATTATTTCATTTGTTCAGTCAGTTCATCTTTAATTTTCCCTTGTAAACAGTATTTTTTAGTTTTATATAATTATGGCATATATTTATCGATAACGTTGTTATGAAATGATGAAAGAAAAGCTCTAAATAAATATGTTTTAGTTATCGATTACGATCCATATAATTAACAATACGATTCCGAGCAGCAGCAGCCTATCGGTACATTTCAGACAAATGGAGGCATTACACAGCACTATTTTTTGCAAAAGTGCACAAAATGATTTACATTGCTGTTTAGTAATGGGGTCAGAAACATTGATGTTGGTTTGAGCAATCAATGTATATTTTATTTAACATTGTGTCAAATTATTACGTTTTTTATATTTTAGCACTAAAATTGTACTTACCAGTGAAAGGAAATGTTCGCATTAGTTAGATTGTATACTTTGCTTTGCTTTTTGCAAGTGATAATAGCACAAAACGGCATTTTTTATAGAAAAAATCTGTAAAATCACCACTCGACGATTGACGAACGACTGGCAAACATAAAACCGAGGAAAGGGCGTCATATGAGTAAAAGCGCATATGCCAGCGACGCGTGCCCCGCCCACTTACTACTTCTATTCTCTCTCTATGTTCTGTGGAGTTTACATTCCAAATTTAAAATCGGTATAAAATAAATAACAGCCAGTAACATTTTAATTTATGTTTTCAATAAAAAGTTTGTCTCAAAACTTATGAATTCACGAGGTTCATCGTAATTAACATATAGATTCTGATTTTGAGTCTTAATTGTCTTATTATCTTAAAATTAAAAGTCGTGATTGTTTGTCTGTGTATCACGTGACTTGAAACACGACCCACCCTTGTGTGACGCCACTGTGGCGACAGCTGTCAGAATAGTCTATATAAAGATGTGCCTATTAATTATAAATCGAATGCCTTTAGGGCTGTTTTTAGATCATTTATATCTTTTTATTTCGTAATCGATCGTTAAATGGCGTTGTTCTTGGTTGATTGATATCTTTTAATCGTCTACTCTATGCATCTGTTTAGTACATAGAATTAAGGTTTTGTATACATATCACAATTATAGGATAGCGTTTCCGCGGGTATAAAAAAAGTTAAAATTTTGATTTAATCTTAAGGCAATTAAACATGTTTAATTGTTGTTGTAATTATTGAAATTGTCAGAATACGGCTATAGACAATAAACGAAAATAAATACATATTATGTAGAAAGTCAATGTATTGAATTTTTACTTAATTAAAAGTTAACATAGTTTTTATAGCTCTTCATATTTCGAGATGATTCTCGAAATATGAAGAGCTATAAAAACTATAATTATGATATCACTTTTAAGATATATTATTAGTGTACAATATTTGTATGCAGGTGCGTCACTTCCCTAAAGCGAGCGAGCTGTTGTTACCGTATAGGTCTCAGCAGAAGTATCGCGAGGGTGTCGCCGTCATTATGAACCGTTTCGCAAAGAGAATAGAGGATAAATTCGGTCGTCTCATGCCCGTTAACATCGAAAAGGAGGAATACGAGAAAGAGAAGTTAGTCTTGTTTCTGTATTTATATTTTACTTGTGAACTCATTAATTTTTATGCTGCCCTTTTTCATACAAATAGAATTTATTAAAATATATAAAGTACGAGTATTATATATTTTAAAGTCATTTAGCTCGGTTATTTTTTAGTATGTTTTATGTTTCACTGGGATGTAAAGTAACTAGATTTAGCTTCAAATTTAGTCAGTGGGCATAAAAATTATATTTTTAAAGCTTGCTTATTATTACATAATAGGACAAAAAAACGAAAATATTTTTATCGTGAAATGAGTTTCGAATTGACATAGAAATAGAATATTTGACACACATATGAATCGATCTAATCTTGTTTTGTATTTTAATACAAAAATAATGGAATCAATGGAATTTTTACACTAAATGACGTGAATTCGGATAATTGAGTGAATTCGAATTCAGTTCTGGATTTTTACAGAATAGGACGGCAGTTTTGAAATGCATTGTTTCGGCGTCCACACTACAGCTTATTGGCTATCAATGTCTAACTAAAACAAACAATCATTTACATCACAGAGACCGTATTCACCAATGGCTTTTCAAGGGTCCTCATTGCTGTGAAAAAGAAGATTGTACATTGGAAGAGGTCGTTGACAAGGATTTGATAGAGTCGTTGAGTACTAAGTCGGGTGAGTGTTTGTAATTATTTTTAGAAATATGTTATTTTTTATTTATTTAGTAGGGAACTACTCACTATATATCTAAATATATGTATATAACTCAAAGGTGACTGACTGAGATAATGATCTATCAACGCACAGCCCAAACCACTGGACGGATCGGGCTGAAATTTGGCATGCAGGTAGATGTTATGACGTAGGCGTCCGCTAAGAAAGGATTTTGATCAATTCTACCCCCAAGGGGGTAAAAAAGGGGATGAAATTTTATTTCCGGTATTTTACACGATAAAATGAATACATATTCGTTAGAAATGCTGCTCAAAGTAACTTTACCAAGCGGACGAAGTCGCCGACAAAAGCTAGTTTTCTTTATAAATTTTGAAGTTATTTAAGGAAATAACTAATAATTAGGCCTAAAATTTGATCAAAATGCAGAATATAATAGTGTATACAGAAAAACTAAGAAGAAATCTATAGTTTTTAAACTTATTATTTATATGGATTCTTATTAGCCACATCTCTTATTAGCCACACCCGCCATAATGGTTTTATTATGTATTATTATTACCTAAACTTTCTTCGTTACTTTCTCTCCATCCATTGGTGAAAATCATTTGGAAAATTATTTAATGACACCGTTTAAATGTTGTTTCATTTATTAATTTGTTTAGATATTTTTTTTTCTACTTGATCTCATTCACGTAGATACATGTGGTGGGTTAATTTTGATTTATAATATTAAGTGATCTATTTTTTCTTCTTTCAGAGAGGGACGGCTCGAAGAGGTGACTATATTTTATTTATTTTTATTAATACTAAGTATATTACTAGGGTAAGTATTGTTTGACGGAAAATCGTGGCGGAACGCCAGAACTAACAAAATATGTAATCCTGACAGTATCCACGTGACTTAGCCGACGTTAAAAATCTTATGTCAAATCTTTTTCTTTATCTTTATAATATAAAAATAATGAGACTTAACGGATGATCCGTTAGTCCAACGTGTGTACTAAACAACTTCCTTTGACACGCTCTGTAGGGGTCTGGTATTAAAAGGTGCAAATTAATAAAATTCGGGTTTTTTACAAATGCGTGTACTCGCTTGAACCAACAGAAAAGGAATAAAATAATGAAAAAAAAACCGTTACAGCAACTTAAAACTAGTGATGCGGCGAGTCGATTATTCGTTTCGAACATGCCCCCGCGCGTTGAAGACTTGTCCTTCAACCAAATCTTCACCAGGCATCATTAGTGGTACTATCCTGCTATAACTTCTTCGGACAACACCGTTCGCCGTTCTTATGTCCGCAACACGACATACGTTGTCACTGGTACCGGGATGAACAGCCACAATACGTCCAAGTTTCCACTTTAACGGTGGAAGACCATCTTCCTTCAACAGGACAAGAGTATCGATCTTCAAAGAGTATCCGTCAGATTGCCATTTGACTCGTTGTTGAAGTTCACTAACGTATTCCTTGCTCCATCTTGCCCAAAAATGCTGACGTAACTGTTCAATGCGCTGGTAACGTGTCAATCTACTGGTAGGATAGCCACTGTAGTTCCGGTCCGGCAAAGCAGTTAGTGGACGGCCGATGAGAAAATGACCGGGTGTGAGTGGTGTCAAGTCTGCGGGGTCCGATGACAACGGAGAGAGTGGCCGAGAATTAAGTATCGCCTCGATTTGTACTAACGTGGTAGTGAGCTCCTCGAACGTTAAATTACATTGGCCCAGCACTCTATTTAAATGAAATTTACAGGACTTGATACCAGCCTCCCAGAGGCCACCGAAAGTAGGACTATAAGCAGGTATAAAATGAAAACGAATACCCTCTTGTGCCATATCCGAAGCCAGTGAGTCACTATTACTATTTAAAAATTTTGAAATATCGTTATAAGCGCCCACAAATGAGGTACCGTTATCAGAAAATATATGAGTGGGCTTTCCTCTGCGTGATATAAATCTACGCAACGCTAATAAATAGTTATTGCTCGTTAAATCACCCACCAACTCCAGATGTACCGCCTTAGTCGTGAAACATACAAAAAGTGCAATGTAGGATTTAATAAGCCTACATCCGCGACCAGTACGACTCGCGACGGCCACCGGGCCGGCGTAATCTACACCTACACTATCAAACGGATAGCCACCAGGTTGAAGACGCTGCTGAGGTAAATTACCCATTAACGGATTAAATGATTTTCCATTCATACGTTGGCAACGCATGCACTGCCGAAAACACCTCTTTGCGAGATTTCGACCGCCTATGGGCCAATAAGTTTCTCTAATCGTAGCCAATAAAAGTTGAGGACCGGCATGCATTAATTTTTTATGTTCGAATTCAAAAATTAACTTAGTTACTTGATGTGTGGACTGTATAATTATAGGGTGTTTCTTTTCAAATGAAAAAATTGAATTTTCTAATCGACCTCCAACGCGAATTAAATCATTGTTATCTAAATAAACATTAAACTTTATAAGTGGACTTTTCTTCGGCAAGTCCTTGCCTGTAATTAACAACTTATATTCCGGAAATGACTGAATCTGTGACTGACGTAAAATGACAATCATGGCTTTTTCAAGTTCATCAGAATCTAAAAAATTCGTTTTACGTATCGTTTCCTTTTTTAAATTATTTATAAATCTTAAAACATATGCTACAGTGCGTTGGAGCCTAAGCAATTTTGAGAAACGATTAAAATCTATGAGTTCATGCTGACTTGATTCACGAACATGTAATGAGATATCATTACGAGTTTCAGGCAAGTTTTCAGTAGTGTTTGCTGTAGCAGGCCAGTGCGATGGATCGCGTTTTAAATAATCTGGTCCATGCCACCACAAAGAGCACGACTGAAGTGAACAAATATCAATGCCGCGTGATATTAAATCCGCGGGGTTTTCTTTAGTCGGAACTTAGTTGTACTACTACTTTCGCGTAGAACACCATGATGTGGTATGAAATAATGAGGGACCGATGTTATCGGATCACACTCTGTCATGTGATTTAATGACTCATACTCTAACATGAATTCATTGTACATTTTACTAAATGACTGATTTTTTTTTTTTTAACCTGCGCTCTAATGGTAACATACAGTGCTTCGCTCTCTGATATGAATCACCTAACACGTTCGGTGTTTGTTTTAATGGGATTCTAACACAGAAACGACCATCTGCGAGGCGAGTTGTGTTCTTTAAAAAATGTTCTTCACAATGCTTCTCTTCTGGAAAATAATGAGATGACTGACGGCCAACTTCTTCGAGCTGCCAAAACCGCGTAAGTTGGGTTTGAATGTCATCATCAGAACAGTGAGAAGTCACGGAATCAACTTGATTAAAATTACATTTCATTTGTGGAAAATAAGATATACGGCCGCAATTGACAGGACCGGAAACTATCCAACCTAGTTTAGTTTCATAAAGTATCGGCATTCCATCGCCTAATTTAATATTTTGCGAACCTAAAATGTCCCAAAAAACATCAGCGCCGATGATCATATCAATGGCGGCGGGCGCATAAAACTTAGGATCCGCTAAACAAATATTCGACGGAATATTAAAATTCTTAATATCAATCTGACACCCGGGAACGTTATCAGTAATCGACGGCAGAATAAAACAATTTATAAAACTAGAGTAACTTTCACTCAAGGATGCGATAGGCAATCGACACATTTTATTAATACTCGACGTTTTATTATTTATACCTACAATAATTCTATTAGTTCGATCAGCTGGTAAGTTCAATTTGTTATGCAGTCGTTCGGTCATTAAGCACGATGTACTCCCGCTATCGAGAACAGCCCGAGCGACAACCTCGCGACCATTATAATCACGTAATTTTACCAACGCAGTCGATAATAAGACATTTACCTGGCTGGATGTATTGCATGCAGCGGTGATGCTTCCCGTAATGAGCGAGACACTCGGATTGCCCGTGCGCGTAGGCATCGAACTAACTATGTGGTTTTTATCGCGATCAACTGTGCGCTCGGCAGGTATAGGTATCTTCGTAGACAGCTGATTAGATGCGTCAAACTCGTTTATATGAATAAGCGTGTGATGCCTGCGCTTACACACTTTACAACCAGGACGTTTACAAGAATTAGCGAAATGTCCACTACGGAAACAATTAAAACAAACCCTATAACTAGGCAGCAATTTATATCGCGCTGCGCTATTTAACGCTAGAAACTTCGGACAATTATTTAAATAATGATCATCATTACAATTAGGGCATCGCTTCGGCGACGATAAATTAGAATTATTTTTATTGTGATCTTGATAAGAAACCATAGTTTTTATTTTAGTCGAGTTCTTGTTACTTATTGTATTATTCTGTGACAATTCAATTGTCTCAATTAAATCTGTACGATTACGCATAAATAAAAGAAAGGCTTCGAAACTTATTGGCTTGTCTTTAGGCAAATTACCTTTGTGTTCTTCCCACTCACGGAATGTTTTTATATCTAATTTTTGTGTAATGATATAAATCAATAAAGTATCCCAGTGATCGATCGGTTCACCGAGTGATTCCAATGAACGTAAATTCTTATTTACCTGGTCGATCAGACGCTTCAAATTAACAGAGGACTCCTTTGTGACAGGTTCGATATTAAATAAGGATGCAACGTGATTTTGTATTAATAAACGTTTGTTATCAAAACGATCACACAAAAGCCTCCAAGCGATAGGATAATTACAATCTGATAACTCAATGGATTTAATTACCACAGCAGCAGAACCTTCTAATGATGCTCTCAAATAATGAAATTTGCTTATTTGGTCAATTTGATTATTTTTATCAATTAAACTCGAAAATGTATCACGGAACTCCATCCACGTTTCATATGAACCACAAAATTTCGGCAACTGAATAGTGGGTAATTTAACTAAATTATGTTTGGAACGGGTAGAATTATTTTCACTTTCTACTTTATTTTGAGCCTTTTGATAATTATCTAACATTCCCTCTGCATTAGCAAGTACACGATAATAATTATTTTCAAAATCAATTCGTTCGGTTGTTTGTAAATCATCATCGGAAAGGCACTCAATCTTCAACTGTATCTCATCGTAAGCGTTATATAAAGGTTCAACCTTACCAATTCGTAGTTGTAACTCCCTGGCCTCCAGACCACTCAACGAGGATCCTTCTAAAGTCGTTAAATAATTCGCGAACGCAGTTAACCGTCTTTTAATAACGCTTCTTTTTTTGATTAAGTCTTTTTCGTCAGAATTTCTGGGAGACTGGGGTCGACTTGGCACTTTTAATTCCTCTGTCATCCTGGAATTTATACAGTAATAACGTTTACTTATGTACTAGGCTATCTATTACAACAGGTATGTATCCTATCCTATGCTATTTATTACCTGCGATGAGACGATACAAATTTTAAATAATTTTACACCTACCGTATTCAAATTATATTGACTGATTTTTACAAATAATTAATACAAATATTGACACAAAATAATTACGAATTGATTGAATTAATTGAGAATAACAAATAAATAAGGCTAAATAATTTCAATTAAATGAATTCATCTACTATGTCGTACAATATGTCGGTACCTACAATTGAAAATTAAAAATTATGAGTGTAAAAATAATGATAAATTCGTTGAAAATAATTGGTAGTCAACTCAAACAACAGCATAAATAATTGACTACCATAACTAAATTTATCTACACTGCAAGTTTTCACAATAATTTGTGACCGGTGCCTTGTCGTACAAAATTACACAGTTTAGTTAGAAATTAGTAGATTGAATATTACTAACCTTATATAAAACTCAATTGTACACCTAAAAATACCTGATTAGAGTGTTGGGTTCTTAAATTAATTTATTTGCTCCACTTCACAAACGTTTTTTTCCGTTATACTTTGAACTACTCTCGACCACTCTTTTACGATGCGCAATCCCCAATACAATTACTGCGCGTAGAATCCAAATGCGAAGTAAACCGGTTTCGTAACCAATGAATCAGCTGGAACTTAATATCTGGCGTAGATTAGGACCATGTAGGGGTCTGGTATTAAAAGGTGCAAATTAATAAAATTCGGGTTTTATACAAATGCGTGTACTCGCTTGAACCAACAGAAAAGGAATAAAATAATGAAAAAAAACCGTTACAGCAACTTAAAACTAGTGATGCGGCGAGTCGATTATTCGTTTCGAACACGCTCCACAATGCAATATTAGTATGGAATGGAGATTATCTGTACTGAATGGAAAGTTGAAAGCTATGGGACCTCTGTAATTGAACAATGAAACTCCATCAAATTTGAGTTCGTTTGATATGTCTTGACAAGGGCTTTGAATATTGAAGGTCTGATAATGGAACTGGAAATGAGGACTTTCAAATTATATGGCTTAAGCTCTTTTAATTCGTCTATACAGGATATTTAACAAAAGGCTTGTTTCTTTTCTTATATATTTTTATATCTTATATATTTTTTTATAGTTTCCCTAACAGAAAAGATGATAAGAGAGATCCATCGCCTCCTATAGTCGCCGCTCCTACGAAACCTATGTTTAATAGTTACACTGTAAGTACTTGTCTTTTTTTAATTCACTCCTGATTCTTTACTTACATAAAAAAGCTAGATAAAACATTTAAAACTCGTACTCGAAAAGAATTCAAAACTGGCATTTGGACACGTCTGTTACCAAAAATCTCTATTATTATGATAATAGAATATAAAAAAAAATTGTGTTATCACTATACACAAAAACATAACCTCTACGATGTAAACAAAACTTTTGATAAATTAACGCAAAATCGCCAGATAATTGGACATGAAGACTACTTATATGTGCTATTAATATATAAAAGTTTTAGGTTCAATAAATAACTTACCGATGAAAGGTTATTGTTTCTTGAGTATTTTCTTTTCTTCCTATGTGAGACATGTATATGTATCCTACGATGCCTTGTATGCTTGTTCAATTAAATTTTTGTAACATACTTTGTACCGAGTGTGTTAAAGTAGAAAAGGGTCTAGTTGAAAATGTGGTCGGTTCTAATGACGTCATCATCATCATTAGCCCTTTTACGTCTCCACTGCAGGGGCTCAGGCCTTCCTTATGGATGGTTCGGGAGGATGGGCAATGAGCCTCCACGCTGACCCAATGCGAATGACTGCAAATGCAGCCGGGACCAACGGCTTAACGTGCCTTCCGAAGCACGGAGTAGCTCGAGAAAATAATAATTTTTTGGTCACCCATCCCGTGACCGACCCTTGCGAAAGTTTCTTAACGACAACGATCGCGGGCCGCGGCGCTTATCCAATGCGCCACCGAGAATAACATATGCTGTACCCAATATCTGTTGGATGTAGGCATCAGTTGTTTGGGACACTATTTTTTATTAATTACGTCTGTTCTGTCCTATATGTGTGTTAAAAAAAGTTTATATGTTGTGACAGAGGTTCGCGGGTCGACAAGAGCGTAGGGCGGGTTCACCGGGTGTACTCTCCGATATCAGTGATGATCTGGAGCCGCGCAGAGAGCGGCCATATAACAGGTAACACATACCGGTGATTTTAATTCTAGGACCAAAAAGAATGATGCAATAGGCTACTTCACAGTTATAACAATTAATTGTGTAATATTTTGGGAATGTTAATTTATATGTAAACAACAACTATTTAGTATTTATTGTTTTTGAATAAATTTTATGTATATATTAGTTTTGTAAAAATGTGTTGCTATTAATAAAACGTGGATTACAAGAACCGAAATGTAGGCTACTATGACTCAGCGTCGTCTGACGTCATATTTCAGTAAACTAAATATAATTATTATTATTTATAATTTCTTAATTGCAAATGCAATCTACTCATGTTTATTGAAATGTGACGTCGGGGCTCGAAATTTCACGTGAGTGCTTGTCTTCGCGGGACGATTTATAATGAATGAAAATATGATATTTAATTACTCTTTGGAGCAAAATAAATTGGATAGTGGTTTAATATATTTATATGAAAGTTTAAATATTTTGCGAGAAACAGTTAACTCGTCAATTACAGCTTCATCGAATATCTGCAAGATGGTAATCAATGATACTGCTCATTTTCATCAAGAGATTGAATCAGTAAAATTTACCACGGACAATAACACAATACCCGTTACGGGTTGTTAAGACGTGTGTCATGCGTGACCCCCGACCTGGCCCAATGCGGATTGGAGGGTATTAATGACTAGACGCAGCCGGGACCAACGGCTTAACGTGCCTCCCGAAGCTCTGAGTGGCTCGAGATAATAATTTTTTGGTCACCCATCCCGTGACCGACCCCTGCGAAAGTTACTTAAAGTCATTAAAGTTCACGGGCCGCGGTGCTTATCTACTACGTCATTTAGCTACTCCGTATGGGTCTGACCGTGAGTTGCACAAACGTGTACAAACTAATGAAATGAAAACTGTTTTTGTTTTAACGTTGTTTTTATTTAAGTAACTATTCGGTTTTCTTGCACGTTACATGAGGAAGAGATTATATATATATGACAGTCAAGCCAACCGTAACATAAAAAAACTTAAAAGTACCACTACCAACTTAATATTATAATTTGTGTTGCCATATTATTCTAACACCCCTTCTCAACACAAATACATTTTCTTAGAGATATATTTAAATAAAAAGAAAAGCAACTTTAGCTTACAACTTAGCATTAATAATTAAGACTTAAATTTGTTACACCACATTTGTTTAAATGTTTCAAAATCAATTCCTTACTTAAAACTTTAGTTAACATATCTGCAGGTTGCTCGTTAGTCTTTATATACTTTATACAGATTTTATTTTCTTTCACTAGATCTTTTACAAAATGATATCGTATGTCTATATGTTTCAATCTTTTAATAGTATCAGAGTTTGCATTTATTATTGCCGACTGGTTATCACAAAATATATTAACAGGGCAAATATTTTCACAGTTAAAGTCAGTTAATAAATTTATCAGCCATGATACATCACTAGCAGCCATACTCATTGATACATATTCTGATTCTGTGGAAGATAGACTTACTGAGGCTTGCTTTTTAGAACACCACAAAACCAAACAATCTGACAACTTGAACATATAACCGGAGGTGGACTTTCTGTCCAACACATCTCCTGCCCAATCAGCATCACAAAAACCTTGTAAATTAATATCTTTACATTTAAAAACCAATTTGTAATTTAATGTATGTTTAATATATCTCAACAGTCTCTTTAAGGAACTTAATAATTCATTATTTGCAATAGATTGATATCTACTCAGCAAAGAAATTGGAAAACAGAGATCAGGTCTTGTGCCTGATGCCGCATACATCAAACTACCTATTATTTGCCTACACAACTTTTCAACATTTTTATCTTTATGAACAGTTTCATTAACAAATATTTTAGTGTTAAAATTGATATCCATAGGGGATGACATATCTTTACAATTTTCCATATTAAACCTTTTCAAAATACTTTCCAAATAACTTGTTTGATCCAGTTCAGTTATACTTGTTTCTAAATTTTGCTTTACATTTATACCCAGAAAATTTGATATTAACCCCATGTCTTTCATTTCAAATTCTTTATTCAATATGTTCTTAAGTTTTACAATATGTCTCTCATTTGTACCAAAAAGTAAAATATCATCGACATATAATAAAACATACATTTTGTCTTTACCAATACACCTCTTAAATAAACATGAATCATTTTTAGACTTAATGAACCCCTCTCTACTAATGACAGAATTGAATTTATTGTTCCAACACTTAGGTGAATTTTTGAGACCATATAATGCTTTCTTTAATTTGACAACATTTTTCTCCCCAGAATAAGCCCCTTCTGGCAATTTTAAATAAACATCTCTATCTATATCACCATATAAAAATGCCCCAGTAACATCCATTTGATATATTGGTAAATTCAAATGAGTAGCTATTGCAACAAAAACTCTAAAAGTTGAAAGCTTTGCAACAGGAGCATAAATTTCACCTAAATCAAAGTCACTATCCTGTTCGAAACCCCTAGCCACTAGTCTAGCTTTGTACTGGTTGTTACTATTTCCCTTGAACTTAAAAACCCACTTGCTACTAACAATATTTTTACTCACCGGTGCATCACTAAAAACCCAAGTATTATTATCATTTAAGGTTTGTAATTCTTTCTCAATTGCCTCTTTCCACTTACTTGCATCCTTTCTTCCCATGGCCTCTTTGTATGTAGTGGGTTCACTTTCTTTACTTACAACATTATGGCACTGATAAAATGATGTCTGCTTCCTCACTCTCCTACTCCTTTCTTCCTGAACTCCAGTTTCCTCCCCCTCTGATGATTCATCATCACAGGGTTCATATTCACTATGAGACTCGCTCTCTCCTGTAGATTCATCATTAAGAGTAGTGAGGGTATCGCTTGTACTTTGAGTTCCTCTGTCTTCAGTCACCTCACTCACCTTTGTTTCTAAAGTTTCATCTTGAGTGAATTGCCCATTCAAATCCAACATGATTGTTGGTTCATTCTCTTTACATATATCTTGATTGAAGAAAACCACATCCCTCTTTGTATCTATACAATTTCTCTCAGGAAAATAAACCCGGTAGCCTTTCACATGTTCACCATAGCCAATCATTATTCCCTTTTCCCCTTTTGTATCCCATTTTCTTCGCTTTTCCTTTGGAATGTGTACATACACGGGGCAACCAAACACCTTCAATTGATGAATGTTGTATTTTTTGTTTGTCCATATTTCATAGGGTGATTTTCCCTCTTTGCCTTTTCCTGTCCTGTTTAACACAAAAGCAGCTGTGTTTACTGCTTCAGCCCACAGTTTCTTAGGCAGATCCTTTGCATGCAACATAGTCCTTGCGGCTTCAACAAGTGTTCGATTTTCCCGCTCAGCCTTCCCGTTTTGTTCCGGTGTATAAGTTACAGTAGTTTCATGAATTATCCCTCTTTTTGAACAAATTTCCATCACTTCTTTGTTTATAAATTCTAATCCGTTGTCAGTCCTTAAAGTCTTGACTTTATTCCCAGTTACATTCTCCGCCTTATTCAGAAAATCCTCCAGACAACGTTTAATCTCATGTTTTGCTTTGACAAAATACACAGTCCTGAAGTTAGAATAGTCATCCTTCAAAATAACAAAATATCTGGAACCACCAATCGATTCTTCTTCCATGGGTCCACATGTATCAGCATGTATTATCTCACATGTCCTGGTGGTTACGCTGTCACTTTTCTTAAATGGTAACCGGTGAATCTTTCCCTTTAAGCAGCTTTCACATTGAGGAACTGAAGATTGTTTTATTTCAATGTTATTTTTGTTCAACACTTTCTTCACGTAGTCAAAGTGTTGATGAGCCAGCTTTTCATGCCATTCGTTCAAATTATCTGTAGCTACTTTTGCAACACTTGCAACTTCACATTTGAAACGAAAATCCAAGTAATATGAGTTCTCAAGTCTTTTTCCAATTGCACAAACAACGCCATTTTTGAGAAATTTGCACGAGCTGTCATCTGTCATTATGACATATCCCCGGTCAGCGGCGCGGTTCACAGAGAATAAATTAGTCTTTAGATCAGGAACGAATAACACATTGTCTATAGTCGAGTCAATCCATTCACTTCCGTTATTGACTAGCACCGCCATCTGTCCATATCCCAACACACTAATGACCGCACCGTTACCAACTATTACCGATTTTTGCGCAACACTTTGAAATGATGAGAACAATGAACGATCGCGGCACATATGTTCACTAGCTCCAGAGTCAACTAGCCACTTTGATTCTTCGTATTGTTTATGCACTGAGTCCGACACAATAAATGCATTACTCATCTTCTTATTGTCCTTTGACCTTCTAAACCGACACTGTGCTTTGTAATGTCCGATTTTGCCGCAGTAAAAACACTTATTATCGTTCACCTTTTTCTCACTATCTCTATTACTTCTGCACTCTGTTTGAAAATGTCCCGATTTACCGCATCTATAACACTTAAAGTTTCTTCTAGCTACAAACGCCGATGAGGACGGTGTATTATCTTTTTCTTGTGTCTTTTCTTTCAGTCTCTCCTCCTCGATTAGCAGCCTAGTCACTAAATTATCAAAAGTCTGTTTGTCTTCTGGAGCCGACTCCCAAGCCGAAACAAAGTGTTTATACTCGTCCGGTAAACTCATTAACACTTTAGTTATAGCGAACCTATCTGAGACTTCCTCGCCCAACTGTTTCAGCTGATTTTGTATTTCATGTATCTTAGACAAAAATACAGACATTTCAATTCCTTTTTCATATTTATACTGGAAAAATCGCTGTTGGATAATATGAATACTTGTCTCAGATTTCTGCTCGTATACACTGAGAAGCTTCTTCCACATTTCAGACGAAGTTGTACAAGTGACAAGATGTAACATTACATCTTCAGACATCCTTGTCACCAGAAGTGTTTGAGCTTTCGCGTCCTTCGACTCCCAAGCATTTCGATCAGTAGCATCCTCAGGTTTCACAGTCCGTCCTTCTACAATATCCAGCCAACCCTGACCCCTCAAAAGTACGGTCATTTGGAATTTCCATATATTCCAGTTCCGAGCTCCTTCCAGTTTCATAACATTATTCGTGATATTTATTGGATTTGCTTCCATCGCGCTGCCCTTCCTTGCTATTTATCAAGAGCAAGTAATTCCTTCTCGACGAAAATTTTATTGGCGCGTTCAGACCTACCCTCACTTTTCGCCGATATAAAAAATAACGCTCGATGTTATCACTGATTCTACTTTACTTATTTTACTAACAGGTATGCGCTTCTGGGCCCATAACCTGTACAAACTAATGAAATGAAAACTGTTTTTGTTTTAACGTTGTTTTTATTTAAGTAACTATTCGGTTTTCTTGCACGTTACATGAGGAAGAGATTATATATATATGACAGTCAAGCCAACCGTAACATAAAAAAACTTAAAAGTACCACTACCAACTTAATATTATAATTTGTGTTGCCATATTATTCTAACAAAACGTCCATTAAGGTTGAATGACGCCCTAATAATGAATGTCAAATTTGTATTGGTAAAGTCACTTTAAACTAATGAAATTTTCAATAAACGTTAATCAACTGGCAGTGAGTGTATTAAAATTATTTCTTTATTTGTAGAAACAACAACCTTCAGCAGAATCGGTTCGAGCCGTACCGTGACAAGAGGCAGGAACGCAGTCCCGGTCGTATGCGCTATACAAATAAGGCTGCTACTAAGGACAAATCCCAAGAAAAGGTAACGTTATCAGTCCAATGGCTTCCGTCTGACCGGACACGATAGGATGAGTTTAACTAACAAAATTTCAGTAATAAAAAACTGCATCATAACTAAAATTTACATTTCAATAAATATATATTTGCATATGTCTTAAAATGAAATGTTGCGATTTTTGTCTATGTATCACGTGACTTAAAACGTGACCCGCCATGGTGTGACGTCCAGCACATTTTATTTATTTAAACTCCTTTACACAAAAAAGCGTACAAATGGCGGATTAATGTCAGTAGGCATTCTCTACCAATCAACCGGAGAGTTATGGAATAGATATAACATCTATCAAATTAGTCGTAAACAGACGCCTAGTTTTATTATATTTGAATAATTTTTCATGCATAAGGCTATACTAAAAAAAATCCATTCAGACGCCTATTTATTATAAATTAAAATCTTAGATGGCGCTTTTCTTACCATACTTATATTTATTTAGCTAGATCGTGAGATGGCGTTCTTTTTATCTGATCTATAAAATGATATTCACTGTCCGTCTGTTTTGGGTACATATCGGAATGACGTCATGAATATGGCGCACAGCTTTTGCGCGAGTATAAAAAAAGTTAAAATACGTTTTTTTTATGGTTTATTTGAATCAAATGAACACTCTACAATTACTATTTCAAACAGAATAGAATACCTTATTATTTTAACTTACACGCGTATTACTTAGAATGAGAAAAACTTATAGGTATTTAATTGTATCGCTTCGGGTAATAGAGTATTTGATGTTTTTCTGAAAACTATTTTAAATAGTTGTTTTATTTTTGTAAAAATGTAACAAAACACACTGTCAATATATTTACTGAGAATCTGTCCTAATTTAGATGAAAACAATTTCTAAAGTTTTAAACAGCCGAAATCGCGCTATAAACGCTGCTCTATGTAATGGCGCTGATCACGTGGCTTTTGTGACGTCACTTGCCGGAAAATATGTCAAGGCGAAATAACCTATTGATCTATTATTTACGTTGTAAACAAATAGTATTACAGAAGAGATATTGAAGTTAAATTTATGTTTTAATTTCGTGTCTACTCTGGTTTTGTTTATAAAAAATGAGCCACAAATTGTATTTAGGTATAATTACGTTTCTCTAATAACACTGTTTTGACATGCCCGTTTCCTGTTAACATGTGACGTCACACGCCGGTAAACAGAACCTGTCATAATTGCAACGACAACCAATTACATGGCGTTTTTGTTGTTCATTAAAATTCCTTAAAATGTTGCATTTTCTTTACTTTTTTTTTCTAAAGCTTAATATATTTTGTCTGCAGATTCTAAGAAATAAATTTTATTAGAGATTATTATCTAACAGGATGATCATAATACGCAAGTTATTTTTAATACTGTCAAATATCCTATTTATTTTGGGTATGTTCCGATATACACTGCGAGCACTGCGCAGTGGTCTTACTGCTGAAAAATCCGTTCCGTTATGGACTGCCAGTATACTGCTACAGTACCGTAGGGAAATTTATGACGTCATGAATTGCCGCCATATTTGTCCTGTGAGCACTGGAGATTTCGAGGTGCAGTGCTCGCAGTGCTTTTGACCACGTGATCAGTCGAAACAGATAAAATAAAATACTTACGTTTATTATAAGATGGATTTGATTGATAAATAATTTTTTTATACAATTTTCCAATTTTATAATATTTTCTTTTGAAAAAAGGGAATCTTTATATTTATATTCACCTTGCATTAACAAATTTGAAAATGGCGCCAAAAATAGGATTAACAGTATACTGCACTGCGTTCCGTTTTAAAAAGTCACCAGTATAACTAGCTATAAAGGAACGGGCTTCCAGTATACTAAATTGACGTCATACTGTTCAGTGGTCGCAGTGTATATCGGAACATACCCTTTATGATGATGTTATACCAAATTTATTATCCAGTTGTAATTTTTTAAACTTACAATAATCTATTTTGTAGCAAAAACCTCATAACTACGAGTACAAGATTAAGTTGGTCGAGGGGCAGCGTCGCAACGCAGAGGAGGCAGCTAAGAAGACACTAGCTTATCATGAGAAAAATCCAGAAAAGCATCCATTGTACCCTGAAGAGTGGAAAAAGTTCTGGAATCGCCGCTATAAGGAGATACAAGCTGGTATGAATTCTGTATTTATTTTTTGATGTAAAAGAATGAATTTGAAACTATATTGATACACAAAATCGAAAGTGGATGGATGCCCTGATTGAGTTGTTCATGTATTTTTATAAAGTGATGTCAGAGCCATAAATCAGTGGTTCTAAACCTAAAATTGTTATTAATATACAAGTTTTAGGCTTGGAGTAAATTTACTCTGAGACTGCACTTAGTATTAGTCGAAATTCATATTATTAAACAGAGACTTCGCAAAGGTTAACCAAGTACGAGGTTCTACTGGAGTATTATTATTTACTCCTAGAAGCTTAGGTTTGCTTATACTATGTATAATATGAATCTGGATTAATACTAAAATTTCAATTATGCGTAAATTTACTCTTGACGCTAAACCTTGTTTATAGCACTGAAAATGTTTAAGATATCTATCGATAGGCATGAAGGTCAACGTATGAAATTCTTTTAGATCGGCGTCCGTGCTATAAAAGGATTTTTCATTCAAGTCAGTATAAAAAAAAATTGCCAATTGAACCGTCTCGAGTCCTTTAGCAATTTCACATAATATTCTAATCTATAATTATAATCTGAAGTTTAATGAATCAAAATATGTAGCAGAAGGATTAGTATTTATGGATACAAGGAATTGTTATCCATTATTATATAAGTAAATCAACTAAATAAAATTGTGGGTAAATTAAAGGTGATGATGATAGGATAATAATTGACCATTAATCAAATGTGTTGATGGCCTAACGGTTAACCTATTCGATTTGCTTTTGGACGTTAAAAAACTTTGGCAAGGGCTGGATATAGGATAGGGAAAAATTAATATATCCAGCTCCTCGTGCTTCAGAAGGCAATTAAAGTCGTTGTTTTGGCTGCATTTGGAGTCATTTACACTCACCAATCCGCACTGGGTCGGCGTGGCATTCTCCCTGTTCGAGAAAGGCCTGTGCTGATGAAAAAGTTCGAAATAGCTCAAAATTTTGCAGAAATTTGGTTATGTTATGTTGTATTTGCAGTTTACTTACACACTTAACAGAAATTACAATATAATGTAAAGATAAAGTGTTTGTAAATTTTTTGCTATAGATGGAAAAGATCCGTCGAAGCACGATTTTAAACCGGAATGGATAGTGTTCTGGACTGCACGCATGAAGGAATTGCACGAAGAAGAGTTACGGGTGCAAGTGAGCGAGATATATCGTAAGATGCGTCTCACGCCGCCCGATACAAAGCTCGCCCCCGAACCGAAGACGAACGTTGCAGATGCCAAACCCAGATTCCCTGAACTCAAGCGGAGGTCTACGGAAAGAGCACGTTCACCGGATCCCAGGCGGAGATCACCCGACCCGAGGAGGAGATCCCCCGATCCTAGGAGAAGATCCCCGGAGCCGAGGCGACGCTCGCCTGATCCCAGAAGGAGGTCGCCGGAACAGATGCGTTGGTCTCCTGGTCCTAGACATGCAGAGATCCGTCATAGATCTCCGTTGCCGAGGAGGAGGTCGCCTGAACCCAGGCGGAGGACTCCCGAACCCCGAAGAAGATCACCGGATCCGAGGAAACAGCCGCCGTTGAGGCGACCAGATGACCGGTACAGACGGGATTATAGGTGAGTAACATGATGTTATACTGACTACTATTTATACTAACTTTAAGAATGCTATATCAGCAACGCGCTGCGGTATCTGAAATTACATAAAAATACTTAATTTCGATTCTTTTATTTATTGCAATTTTATAATTCATAATAACTGTAGACAACTTTTTTTATTTTTATTTTATATGTGAAATATGCATTATTTTTTTTAAATATCATTCATATCTTAAAATAGGTCTAAAATTTTTTTTTCCAAATTTCCCGCGAAAACGCCACTTTTGTCATGGCGTCACGGCCCTCTGAAACTAATATCGTACTATTTATGCATAATATTGAATTCTCTAAGTTCTGATATGAGTAAGAGGCGTGTGACGTCACGCGCTATTTGCAATCACGTGATGAGTATAAAATATTTGTTTTTATTTTGTAGCAGTCTTATAAATACATATAATACGCATAAAAGTGTGATTATCGGTAATAGTATATTAAACACTACAAAAAAAGTAGTAATTATTGTTGTCTGTCTACACCCGCATTGTCTTTTATCTTTTCAATGCATATTTAAAAACGTATTTTAACACTAAGACTATTTTCAAAGATCGCCTGGCCGTATGAGAGCAAACGAACGGGACATCTCACCTCCTCGGGTACACTCCAACAAAACTCGTTCTCGTAGTCCTGTGCAGAGGTGAGTTTGAATCGCCTTTATAATATTATAAAAATTACAAAACAGTACAGACTTCATTGATAAAAGAAATTTAAAAGCTAAACCATATCAACATTAGGTTTAATCTTGACACAAACTGTTATTCCAAGTATACAGTCAATATAACAATAAAAGCGAATGCGAGTTGTAAGAAATCTTCGTCGATTCGGTCCAACGGAACACAGATTTAATTTATTCTTTGGATAGGCCGATTGTATGGAGGCGATAAAAAAAAATCCGGCCAAGTCTGACTTGGATTAGCGTACGAATGGTTTCTATGGCGGAAATTAGCAAAAACAATCACGTTTGTCGTTTCTCCTTAAATATTAAATCTGTTTCTTTTGTGATGATAGCAACAGACAAATCATCATCTGTGAAACCATTCCGCTCTGGAAAGGGCAAGTTAATGTGGAAGGCCTACATGGTAAAACCCGCTGCGGTTCGCCTCACGCAAATAGGTTGAATAGTGAGCGGATAGTTATCCTGCAAGGAGGGCCCGGTTTCTTCCGCCGCGCTGGGACTCCTCTCGCGGAGGGTAGTAATATTGTAATGGAAAGTGACTTCATATTTTAATGAAGTCATTTTTCAATCTTGACGCTCTGTATGAAATAAAACAGCGAGAAAAAAGCAACCCTTGCCGAATTTCTTGTCGGTTCTTCTAGGTACAAAGTCTCCCGACGTAGATTTACGAACCGATGGCGTAGCTTTCGACTTTCACAAGAGCTTATAACAGCCTAGACTGGATAAATAATTTTAATAATTGTAGAGGAATTTCCCTCTTCGGGAAGGGGAAGACTTGGATGAGTAACAGCATTTTCCCAGACGGTGGACCGTCTCCGCTAATCCCACGGGGGCACGGATGAGGTGACAGCCCTATCCATAGGTCCACAGAGGGATGGAATGCGTCAATACGCGATCCCAACTACCTTGCTGCCTTCCAAAAGTACGGAACCCTAAAAATCATGCATATTCCATGTTATAGTGAATCTGTATTTACACGTAGGTCACAAGGTCGCGGCAGTGGCAGTCCGCTTTCGCGTCGTGACGCAGTCGAACCGCTGCGGAACCGCAGTCGCACGCCGGAACGCAACGCGAGTGTAGCGCCATCTATGCAGACCGTACTCATATCCGACGACGAGTTGAAACCGTAAGTATTACCATGAAGTCTAGATAAGAACATTTTATTTCCAATCTGAAAAATATATTATGTGCGCTAACGGTCGCGAAGTATAAAAATTAAAATACTTATATTTTAGGTGTAAGAACCAATTATTTAAATTTAATTTCGACTAATGATCTTTGACTATAGTACTATTTGTCTAAAGATAGTTAGTGTGGTTAGGTAATATATTATCAAAATAAATTACTAAAAATAATACTTTTTTTTTCAAGTCAAAATCATGTGATATGAATCTCTGATCCAGAATAATTTGGCCGAATTACATTATACAACCATACAAATAACTGGATACAAAAATATTTATCAGACTCGATGTTGACACTGAGAAAAAACAGAACCTTAATAAAATTTTAAAAAGCTATGCATTTGTTGCAGTTTTATTTAACTTGCAGGAAACGAAACAGGTAGCCGTCATGATGTGACGTCACTCTGTGTTGTAAACCAATGAGAAAAAAGAATGAGAAATAAGCAAGATCTACACGTCAATGGATTATTTTTATTATATTTTAACGATGAAATAAATAAAAAAATATTTAAGCGATATAAATGACAGTAGTTGTTTCTACAGACGAAGTAATTAAGCCATATCGCCAAATCTTCAGTAGGTTATTTTATTAAGCGTAGCCCAATCACATATCTTGTCTTCTATTTCATCTCAGAGACGACGGTCTGTCGCCCTGGAACTCTGACAACGACATGGACTCTATATTGTCTATGCCTGACGTGCGATCGCCTGCGCTCATGTCGCGCGCCGGCAGCGAGATGTCGCGCACGTCGCGCCACAAGCGCGAGTACTCGCGGCCCGCGCAACCGTCCGACCTAGGACCAGCAGAGAACGTGGTCGCTACATTGAGACTGTTGGTAGCATTGGAGGACTATTTGGGCAGCATCGGCCCTAAGCTGGTCGATTTGCTAACGGAAGCTCTGCGAATGGAGAAGGTATGTTATACTATGGTTTTGTTGGCCAGTTTTAACTATAAAGATTCCGACCGAGGACCAGCTGAGAACGTGGTTGCCACACTGAGACTGATGGTGGCGTTGGAGGACTATTGGGCAGCATCGGAACTAAGCTGGTCGATTTGCTAACGGAAGCTCTGCGAATGGAGAAGGTATGTTATACTATGGTTTTGATGGCTAGTTTTAAGTATAAAGATGTTATAGATATTAAATTTAATTTAATTAAAGTTAAATTAGCTCGGTGGCGTAGTGGAGAAGCGCCGCGGCCCGCCATCGTTGTCGTTAAGCAAGTTTCGTCACGGGATGGGTGACCAAAAAATTACTATCTCGAGCTACTCCGTGCTTCGGACGGCACGTTAAGCCGTTGGTCCCGGCTGCATTTGCAGTCGTTATTGCCCTCCAACCCGCATTGGGCCAGCGCGGGTGGTCACGGCCCATCCTCCTTAATCATCCGTAAGGAAGGCCTGAGCCCCTACAGTGGGGATGTAAAAGGGCTGATGATGATGAGATATTAAATTTGAAAAGGCGTGTACGGTCTGTACACCTTTAACTGATTATGATGATGATCTTCATATGGTAATCTTGATAGAAACACTGATTTAACTGATAACTATTTATTTATAAAAACCAAGGTAATGATAGCTAGTAAGCTAGGAGTACGTATTTTAAGGAACTGAAGTGAAAGTAGGTTAAAATATTAATTTAAATTACGAATAATAAATAAAATGCTGACCCAAGAAATGTACGATGCATGTATCGTACAAGGCGTGTCTGAAATGTAAACGTTATAATTGAAAATTATAGTTCATAAAATAATAATAAAATTATCATAGAGCGAGTAATCCTAATTAGTATGTTTTAGGCGTGTTGTCAGTCGTGCGGCTGTCATTATTAAGCACATTTGTATGATGGAATTCTAAAACTACGAAGGTACGACAACTCCCAGTTCATAAACAATAAAGAATACTAACTTTCTATTTTGAATCGATCGAAAATCATAGCCGGTACCTCAGAGATGGCGACCTTGAAACCGGCGATTGAGTCACTCTTCTACTGAGGTCGCTATATGAATATCAAATCGTGCAGCTTAAAACGTTAAAGAGACGTCTATAATAATATAGGGGGATATGTGAAGTATTCTCAACTGTCTCTCTGCCAGCGTGGTTTACTTGTTTCCTTGATGGTACTTTTATCCATAGCGAACCGTTTAGTGGGATAAAAAGCCTGATAATTATCTGTACATAAAATGTTATCAAAATCAGCTGATTAGGTTTTACGTGAAAAATTAATAAATAAATATGACACAACATCACATACATTGCTCAGATTCCAATATAATTCTTGGTTGTCTCAGATAGCTCCCGTACTATGGAGTATCTGAGACAACGAAGGTAACACAACACCCAGACCCGAGACAATATAGAAAAGTTTATTTTCTACGTTGACCCGACCGGAAATCGAACCCGGGACCTCAGAGATGGTGAATATCCATCCCCAAATTGGAAGCCCCCTGAATATATGCTACTGTGTCGCCATTTTAGTTTTGGTTCGATTTGCGTTCAACCGCGCTTTGTTAAATGTTACGTTATCACCGTAGGAGAAAGGGAACTCTTCTGAGGAGTTGCTCGATCGTGATTCAGCGGTAGTATTGATGGAGACCGCGAAGGAGAAGCTGAAGGGCGCGGTTCAAGCGGGACTGGTTCCCTCTGCCGCTTCTGCCGCAGTCAGATCAGCAGTAGTGAGGACTGCCGCTACCCTGCACGCGGCGGATACAAGGGCACGAGCACGTAATAAGGTCAGTACTGACGTTAACACATTTTGAAGACTTAAACCAATACCTAATTATTTATTTATTTATATAAACTTCTTTGCACAAATAAAGTGTACAAATTATAATAATGTGGACAAACGGAGAATTATGATACAAAGAGATTTTATAAATGAAATAACTTTTAAATGCTTTAACTGCGTTTGTATTTAGTTTTATTGACGTTTCAAACCCTTAACAGGTTCCGTGTTCACATAAGACTAAGGTGTCGATTGTCTTTTTCATTAAGAGTATGGCTACCTTCAAACCAATATTATTAGACACATTCACAATACAAACAATTGTATTGTAAAAAATAATGGATTTATGGATAGTGCGCGTGAAAATATAAGAAATCATATGTAGTTTAATAAGGCGGTGCTACACAAAAATCAAATAAAGTCAATATAAACACTTACAGAATAAATAAAACTCGAAGTATAATTTCATATAATAGAAATTACAATTACAAACATATTAAATATCATAAATAAATATATAAACATTTAATGTATACATACATAAATATGAAGTATGTAAGATAAATTACAAGAAGTAAGAGAATTTAGTTTTGCACGTGACAATAGTTTGAATTTATTAGGAACAGTTACATCAAAATATTACATAAGAATTGGACCAATGTTTAGGTATCGTCAGTACTAATATCAAAACATAATAAACAGCTAAACACAAAACAAACTTAAATAAAACACCGTAACAACAGACTGTCCATTTTTATAACAATCCTCCATTCTGAATTTGGATTATAATGCAGTGGGTCAAAGATAATATTTAACATAAAAAAATTGTATCGAAATTGGTCACTTTTACATAATTTCATTGTAAGATGATTATTGAGATGAATATGTGGTGTATTTGTAAAAAAAAAAACTATTTTTGTTTGAAAAATATTTGTATTTTTTTAAATGTAAATGCAACAGATGCTTTAAAATAATCCTAGTAATATTCATAAATGTTCTAAAGATTTCATGCAAGTAAAAAAAAATTAAAAATCCTTTATTGTGTATTTGTTTGAAGTATCCTTGAGTACGCAAGTCAAATCTGTAACCTACGCTATGATATTTATCCGTCAGTTGCATAAACGTCCATTATGGTTTAATGACGCATTTCAGCTTTAATGAATGTCAAATTTGTATGGGTAATGTCGCTTTAAACAAATGAAAACATTAATGGACATTTGTGCAACTGGCTGTATATCTCGCATATTGAAAAGATACCAAAAACGACAACTTTTGTTGAGAGTTGCTAATAAACATTTGAGAAATAATATTATGACTTTTGATTTATTTAATACTAGTACATCTTCGGCAAGAAACGCATTAAGCAATAATTTCTTCAATTGCTAACTCTAATTCTATACAAGTAGGCAATGCTTTACTATTTGTATGTGTAAACTTTATTCATATTATTTCTGTTTGGTAGCTGTAGGTCTTCCTATGATATATATATATATATATACATATATATATATAAATTCCGTTATAATCAGTGGTCGGAATTAGGTAGAGTTATTCATGTACTTACACTGATTTCATACAGCGAAAGAATAAAGTGAATATGCCTCAAATCCCGAGATTAATTTTAAAGAGCAGAAAAAATCCCGTGATTTTTTAAATAAAAAGTTATTTACTTTTACACAATTTAAACTACTGCACGCACGACGTTGCCAAACTTACATCAATGACATCGGATGACAAAGTTGCAAAACGCGCGATGTTGCCACATTTGTAGTTCGCACAACATAGCTTGTGAGAACAAAAGAATACAATAGCGCAAATGCGGAGCACTCCCCACTTAACGTAATGTACTAGATTGTGTCTCTTTCTACCGCATTCAAACTATCTAAATCCCGGGAAGGTCCACATTAATATCAACATTTCGATGCAAGTACATAAATAACTCTACCTAATTCCGACCTCTGGTTATAATTAACACGACAGGCAAAGTAACTTAAAATCGGATTATGCAAACCACCGAAATTAAATCAAATAAATTAATCTCATCTTTATTGAATAAATCGTTGATTTTCAAGACGCAATAATGTCGTTATCCTTGATGATAATGTGGGTGTCCGATTTTAGGAGCTCTTGCCTGTGACGATGCCGGTCAAACGGGTCCGTACGCGCCCTAGGACCCGTCGACGACCGCGGCGACGCCCCGCGTGCGACCAAACAGTACGTTACATTACACGGTTAATTTTCACCTACATCTAAAATTTGTGGAAATGTATCAGAATACTGAATTATTATGTGAAGTTTTATAAAGTTCATAATTTGAAATCGTTTTTGAAAACACATAAAACTCACAAACCAGTTATACAGCAAGCCGTGTGCGTGCGTGATATTAATTCCTTTCGTGATTTACGAAACGTGACAGAATATAACATTTTCTTTCATAATTAGCAATGCAAACCTTCCATACTAAATGTTATAGTGAGAGAGACTTTTAGGGTTACAAAGACACCGTTCCTCTCCCTTGTAGGAGAATATAAGACATTATCGATCTCTCCTTAAATTATCTATATTAATAAAAGCATAGCGCTATAAGCAATCTCTTTGCATCACTATATAATTGATTTTTACTTTTACAGGTAGTTGCATACACGTTTTAATTTACAAATTTTAATAAGGTTAAAGCGACATTACAAAAAAAAATACTTACATACTATTTAGTCTTATAATTCTATCCGTGTAAATTTGTGGAGGCATTGCCCCACCAAACTACATAAGCACAGGGGGATATCCGAACTAGGATTACTCAGTATATCATATATAATCATACTCTGAATAATTGCTATATCCCCCTCCACGTTAACTTAAAGTGGAGGGGGATCTAGCAATTATTCAGAGTTTAACTAACTAGTTTAAAAATAACTCTCTGTTTTGTTCCGTTCATATTCTATCAGGAGACGAGTACCATCCTCGATCTGTTTACATACAGACACAATTAGGGGAGGATGCTCTTTTCATAATAATAATAATAATAATAATGTAATAATAATAAAAACTATGAAAACTTTCCAGGAATGTGACCCCACCTAATTCTTAAGCAAAATAATTAAAAACTTACATCTGCAACCTGAATTAAATGAATATTACATTATTTCGAGTTAAAATTAGATTATGTTGAATTAAAAGAGACAGACAGAGAATAAGTATCAATATCTTTTTCGTAGGAGAAAATGGCTAAACCCAAGCCTGATGCAAACCCGGTGCCGGTAGCAGGCGTCGGCGAGGTGGATCGTGCTCAAATCGCTCAGCAAATGGCGGCCGCTCTCATCGCTCAGGGCAAGACCGATGTGTCGTCCGAAGAACTGGCGCAATTGGTGGACGCTGTGGTCGGAATGGCGGAGGCCAAGAAGCGGGAGTCGGACTTGAAGAAGGTGGAAGCTAGACCCGTAGCACCGGTTAAAGCTGCGCCGGCGCAACTCAAGAGTTCGCAAACCTCCGCTTTGCAGTTGTTGCAGTCGGCGTACGATGAAAACGATAAAAGGTAAAAAGTCAATAGGAAATATTATATATGAAGTAACAATAGTCCTTTGTAGTATGAAAATTTTAAATTACGATAATGTCCAAACGCGAAAGAGCTCCATAGTGCGCTATTGCTTTATCTAGACCAGCTTTTCTCAAACTTTTTTGACGATTGAACTATTTTAGCAACCAAATATGCACACAGCGCTCTAAAATTAAACATTAACCTAGTTTGACTCATACTGTTTATAAATATTGAACGACATATCTACATTATATATATAATAATGTGACCAGTATTATCGCTGAAATAATATTATTATTCTATTATTCCATCCATAGGATAGAAAAGGAGGAAGTCACAGACGCAATGGACGGCCTGTCTGATTCAGATTTGGAAACGCTATTGAAGAATTTCAACGAGCTGTCCGCTGAGGAGCAACACAGTTTAATAGCGTATCTGAAGAAACTTGAAGCGCGCGAGCCCGAGCGAGTGGAACGGCTGCGTCAGTACGTGAGCTCCGCCGCCACCGTCACCTCCGCCGCTGCGGCCACACCGGATAAACCGGCTGATGACGTCAACACTGTCTCTATAGAGAGCGACGACGATGATTACACTGTTGAAGAGGTAACACTTTGTTCTGTAGGACGGTTTATTTACGGGCCGTCCATTAATCACGTGATGTTTATTTTTATATTTTTCGACCCCCCCTCCCCCCTTGGTGAGGTTTAAGACTACCCCCTTCTTCTTTCAACAAAAAGAAAAACAAAAAAATCTTATTTTTGACGTCGATTTTCGGTTTAATAATCGCGCGTCGAAGAAAAAATAAATACACGTGATATATTATTACATTATTATTTTTGACGAATACCTACCCTAAGTTTCGAGCCTTACGTGATTAATGGACGGCCCCTTACTTATTTATGACACGCCAACAGCATACACACACAAAATTTACATGAATGAATCGGTCAGCAACGTACCTGGTGCGTACACCTTTAACAGGCATGTACAACATTCACATTAATATAGTACTATTATCAACTTAAATTATACATTACATTAGAAGCTAACAATAATTTATCAAGTGTTACAATGAAGAAGTATTTAAAAAAAAAAACGAAAGCACTAAAAAAGCACCTCCACTAGATGGCGACTCTAGCAAAAGTTTATTTTTGCAGGAAACGAATGGACCAAATACAGTCATTTCCGTTCATTTTTACTAACATATTAAAAAACTGGTATTTGAAAAGTTCGAAACTTAGATATCAATACAAATACGTAAAAGTACCAATATTTGTAGTTGTTTATTGAGTTTTGAAAACTAATTTACTTTTAAACATGTAAGAAAACCGGAAGGGTCGTCATGGAGAAATCAAGAACGTACCGTAGCGACATCTAGTTTGATTTCGGGAATTATTGTTTTTTTTTAATACTTCTTCATTAATTTGAAGAATAACATAAAAAGTAACATTCATTAAAACAGGAGCGAAAATTCGGAGAAGAGAATCTACATCAAATAATTTCAGTACTCTAAGCTTAAAATGGGGCAATGAATCGTAGAATTATATATATGGTGGTTCGACAGGGCGGAATATAAAATATCTTTATATTTGGATATCTTGGGATATTGCGTGGAATCCTTAAAGCAATACAACAGTTCTGCTAATGTTAACGTAATTATGGAAAGTTAATAGCGCTTCATCTACAAACCTTTGACGGCTCTTGTTCATTATCATCGTCAGTCCTTCTGGTAGATAGTACATTGGCAAAATGCAAGTAGTTTAGATTGTATTGTGATGCCATTACTGCGGAGAAATTAGCGGAATAGGGAATATGCGTCTGATTCAAAAAAGGGTTAAATATATTTTATTACAATCGTTATTGCTTTAGAATAAAGTCTATCTAAATATTTTTCAACATTAGTTCGTTTTCGTCTTGAAAATAATTATTAAAAAGTGCAAAATAAATGCGGTAACTTCAAAATATTTAAACGCCATGCTACTTGTCAGAGCGGATGTGACGAAAATGTACACGTATAGGGATGTCGTTGTTACAAAAAGTTAACATCGATGCAATAACATCAATGTATTATGTCGCAAAGTAAACAACTGATTACAATTTAAATGATGTTTTAGGCTTTTATTTCACCAATTTAGCAAATTATATGATTTATTAAAAAAGTCTATTATACTTAACAAAATCGATTAGTTGTTAATCGATGAAGGTAATTGAATAATAATCAATCAGTCAAAATCCATATCGATGTAAAATGTCATATCACTAGTCGTGTACTTTGACGACACGACGAGCGCGCCAAAAATTCCGGTGCATAAACTGCTCGTCGCTATTGAGGCCTCTGTTCATCAATGATTTAATGCAACAGTGAAAGTTTAGTTATTCGGTGCCGGGTATGTTTTTACGGTTCCCTATCGATGTAAGTCTTTTTAAATTTATTTACACTTAATTATCTTTTCTTCCAGGTATTCCAATCTGCGACTCAGAAAGTAAAGGAAGATCAGATACGTCAAGAAATGGAAATAGTGAAGAAGTCCCTAGAGGAGTCTAAGACCGTAACAGCGCCGACGGAGACCAAGCAAAACCCCGTGGTCGATTTGACCAAAAACTTATCTTCGGCAACAGATCTCTTGGCGTTTATGCAAGCGTCCATTCAATCGGCTTCGGCACCGGCCGCACAGCAAGCGGCTGACGTCGTCACCAGTAATACTCAACCGCGTTCCTTCGGTGATTTACCTGAAGCCCCTATGGCTGTACAGGAACCAGGGAAATCTCTACTGTCGACCCCGCTGATAGCCCAACCGCCTTTCAATCAAGGTTTATTGCGAACGCCGCAAAATATTATGAACTACGAAGGTAATAATCAAAACGCAGACAACAGTTGGAACCAAACTCCACAAACTATTGGTAACTATGCGCAGGACGGTGGTTCCCAAATGCACGATAACAGAAATATTCAGAAGCAGGATAATAGAGGGAATTTTTCGCAAGACAATAGGCCGCCGTTGTTACAGAATAATAGAGCGCCTTTGTTGCAAGATAACAGGGGCGGACATTTTCAACAAGGTAACAGGGGACCGTATCAACAAGACAATATGCAAGATAACAGAGGTCCCCAACAAGGCAATAGGGGCCCTTTCATGGACAATAGAGGCCCCTATGGACAAGATAATAGGAACATGCAGATGCAGTCCAATCGGCAATTTCCAATGCAGAATAACAGAGGTCCCAATATGCAAAATAACCCACCTCTTTTACAAAGTAATCCACCCCTTTTACAAAATAATCCACCCCTTTTACAAAATAATCCATCCCTTTTACAAAGTAATCAACAACATTTTGGACAAAATCAACCCATGCAAGATAATAGAGGTGGATCATTTATGCAAGATAACAGGGGGATGCCGCAAAGAGGTTTCGACAACAATTTCAGACAAGATTCGTATAATCAGGGTCCTCGACCAAACTTCTCAAATGGAAGAATGCAAGACAAGAATTTTGACACAAGACAGCAAGACCAACAACAATTTGGTAATCAGAAAAATTTTAGAGGCAGAGGCGGCGGTAGGGGTCAGCACGGTGGTCAAATGAGAGGTCGAGGCAGAGGTGGATTTTATCAAAAATAAGCAATTTCTAAATAAATACAAATGAATTTCTAAGGTATTAATATTGATAAAAAATTACTATTAAGAGCACAGTAGGTGCATTTACGTTGTATGTATTTTACCATTTGTGTAAGTGTTAATAAATGGTCAATGAACTATGTACTTCATTTATTTTTATTTACGTCACCATGATATACATGTTAAAAGTTATAGAGTTCAGTTCATAAAAAGCTTCACATCCCCTCTACTGAATGTGTTAGCATTGATATAGTTTTAAAAATAAAGATTTGATATTTTTAAGATAGATTTATTATCTTGTATAATCTGTTCTCTTCTGAGTCGGTCTGTGTGAATAGACACATGGCAAAAGGAACAGAGGGCTAGTTTATAGGCGCTGTTTTACTTCAATATGAGATAGTAATGTATCAGTAATAATTTATCATTAGCACAGAAATTACTCGTCAAAAAGTTTAACAATAATAAATCTATCCAGTTCCTTATATACACTTTCTTATTTCGTTAGGTATTTCCGAAGCTCTTTAAATAATAAAGTGTCAGCACAAGTATCAGTATCTATCATTTGCCAACTACTATTTCTCGATTATCCCTTAAGATATACCTTAAATAACTGATAAATAAGAAGGGACCGAGAATTGAGCCCCGTAAAACCCTCATCTCAATTGTTGGATCTGGTTTAAATCAGTCCGCATTTTGTTATTCAAATATGAGAAGAAAATATAATGTGCTGTCTCAAAGTCCAAAGAAACGAAATTTCCTAAATATTGCTTTATAAAAAACATAATCATAAGCCTCAGTTAAGTTTCAAAAAGACACGTTTAGTGATTTTTTTCTAGATATTCAGAATTAGTTGCGTTACTTCAACACTGGCTTAGATTGTTAATTGATCTCTTAACAATTGAAGCCAGCGTCGGATTAATATTGAAAAACTAATCTACGGGATTCATAAGTCTTCTAGATACAGCAATATTTTAAGAAAATCTTGCTAAATATTAAGTTGGTTGTATGTGCTACATGGTTTCATATAAACCAATTTATTATTATGTGATATCAAGAAAAACATAAAATCTAATACGATATTTATAATAGTTGGATATTTTACTAATACATAGTGACTCCCGCAACTATATATTTAAGTAGAACAATTAATAAACTAGAAAAAAAAAGATTTTATATTCCTTTTCAGTTAGAAGGTCTAGACCCCAAAGGAAAGGGATATGAAATCGTCAAGTTTAATTTACAGCAATTGTAAAAAAATAAACATTTACTTTTCATAAAAATTGTATTAAAAATAAAACAAGTATTGTATATACACCGCCATGATATAATGATATAAACAGGTCATTTATTCTCTAATACTTCTTAATAAACACCCATTTCTAACAATGCATCGATTTTTTCTGTCTCTGGTAAAATATCAATTTCTACTGGAGGTTCCGACATCACATTGCTTTTAGATTTGGGGTCGAGCGTAAAGAATCGGAACAACTTTGATAGATTGATTATTGAGTAAGCAGAGTGTGTGAGCCAGTCTTCCACGATTTCTTTTAGAGACAAGAATGCCGTTGTTAATTGAGAAGAAACTTTTATTTCTGTAAATAAAAATAAATGTTACTAAATGCCGAATAATAGAAATACATAAAATAATATATTTTCATGTGAACTTACTTGAGTTATTTGCTTTGTTCAAATCAAACAAAAACAGGAAAAAGTTTAGTTGTACATATAGATCTTTTTCAGTGTATTCCCGGAACATTACACCCTTTTCACACTGTCTACATAGAGGATAACCGCCTGCGAAAGTTTGAGGCATCCGTGCGGTTCGGTATCCGCAAGCAGGGTCCTCGCACGATAACCACCCACCGTAATATTGAGTATGGTATTGACGAATTTGCAAAGTCAGCTGGTTCTGTATGCAGGCCAAGTAATCTATAGGCCTTATAGCACATTTATCATTTTGACATTTTTCTAAAAACGATACACTTTCTTTATCCAATTTGACAAAAGTATCTCTTATTCTATTTAAAGTTTTGCATGTCTCACTTACACACATGAAAGTGAATTCTTTACAATATCTGTATTTTTCTTGTTCATTTTCGACTTCATATGTTTCTGTGTTTTGGTTCTCTTTCTTTATAATATGTTTGTACCCTGATGGATCTAGGCCGAGACAATCTGCTACTCGTGCCGGGTCCATTCCTTCGATTGGTTCACATATTCTAGATATCACTGGATGTAATTGGTGTGCTAAATAGTATCTGTAGTCAATTTTAAGTGTTTCGGTATTCTTTAATTCTTCTATGTGATAAGCACGCTGCACCGCGGATTTGTCTGTACCGTCTTCGCAAATAATATAGGGTACAATATCACCCTTTTTAAATCTTCTACTGTTCTTGCTATTTAGCCGTAGAGCCACAAGAACGTGAGGTTGCAAGTTTTTATCGGCATATTCTGTGGGGTTTTTAGTCAATTGTTTTGTGATTGTTAATAAAGATAGAGGAATTTTGTTGCTGACAAGATCATCTTTAAGTTTATTGAGATGCGATTGGATACTTTCTAATCTCTCATCGGCAGATTGCTCTGAAAGAATCTGACTTAATATGAACTTGCCAGCTTCAGCAGCTAATTGTGACCAATCTCTACGTACGATGTCCAGGCCTTTATGTTCCTGAGTGAACACAAACTCTCCGTTTTTATTTTTACCAATGAGCACAGCAGCATATTTCTTTTTCTTCAAAAGCAATAAGTATCTAAACACTCCATCAATATCGAGTTCTATTTGCTTATACTTTTTGTTGATTTCTCTTTTCAAGTCGTTACCGATTTTAAAAACATAATCATAGTCTAGACAGTTTGTGTTGATCATTAAACTGTCAGTATCGCCATATACTACATCATAATTGAGCTTTTGGACAATTTCTTTAGTATCCATGAGGATTTCTCTTCCCTTCATAGTAACTAATGCTGCCAGGGGTTTAGCATAAAATCTAGAATGGGTGAAACCTAGACAACCATACATGGAATTGGCAGTTAGTTTAAGAGCCATTTGTCTTATATTGTACTGCATGTATTGATCTGACGGAAGATCAGGGGATTTCATTAATTTTTTAACTTCACGTCTACTCTCCACTAATCTTCTTATTTGTGTAGGAAGAACACCAAACTCTGCCTTAGGGCCAGGTAATATCAAATTCGCAATATCATCATCAGAAGTCAATGTGCTTTTTCTCTTGATTGTTGTGAAGCATATATTATACTCTTGAATAATACTTGGATACAGAGAATTGAAGTCCATGAGAAGGATAAGTTTATCATAAAATCCTTTTTTAGGGTCTAATACCAAACCACCAGAATATGCAGCTTTTTTCTTTCCTTGTTTTTTAGAGACATTGCTAGTTGTTGCTTCATCTTTGTCGTCGTGATCTTCGTCGGCTTCTAGAGCCTTACGCCCGTACAGTTTATCAGGCACAATGTAATTTTTCTCTGTGAAGGCGTGAAGTAACAAAAATTCATTTCTCTCTGAGCGGCCTCCCATTAAAGTTCGAGACATGACATTACCAGCGATCTGGGTTATTTGTAGGGCTAGTGGAATCACATTCAATTCACACATCATTTTCAAAATATAAGAACAATCTTGCATGCTCAGTGAAACTAACTGTAGCAAGTCCCCACTGTTCTCATAATACCTTGGCAAATCTTCTAGTGCCACATCAACCCTCTCTCCTTCTTTCATTTTCAAGACGTCTACGCATAATGTATCAAGATCGAAACTCCTGGCTCTAATCAACTCCATTGCCGATAGTTTAATGTCGCAAACTAGTCGCCCTAAAAATGCATCTTTAGCAGCGTATTTTCTTTGAGGAGCGACAGATCTCTTTAGACGACCAAGCCGTGACCAGTTGGGTATATGGAGATCCAAAATATTTCCAATGAGTAAATCCTGTTGGAATCCTTGCAAATCGTGACCCACAACTAAATCAGGGTCTAGTTTCCAAAACTGAACCATGAAAAAGTTTAGTAATTCCCTTTCCGTGTCGCATTTTGTAAGTTTCGTGGACTTATATTGAGGCAGAGTTTGTTTGAGATCCAATGGCCAAATATCGTTGCATTTCGTCATTACTGTAAAAATAGGTAAGCAAATGTAATATTCTTGTAAATAAATAAAAGAAAATATTTAGATTTAAATACTTACCACAGAAGTGTTGTTCAAAAGGTGGATTTGGTGGTGGTTTATGTATTGGATAGCTGTTATGTATTAAACAGCTTATCATCAATATTTTCGTCTTTCTTGTTTTGGAATCACTTATTGTTCTCATATTTAACTGGAATTTGACAGTGAATTTAATTGTATTACATTAAAAACTTAAAAAGAAAAACATAAATTCTATTAAAAATTCTTACAGTAGCAATTACTATTGGTGGAGGTTCTAACTGTTCTGTATTATTTCTGATGACAGATATATGTTCGATTTTATCACAGACAGCCTCTAGTTTGCACCAAGACACTTTGGCTACAACATTTTCTGGCTGTTTTATTTCTAGCCAACATGGCCCTTTTATTTTCCTTTCTAGTAACAATGTTTCTAGAGAAGATGTATTTGCACCAAAAATATGAGAGAATGATAAATATTTCTTTCCTGTTGGAGGTGGGGGGAATGATGCCTGAAATGAAAAAAAAAATAGAATAATACTCTATATAATTTTGAAATAAATATTAATTTAATTAATAAAAAAACATAGAATAATACTCTATATTTTTGAATAAATACTAATTTAATTCAATATCAAACTTACAGAATAGCGGACTTCTAAATAGTCAGATTGTGCCGGTATATCGGGTAAGTTAAAAGAATAATTCTTTGTAACTTTTCGTGATTTAAATTCTTTTAAACCCAATTCACTGGCTACAGAACTGTTAAACTCTTCATAGAGATCCATCATAGTGACTTCTTGGTCTGTAGCTTCTAAAGTGATTGAGTCCAATTTCTGAAATAAAAGAACTTATTTTATTTCCATCCGGGCTATGAACATGCAGTATAGGTGAGAGTTGAAAGAGAGAGAAAAATGTTTGACATTGTACAAATGTGGTAAAGTCCATAATATAACAAGAATACTCACATATTCTCTAGGCAACAAGAATAATTGCCTGTTAATATTTTTCACAACCACACAGCATGACAAACTGCCGCCTTTTTTATCAGATGGATTGGCATAAACTTTACCAAATAAAAATACTACTCCAGGTTTCAAAAATCTATCCTCCCAGGCATCCAACCAGTAGAATCTGAGAACCTTTTCTCCATTCTCGTTAGTCTGCATTGGCAATTGACCATCAGACTGAACCAAATTAGGAATTTTATTATCATTAATTTCATCTGTCCATGTACTGGAAAGAGGTTTTAGTTCTTTAGGGGACTCTTTTGCTTTTGGGAAAATATCAAAGTCTTCATTGAGAAATTCCTCTGCCACATCCATTATTGTACTGGAATTAGGCACCGTTTCTTTCTTAACTTCCTTTTTTTTATCAGTAGCAGGAGTTATTTCATCCACATTGAAATCACCACTAAAATCAATATCTTGCGATTGAAACTCCTCAATGTTTTGTGTTGCTGTATCATCCAATTCTTGTTTTATTTCTTTATCAATCATCCATTCAGTTTTCTTTGCTGTTTTCATTTTACTATTTGTTGATTTTGCAGAATCATCTTTTATGTCTGTTATAGGAGCAATCTCATCCTCTACTTTATTAGTTATCTCCTAGAACAAAATGTTATTTTGCTAAAGACTACTTCATTAACAAACATTTAAAGAGAGTAATAGATTTTATACATACAAAAAAGAAAAACATTTAGAAGTAGATTAATACATATGTTTAAATTTTGAACAAAATTAATTAGTTACCTCAGTTTTCACAATGGAAGATGGCGAAGATGTAGTTACTGAGGTGGGTTTCTTAACAGCAGTTGATAAACTCTTGAAATAGTTATGTGCCTCTTTCTTTGAAGATGTAATAATGTTACTCTTCCTTTGAAGAACTTTTGGTGTTATTGCAGTGGAACCACTGTCCAAATCTGACATAATATCTGATAGAATATTGTCATCAGATAGTTTTACATCCTAAAGATAATAATACAATTACTGTAAGTAAAGTTAGCAAACGTTAGCAAGAGGATATCTATTAATGTATATACTTAATCACCTGAAGTGACATAAATTATGTAATATGTAATTATAATGAAATCTATGTAATCAGCTTACATACCTATTTTCAGTTCATAACATAAATAAAATAATTATTTTAGTACAATATAGCTGTAATGTTGTTGCAAATGGTGACTAGTAGGAGCATTTTCAACAGTTTATAGTTAATAATCATATGTGAAAAAGAATGGTAATTATTCAGCTACTTTAACACAAGTGTTATTGCAAAATTCTCACAATCCTGGAGGCTCAAATCCTCCAGTTTCTCGATTTGGTAATTTGCCTGGTTATCACGAAGGTAAAATTACTGGTATGATCTTAGTTTCTTTGAATTGAAGTTAAAATTAATCAAAAGATGTCTATCAAAACAATTCATAATAAATAATTCTGATTGATCATTACTTTAGTATAATAAGCAATTGCTAAAAAGGTATGAAACAATTCCATGATTTTAAATAAATTCACTATGAAAACAAAAATGAACCTCTTTCTTCTTAGCTGGCATGGATCCTAGCAGGTTTCTAATGTTGCCCTTTAAAGATGGTTCAGCTGCCACTCTAGCCTTCCGTTTCTGTCCTCGACCAGAGTCTTTATTATTTACAGGTACATATGTGTCTTCTATTTCATCATCATCATCAAATATCTCTCTCCCGTCTTCTACATAGCCGGTTCCACCTAACAAATAAGCGATTATTAGAAGTGTTACATATTTTGATTGATTAATCAAATATTACTCTAAAGAAATGAATGTAATGGTGTGAAACTGGTGGTCACTTCAAAAGCAGGTTATATTAAGCTTATTGGTAAATTCAAAAAGTTAAGCTAATTTTACATTATAAATGACTAAACTTATTAAATAATCAACATGATAATTACCGTCATCTTCGATCCAATCGTCCTCTTGGCGTTGTAACACCCGTTCTGTATACTCTTTTTCATCTACCGTTTCATAAACATTTTCTAGTTCATCTACATCATATTTGTGTTTAGAACCCTTCCCTTTAAGTTGCTTTAGTTTTTCAAAGGCTGATAAACGTCCGTGTTTATCGACTTTTTGTCGTTTTGCTCTTTGTGCAGCTAAAACAAAGTTAGATTTTATTAACTAGAATATTCACTTTTTTTAAGTTTGCATAACAAATTTATCGTGTTTTACAGAAGATCACCTAAAGAATCTGCCATAATTACATATCAATTATAGAAAAAACTTAATTAAAACAGTTAATTAGGTATTCTAAACAATTCCCACAACAATGAATTCATGACAAGTTGACATTTTATTTGGCGCGAAAAAAGATGACGGTAGTATACGGCAAAGGATTTCGCTTATACAGTCTAGATTATCATATTTAAACTCTTTTTTTATTTCTTTAAATCGATGGTGTTTTAAACGTTTTCATATTTTATTGGAGCTTTTTGGTCAATTCAAATGTCTGAATATGAAATTCACAAAAAGTGATAACCTTCCACTCTGAATTCTGGGAACATGTTTTATGTTTATTACACAGAGTACGACCCACGCAACATTATCTTATTGAGCTATACCTATATTGTTCACTTTCATCAAACGGTCTCAGAAAATAACATCACTTTTACGAACTAAAACTCACAATACAAAATGTACTTAACAGTTTCAGCAACAATTTCAAATTTAAATTATCTAAGAACTATAAATAGTTAGAATTAGCTAATATTTACTTATTACCTTTTAAATGAGGAAGTATTTAAAAAAAAATATTAGTTCCCGATACATAACTAGATGTCACTACAGTACGTTCTTGATTTCTCCATAACAACTTTTCTGGTTTTCTTTCAAGTTTAAAAGTAAATTAGTTTTCAAAACTCAAATTTCGGTTTTTTAATACGTTACTTAAAAAGAACGGAAATGACTGTCTTTGGTCCATTTGCTTCCTGCAAAAATCAACTTTTGCTAAAGTCGCCATCTAGTGGATGTGCTATTTTAGTGCTTTCGTTTTTTTTAGTACATCTCATTCCCTTCTACATTCCATTTATATTTTTTAATTTTTAAAAAGATATATTTAAACTTCCTTGCTTTCTTGTACTTCTTATAGCACATTAAATTATAATGGTAAAAAAGGTTTAATTATTAAGGACTAGTCTGCATGAAGTGTCTCCTTCTTTGCCTAAAACAAAAATAAGTTTTTCTTTCGCGCCAAATCTGCTGTCATGTCAAACTGTCAAACTAATTGCAAACGTACCTATTCTATGAAACACATAAAACTGGCGTGAATACTTTAATTTCCAAGTTATTTTGATTTCAGTGTAATCAGTTTTAAAATATCAACCATCAAAAATGGCTATGCGTGATTATGCAGCCGATAAAGGTGCAATAAACTAAACAAAATATATCGAACCCAATGTCGTTTGTAATTCTAAGTTCCATTGTACTTTTGCAGAATCGTTTAAGAATTTCTTTGTGGATTTTTGTCAAACTGATGATGAAGGAAACAAGTGTTTTAAATATGCGTCTCAACTTACAAGGGTTGCTCATAGAGAACAGGTAATTAAATAGGTATTTGATTTATTTATTTTAGGTTAGGTAAGACATCAACAAATGTTTTAAATATGCACCTTAAATTACAAGGGTTGCTCATAGAGAACAGGTAATTAAATATTTTATTCATTTATTTTAGGTTAGGTAAGACATCAGCTGTGGTTATTTGATGTTTATGTTATCATCCAATATTATTTACAGATTGCTTTTGTTGTGGAATTGGATGATTTACATGAAGCAAATGAAGAGTTAGCAGAGGCAGTTAAACAGAATACCCGCCGCTATACAAACATGGTATCTGATGTTGTTTATGAAATGTTGCCAGATTACAAGCACAGAGAGGTATTATTTAATATTTTAAAACTATACTTTTGATATGAAAATAATTTGACATCTTATACAGAACTATTATTCATATTATTTTCACCAGTGAGATATTTATTACATATTTGAGAGCAAAAACTTATCAATTTTCTGCTCAGTTAATTACTTTGTCTGACTGACTCTATGATTTTTTCGCATAAATTTTTATGATTATTTTAGTTTCCTATTTAAGTGTTGTTGTAAACCTATTTTGAATAAGTTGACACATTTTATTTCAGATTCCTATAGTAAAAAGGCTTTAACTACTTGGGATTTGAGCAATATATGTGATGTTGTCTAATATGTATTATATTTGTTCAAATTTATGTTCACATGTTATACTGGAAAATATTCTTAATGAAAAATGCTCTAAAAATCCAATATGTCCCTGGTTCTCTGATATGGAATTCTAACCCACAACCTTTCGTAATCCAGGCGACTGCTCTAACCACTGAGCTACCCAGGACCTAACAGGGTTGACAAATTTTTTAAGCACTTGTTACTTTTTCCTTACTACAGAGCTATATTTGAAAATAATTTGCAAAAATATTTCTTTCAGCTGTTTGAGTGGATTGCCTTATCATGAGAATTAATATCAATATTCATGGGCAATTGCTCAATAAGTATTACATTTCCCTTTTACTAGCTAAAATTTTCCTATCAGGTTACAGCAAAAGATGCCCTAGATGTGTATATCGAACACAGAATTATGTTGGAAGCAAGAAATCATAGGATTCCTGGAGAAATGAGGGACCCTAGGAACAGATATCCACCTGAACTCATCAGACGATTGTGGGTACATCTTTGAGAAATGTTTCGCAATATTATTAGTTTCATTATTCAAATTATATTTTCTTTTTCAGTGAAGTCTATTTTAAGGATATGTCTTCTTCAAAATCAGTACCAATTAGAGAAGTGAAAGCGGAACATATTGGCAAGTTAGTTACAGTAAGAGGTTAGTACATCAATTAATACCTTTCTTTTTTCTAGAGTTGGGTTGTCATTGCGCCACAATGCTGAGGCCTCTAACTTGATGATAAGTTAGCTGTGTCTGAAATCGTGCAGGTTTGCCTTGAAAAAGCGTATTCACTCTTCATTATATAGACAAATAGTAATAGATGATTCCTAATTAGTACTTGTTTAATTTTTTAAAGGTCTCAAAAATGTTTTTATGACTATTTTTGTGCAAGTACTATTAATCTACCATTAAATTTATTATTCTATATATTTTGTAACAGAATTTAATACAAAGATATAGTCAACAGCACATCAAGCTACACACAAAAGTGTAAAACTTCTTCATTTTATTATAAATATTAAAAAATTTATATAGATACTCTATACAAAATTTTATAATAACTTGATTTGACATATTTTTGTTGCATGACATTTCTACGTACCTACTTCTACTAATATTAGGGTTAAAGATCTATAAAAGTCTATTTAAAGTGTTATAATAGCAATATCCATTGAGTAGCTCGGTGGCGTAGTGGATAAGCGCCGCGGCCCGCGATCATAGTCGTTAAGCAACTTTCGCAAGGGTCGGTCATGGAATGGGTGACCAAAAATATTATTATCTCGAGCTACTTCGTGCTTCGGAAGGCACGTTAAGCCGTTGGTCCCGGCTGCATTTGCAGTCGTTAATACCCTCCAATCCGCGTTGGCCCAGCGTGGAGGGTCAACGCCCATCCTCTTTAACCATCCATAAAGAAGGCCTGAGCCCCTGCAGTGAGGAAGTAAAAGGGCTGGTGATGATGATGAGCTGTTGAGTAGTGTATTGTAGGTCTTATAAGAGCAGTATTTTGCAGGGTTTATAAGATTGCTATTCACATGTTTCGAAGATCATCCTTATAAAATAGGGTCGTATATAACAAGTTTAGTTGTGGCTGTCTTCATACAGGTATAGTGACCCGCTGCACCGACGTCAAACCTCTTCTCGTGGTGGCTACGTATTCTTGTAGTGCGTGTGGAGCGGAAACATATCAACCGGTGCGAGCGTTACAGTTCACACCGCCGCCTGCGTGCTCGGCAGACGAATGCCGTATAAACAAAGCTGCAGGACAACTGCACCTTCAAACGAGAGGATCGCGCTTCCAGAAGTTCCAAGAGCTTAAGATTCAAGAACATGTAAGTCATAATCATTAATTAACCTTTTTTAGCTTGCTCTTGTCTAGATTCTTTTATCTTTGCTTGGCATTGTATGTATGTTTCTTTGATCAGACAACATTTTAATATTTATCCATACTTTATCTTTCACACTACATCTATTTCATTTATAGTTCTCTCATTTTGCAAATTCACTAAACATTTTTACAGTGCTATTAATAAACAAGGTCAGAGTAAATTTACCAAAAAATTGCAATTTTAGAAAGTTTATGAATTAATCCAAATTCATATTATACAGAGAATAAACGAACCTACTAACCCCTAGGAGTATATAATACTCCCGTAGAACCTCATACTAGTTTAACCTTCGCTAAATCTCTGTTTAATAATATGAATTTTGACTAATACTAAGTGCAGTCTCAGCATAAATTTACTCTAATGCAACCCTTGTTTATTAATAACACTGCTAGTGATTTGTTGATTAAGGCAGACCCACTTAAAAAAGAATGTAGTAGTGTTTTTATTTATCGTTTACAGTTAGACCAAATCTGAATTTCATTTGTTACAGTTAGACCAAGTACAACAATGTTTAGAATGATTCATGGTTGTTGGTTACAGTCAGACCAAGTGCCTGTAGGGCACATTCCTCGTCAGTTATCCGTGTATTGTCGCGGAGAGACGACCCGTCGGGCTCAGCCTGGCGACCATGTGGCCGTTACTGGAGTGTTCCTGCCCTTGCTCAACGCTGGTTTCAAACAAGTCGTTCAGGGATTATTATCTGATACATACTTGGAAGCACACGTGAGTTACATTACCTACATAATGATAATTTTAATTAGATACTGGAAAGTGGAAATACTAACTGATATACCAGTTAGTAAATTTTAGTAAGCAGAAGATTAGTGAATATCTGTGTCTCATCTAGTAAAGTAAGGTACAATAAGAGACATAGGATATTCTATTCTGTTTGAAATTGTTCTTGTAAGTGTTTTAGTGTCGGACCGAATGATCAGTTTCGGTTGAGCTACAGCAAAATAAACGAGTTCGTTTGTTCGGTTTACTTTCGGTGACAAAACTACCGTAACTACGACCGAAACCAAAACTGCATTCTCGCGCTGTGATTTATCTTATTTTTTTTTTATCGAATTGTTATACACAATGTTGAATTTAGTTTAGAAGATGTTCATTTGTTTTTAAGATTTTTTTTTTGTTTTGATTATTACTTAATTAGAAAGGGCTTATGTACTTATACAAGTAATTTTCCCTTTTAATAAAAAAAAAACAAGAATGGATAAATTCCATCTAATTGATCAAAGAAACACTTCATCTATTTTTTGTCAATGATATTAATATGTACCAATACATCCCAAAAATCTGAAGCTACTAAAACTGAGACGTTTGTCTTATTTTTTGCGTTTTTCACTTCATGACTCATTCAACTCTCGCTGAGCAAGTACAATAAAAAAAAATGCTCCGCAAAAACAAAGAAAAACAGTAGATAAAATACGATTCTCTTTCACAAATATACATAATACGAAAGAATATTAAATTTCACACTTAAGTCATTAACATGTTTGGAAATAAATACAAAATTAAAGCTAGTTTATAAAATAAAAATATTTAATTTTCACAAATAAAATTATGACATTTTGTCGTCAGTCTTGCATACAGTTGTCATCTTTATTTTAAGAATCGGGTATCAAGATACCCCATAAGACTTGTCAGTTTAGGACAAGTCCTAAACTGAAAATATAATTATATGTATAGGTTGTGACCTGCTTGAATCAAAGTGACGAGAGTGAGATGGCTGATGCGTTGACTGAAGAGGAACTCGCCGAGTTGGCCGAGGAAGATTTATACACGCGCATGGCGTGCAGTCTAGCACCAGAGATATACGGACACGAGGATGTTAAGAAAGCCCTTCTGTTATTACTTGTAGGGGGCGTAGATAAGTAAGTTCTATGAGGGTGGTTTGAAAAATTCTCAGCCTGACCGAGATTTAAGGGTAGTATGTTAACTAATTTATTGTCATTTGACAGCTTGATTATAGATTTAATTGTATGTCAAGTGCCATTGTATTGAGACAAGGGGAGAAAATGTAGAAAAATAAAACATTTTATTATATAATTTTTCTTAGTTTTCTTGATCGGGCCTTGATAAAAATATAATTTAAAGGTAGATGGCGTTGGTTAGATTGGCGGTAATGTCATTAGGTTTATTTCTTCTTATTATAATTTGGTAGATAAGTTATAAGTTGATGCTTACATGAGATGAAAAATGAGCTGATTTAGGAATGATGTCTAGGTAAAAAAATATTAGATACATTTTTTTTTCAATTTAACAAGAAATAGCTTAGACGACAGGAATTAAAGTAGTAGGATCTCGCTATGTCACAGTTTTGTGGAAAATGTACAAAATGTGACGTCATGTGACATTTTAACTCTATGTATCGCTGTAATTTAATGATTATATAAACAAAAAAGACTTGTTTAATATTTTTCAATAATTCACTAGACAAACAAAAAAAGTTTGGTCATTCATTACATACATAATATACCCTATTTATGTAATAATAGACATCAAACAGACGAGGACAGCGCTATTTAGGGATTTTTTGCAGTTTTCGCTATTACTATTACTGTCACATGGCGGGTCGTGTTTCAGGTTACGTGATACACATTTACGAACTTCCAATTTTATTTTTATAAAATAATATTTGTCTTAAAATCAGATCATCTTGTTTCTTTCAACATAAAACTTAATTATTATCAAATTTTAGTTTTTAAGGTACTTACCTTATTAATTTAAACTAGTTTTTGGCGTGCAATCCGTTATTACCTGTCCTTTTATATCATTGTAGGGTATTTGAATTTCTTCTCTTGTCTTGAAAGATAGAAAGGATCTTACCGTAAGCTTAAATAATGTTTTAGACGGCCCAACGGCATGAAGATCAGAGGCAACATCAACATATGCCTGATGGGTGACCCGGGAGTGGCCAAGTCCCAGCTATTGAACTATATCGACCGGTTGGCGCCTCGTAGCCAGTACACCACCGGACGCGGCTCCTCCGGCGTCGGACTCACGGCCGCCGTACTCAAGGTAATGTTTTTTTTTTTTAATGCACGGCCTACATTACCTACGCTGCACCTCACTTTTTAGCAGGCCCTCAAGGTAATGTTAGACTGTACTTGCTCCGGCAGTACATATACTAAAATTGGAATACAGAGAACATTAGCTTGGCCCCTGCGCAAGGATGACACGCGAAATCGTGAAGCGTTCCACATTTTTTTTGAGTCCGGGCCCTCCTTGCCGGATACCGGACTCATACATTGAACCGCAGCGGGTTTTACCAGGTAGGGCTTAAACGTTAACTTGCCCTTTTAAGGAGGAGCCCTGGTTTAAGGCTTAACAAAAAATTTCCCCTAAATCACCCTATCTATGAAAAAAAAAACCGCATCAAAATCCGTTGCGTAGTATAAAAAAGATTTAAGCATACAAAGGGATATAGGGACAGAGAAAGCGACTTTATTTTATACTATTTAGTGATGTTGGAAATTATAACTTATAAATGAACAATAACTTCATTTTACGTTAAAATTAATTATAACTTTTTATTTTTATTTTTGCAAAATACTTTATTATCACTATAATTTGCGGATTTCAAGAACCGAAACGAGGGCGGCCTTGATAAGGCATCGTGTGACGTCACATTTTAAACATCAACGTCTTTGTGGCGATTCCAACCACTACTCATGTTTATTGGAATGTAACGTCACGGCTTGAAATTTGATTGTATCGATTGTATTCGTGGTAAAACTTAAATTTATTAATTAAAATATGTATTTTGGAGATAAATTATCAATTGGAGATAAATAAATCTGATAGTGGTTTAATATAATCATATGTAACTTTTAAATTACTTTTAAAACATAATCAGTTAGCCAGTTAACTAGCCAATTAGCATTCGCAGAAAGAAATTAATAGGTAATACATTTTTTTTTGTGTTTACACTCAATTTCTGAAGTGTCTCGAGGAAGCGTTCATTAATTACACAACGAATTGTAATAAGTCTGGTTCGATGTCAGGATCCATTCACCGGCGAGATGATGCTGGAGGGCGGGGCATTGGTACTGGCGGATCAGGGTGTGTGTTGCATTGACGAGTTCGACAAGATGGCCGAATCCGACCGGACTGCCATACACGAGGTCATGGAACAACAGACCATCAGCATCGCAAAGGTATGTTCTCCATAAGGTCAAGTACGATGCATTTTTTTGGCTGGTAGATTTTTTAAGCATATTTCATTATGAATACATATTTGAGTGTCATTTACATTCATTGTTTATTAAAATTTTAATATTTCATTTAATAGTAGTAAAACTGTAAATTTATTGATAGAAAATCGGTCATAAACCTCTGGGTACAGACGGAATTGATAATTAGCGAAGTGTTTATAGTTTGTATTTTCTTTATATCCGATTTGAATTGGTAAAAAAAGAGAGAAATAATATGTGGATATGATTAGTCGATTGACTTGTAAACACTGTTGATTCGTCCAATATTTCTAATTCTATATGTTCTTCTATACAAATCTGCTATAATTTTAATTTAAACTGTTACTAATTTATTTATAATAATAATAATCATCATCAGCCCTTTTACGTCTCCACTGCAGCGGGTCAGGCCTTCCTTATGGATGGTTAAGGAGGATGGGCCATGACCCTCCACGTTGACCCAATGCGGATTGGAGGGTATTAATGACTTCAAAATGCAGCCGGGACTAACGGCTTAACGTGCCTTCCGAAGCACGGAGTAGCTCGAGATAATAATTTTTTGGGCACCCATCCCGTGGCCGACCCTTGTGAAAGTTGCTTAACGACAACGATCGCGGGCCGCGGCGTTTATCCACTACACCACCGAGCTACTTATTTATAATAATAGCAAAGAATATTTCCAGGATTAATAACTGTCATAAAAAACATGTTAATTAGCAGTATACTTGTTCTTGCAGGCTGGTATTATGACGTGTCTGAACGCACGTGTATCGATATTGGCCGCGGCGAATCCAGCGTACGGCCGCTACAATCCAAAACGTACTATCGAACAGAACATACAGCTGCCGGCCGCGTTGCTTTCGCGATTCGATCTACTATGGCTCATACAGGACAAACCCAACAGGTACACAATATACAACTATAGATAATTACTACAAAAGCTAGAAGCAAACAGAGATGAAGGAACGGGATAATTTTCAAATTTCAATTGTACAAAATCTTGTTGTAATTTTAATACTGCAATAAGATATGGTCACCCTAATAAGTAAGGAAGTCTCTCACGTTCTAATTCTAACAAAATATTAAGAACAAAAAGAACGTTACAACCGCGAGACGTTTATAATGCGCATAGCGTGTAATTTACACATCTATTAACGTCATATGTTGTTTTAAACTTACATAGTCATTAACATCAGAAGGATTGCTACCGTATGCCTTATTTTTTGTTAACATCATATTTTTTGGACTCCATACATAAGATTTACTAAAGTGCTCCTTTTAGAAACGGTGGCCCAATTTGTATGTATTTTTTAAATTTTAAAGTTTATTATAATATAAATATTCTGTTAAGTGGTTTTCGATTTAATCGCATTCCGATAGATATTCTTATGCTCCCCATTCAGTGGCAGGCCATTATCATTCTAACTAATACACTATGAACTTAATATAAAATATCACACACACACAAACATACATACACATTCACACTCACACATTCAAGTGAGTTAAAACTAAAAACAGTGCTCAAATCTTAAATACGTATGTATTCCTCTAACCAAATTAATTTACTTTGAGAAACTGTTAAACTTGCTGGTGCTTAATCCTCAGGTATTTTAAGCATCAGCTGTGTATTTGATTGTAACCCTAAGATAACGAAGCCTAGTAACCCTATTGATGTAAAAAATGTAATAATCTTCTTTTTCTTAACTTTAATGGCACTTTGCGTCACCACAATACTGCCAACTTCACGTAGTAGACCATTACACGATTTAAATACATTCATTCAATAAAACAATTTTGAATGACCAATTCTATCTCTCTGCATGGATTTACTAAAACAACACGTTAAACGATTTTAATAACTTTATTAAGCGATAATTTTATATAAAAATCATGAAGCCAATAAACAATATATTATAATAGGGAATATGCGTCTGATTAAAAAAAGGGTTAAATTTATTTTATTACAATCGTTATTGCTTTAGAATAAAGTCTATCTAAATATTTTTCAACATTAGTTCGTTTCCGCCTTGAAAATAATTATTAAAAAGTGCAAAATAAATGCGGTAACTTAAAATATTTAAACGCCATGCTACTTGTCAGAGCGGATGTGACGAAAATGTACTCGTATAGGGATGTCGATGTTACAAAAAGTTAACATCGATGTAATAACATCAATGTATTATGTCGCAAATTAACAACTGATTACAATTTAAATGATATTTTAGGCTTTTATTTTTATGTCACCAATTTGGTAAATTATATGATTTATTAAAAAAGTCTATTATACTTTAAAAAATCGATTAGTTGTTAATCGATTTGGGTAATTGAATAATAACCAATCGCTCAAAATCCATATTGATTTAAAATGTCACATCTCTAGTCATGTACTTTGACGTTACGACAAGAGCGCCAAAAATTCCGGTGTTTAAATTGCTCGTAGCTATTATTTCATCAATGATTATTGTTACAAAATTTTAGTTTTTCAGTGCCGGGTTTTTTTTACAGTAATATATCGATGTAAATTATCATATAAAACCATTTTCCAAAAATGTGCATATTTCCTATTATTACTTTTGAAATATTATTTTACCAACGGGGGCATAAATAGACTGATGATTATGATAATAACTTGAACAGGGACAAGGATTTGGAGCTAGCGAAGCATATAGCTTACGTGCATCAGCACTGCAGCCAGCCGCCCAGTTCGGTGCGCGCGCTGCCCATGCGGCTAGTGCGCCGGTACGTGGCGCTCACACGCCGCAAGCAACCGGTCGTGCCGCGCGCCCTCTCCGACTATATAGTGTGTGAGTTACCTGTGTACTGTGCTAGTTAGTTAGTTAGTCAGCCGCCTAGTTATTATCGTTGCCCATGCGGCTAGTGCGCCGGTACGTGGCGCTCACACGCCGCAAGCAACCGGTCGTGCCGCGCGCCCTCTCCGACTATATAGTGTGTGAGTCACCTGTGTACTGTGCTAGTTAGTTAGTTAGTCAGCCGCCTAGTTATTAGCGCTGCCCATGCGGCTAGTACGCCGGTACGTGGCGCTCACACGCCGCAAGCAACCGGTCGTGCCGCGCGCCCTCTCCGACTATATAGTGTGTGAGTTACCTGTGTACTGTGCTAGTTAGTTAGTTAGTCAGCCGCCTAGTTATTAGCGCTGCCCATGCGGCTAGTGCGCCGGTACGTGGCGCTCACACGCCGCAAGCAACCGGTCGTGCCGCGCGCCCTCTCCGACTATATAGTGTGTGAGTCGACTGTGTACTGTGCTAGTTAGTTAGTTAGTTGTGATGGTTTCGATGCTTTGGCGAATTAAAGAAAGGCTGACTAGCTTGAGAATTGATTTATTTTATGGTAATAATGGATAAGAACAGAAACTGTAACAAGCATAAAATTAATATAATAATACTTCGTATGTTTACTTAAATATAAAATTAAAATTGTTTAGTAAAACAAATACATACCCCTTTTGGGTTTTTTAATAAAAACTTGGACGCTATTACAGGATATAATTTTATATATATAATTTATAATCTCTATTTTAATCACATATCTTCATTATTATAATTTTTAAATTTATATGATTTAAAATAATATGTTCACAACAGAAGTTTTTTTTACGAACTATATTCATAAAAACGAATATCATAGTTGAATATCAAAGACAAAAAGTTCTGAAACCTAGGACGAAATAAACGGTGGTACGGCACACCGTTACATAGTCAGCCGCCTAGATCAGTGCCGATAAACCTCAAACCCTGTTCTTGTCTGAGGTTTAAGTTTTCAGTCACTGGTCTAAATAAAAAAATATTTTTAAGTGTTATTTTGATGCGGAGTAGTTGAGGCATGTGCGTGTAATGTTATTGTTATTCAGTATAATATTATTTTCAGCTTCGTATGTGGAATTGCGGCGTGAAGCGAGGAACGCGCGCGACGTCACATTCACATCGGCTAGAAATTTGCTGGCCATCTTACGACTTTCTACGGCTTTAGCTAGATTGAGGTGGGCATTATGGATAAGACAATAGGTTATTCTTCTCTGTTTGAAATAATACTTGTAACTTTTTATATTAATTTAGAACCCATGGCTTAGATTAATATATAAGACAAGTTACATTTTATTAAAAGGTTCTAAGATCAATAATTTTGTAATTACGGTTAAAAATCAATTGAATAACCCATTTTCATATTTCACAGGTTGTCCGATGTCGTCGAAAAGGAAGACGTCTCGGAAGCTATTCGTCTCGTAGAAATGTCCAAGCAATCACTTACACATGTGGAGGATAATACGCAAAGGTTTGTATTACTTTGTCTTCGTAATCTTCATGAATCTCAATGAAAGAGACAGAAAAGCAACAAGTAACACATTTGCGTACTGTTTCTTTTAATCTTGCCTAATGTTTTGACTGTATATACTGATAGATGGCGCTAGGTGGTGATTTCATTTTTTTATTATTAATGAAAATGTCTTTCTTTATTATAATTATAAATTTTGCACTTTTATTGTAAATCGATAGATTTTGTCTATTTTAGTTTGCTATATTATTATTGATATGTATATGAGTTATACGTTTTCATTGTTCAGGGGTATTAGTGCTACTGACCGCATTTTCGCTGTTATTCGCGATTTGGCCGGCTCCAACAATACCGTCAAGATAGCGGACGTTATAGAGCGCTGTGTGGACAAAGGATTTAAACCAGATCAAGTGAGTTAATTTTAGTAGAAATGTTAGCATTAAATTATATACACCTTGTAACATTTAGAATGGTCAGTACGGGAAAGTCTAACTATAGTCCGGTCGCCGAATAAAGAGATTTCGTGTAATCATATATCTCTTTCACTAATGCGCAATTATATTTCAATTGCGCTCGAACAGATGTTAATCTAGTTATAGTAAAGTAAGCCTAGAATGTTGACGATATCGGCACTAAACTCAACATATGTTGTTTTAATATGTATTTATATTTATCTGTATCATTCATTTGCCTCTTGATTTCATCTCATTTTGTCTTTGCTACTTGACATTTATAACAAGAAATTTTAAAATTCATTGAAATGGTAACTTATATGTAAAAAATAACTATGCAGTATTTTTTGCTTTTAAATAAATTGTATGTATATTTTTTTCCAAATTAACAAAACTGAAACGTGCGCCATGATGGAGCATCGTGTGACGTTACATTTTAATAAACTAAACGATACAACTGTTAAATTCAGTAAATTAAAAGTAATTTCCAATTCATTTTATTTATAACTATAATTAATAAATAGTTACAACCATTGCTCATGTTTATTGATATATGATGTCACGTGAGTGATTAATTTCGCGGGAATTTCACATAAATTAGTAAAAAATAAGGACAGTCAAGTAGCCAAGTAAATTGTATTTATTTAATGTTGGTGAACTATAAGAATAAAAATAATAATAATACCTTGTAAGTGTATGAAAATAACTAACGTAATATATTTTTTTAGGTGGACGCATGTATCGAGCAATACGAAAACTTGAACGTATGGCAAGTGAATCAAGTTCGAACGAAAATTACTTTCATGTAAACACCAATGAATAAATGATTATGTTACGTCAGCATTATCAAATCACGTGACATTTAAAGAAAATGACTTGATTGTAATGTCATAAATGTGTGCCTGAATATTGTGGAGTAGAAATGAACTGTTCAATTTATAGGAATATGTTTTTACTATCATTCCTATAAAATAATCCTTTGACTGTTTTAGAATTAAGTGATTTATTTTGGTAAATAAAGACATTTCATACAAAGATTTTCTTATAGTTTTTCTTATAATTTGTTACTAAATAATAATTGATGACTGGAATAATTTTGATCAAGTTAAAGTTTGGATAGCTTAATATTAAATATGAATATCAATCTATACTGGGAGGAACAAAATGACCGACACAGCCGAAAGTTTCAAGTTAGGTTACATGCAAACGTTCATTTTATTTGGCAAATATTTCAAAATAGAGGAGGTGTAAAAATGGAGCAAAAATTTTAAATTTCTAAGTGTTTACAGCCCTGTAACGCGCATTCGCAATATCGATTGTGTGCAGATTACATACAACGAACCGCGTAATACATTAATTTAATTTAATTATTTACCGATATCTTAATGATAGTCGATGCTGAAAATGTCCACTTCCTCTCTGAAGACAGCTAAGCACGCTCTTTTCAATGCCGCTGCATGCACGCGCAAAACACATCACAATTCACAAAAAACTAAACACAATCTTCACTTAACTAAACTAACTCAAGACGAACACTCTAGTATCTTATTAACAAAAATTCAATTAAAAATGCACTAGAACAAAACAAAAATCGACAAAAAAGACGCTTCGCAGCGGTGCGTCGGCGGCGATGCGCAACAACACTCCAGCGCAAAAGGTCGGCGGCGACTGATCGGCCGGACAATACCAACAGAATAATGAAGCCGCCTGGCGGCTGGCGGGCGGGTGGGGCTTTGATATCGAGGGACGAACTCGGTTCACATTTTTTTTTATTCGTCTTATATTATCACGCATTTTTTAATGTTCTTTGTAAATACTATTTTAATAACAAATTCCTTAATGTTTTTAAAACAAAGTTCATTTGTGTTAATGATGAACCGCTGGAAGATTTGTGAGTTTATCGAGTTTAATTAACGAGCCCGTTGTTAAGGGAGTATTACCCCATTCAAACATTTTTTTGGAGAACTGCTCTTTTAAAATAACGTAGGTTAATGTTAGACTGAGCTCTCTACAATAATTTAGGAAATTTTAAACTCGGTTTCTTAATTGAGAATTTAAAGTTTAACGTCTCCAACTAACATCACTTGTTTTCGTTTCCGATTTTAGTTTTTTGATGATCAGTTGATAGCAGTTTGATAAAACTAGGACTATTTGACTTGTGAAATTAAAACAACTTAGGTTATTGAGAATAAGCAGTAGAATTTTCTACTTTTTTCAAATCAGAAACCGGCTGTTAGTCTGTAAATCGATTTAAGCATTTTGACTGCCTTGTTTATTGATTGTCTGGTAGAATTTGCATGAAAGCAGTCTTATAAATCACAAACTAGTTTATTTCGTTCTTAGAAATGAAGAAGTCAATGACCGATTAAAAACTTTTCCTTAGTACGTCCCAAAAACAGCTGACTCAGGGTTGAAAACACTCATTTTTTTTCAAAAACTTTGTAATTTAATATCTCCGAAACTATTTGACCTAGACTTATAATTTTATTTACATCATATTAAAGACAAATAGTACTCTCCAGGAACCTCGGGAGTGTCGGTCGTTCTGTTCCACCGAGTATGTATATATTTCAATGAAAAGTGGGCCAATGATACCATTTTTAGCTTTGTTCGTCTAATTTTAGAATTTACGTCTAGACAAGTGTACCTGAAAGGGGTAAGAATAATTGAGTACAAAGCCTGTCAAATTGCTTGACAGGCTTTGTACTCAGTTATCGTACATACTAGCAACTTAATGATTTACCCACAATAGTCTCCGAAATACTGACATTAATGGAAATAATAATATAATAATATTATTATTATACAATAATTGCACTGTAACCCTATATAATTTTGGTGTGCCATTTTGAAAACTTTGTTTTAATGATAAAATTTTATTAAAATTGTTGACGCTTTACCTGTGTGTTATGTGATATCAACACACACGATCACATCGTCGTAAGAAGCGGCTTCGTCCCCCACCTCAAGCTTGTGGTTCGACCGGTGCCCGACACAATCACTTTTTTCTCCACCCGCGATACATTAACGCGTCGTTATAAATTATGTAAAATATCTTTATTGAATATTAAGTAAAACGCATTTAACACCATTAGACATTTTTATTCAAGACGTCCCATCCGTGCTATATCTACATTAAGCCTCCAAGTTTCAACATGGTTCTTCATCGCCGGATTTAAGGAATACCTGCCCACGTTCACTGTAACTCAAGAAACAAAGGATTGCGATACATAGCCGGAACATTACGAGGACGTTTCGAGAAGTCAACGAGATTGTGCATAGCACGAAAAGAAAATTGTATTTAAATTGAAATTGGTGCATTGTGAATATTGAATATTAGTGCACGCGTGACCTTTGACCGTCACAACAGGACGCTCGCTTTCACTTGTGGATGGATAAATAGTGCCGTCGACATTGACCTTGAGTGCTTGCTAGCCCTTGACCTGTTAACCAACTCGTACAACGTATGCCTTTTTGCTAAGAACTTCACCGCATCTCAGCCACGCCATTTTCATTTAAGTATAATCTATAATTTTCAACTTTTTCTTTATTTTATTAAAAGAAAACTTATTTTTCTCCATTAATCTTTACGTGCATTATCGTTAAATATTGTTATTAACTAATTAATAACTTTAAATCATTACTTTCGCTTCGTTAAAGGTAAAATAATTATTTTCTTACCTACATTTTTTATTGTTATTAATTCTACATATAATCATCATAAATATGGATCTAAAAACTTTAATAAAAAAACGATCTACATATAAAGCTAAACTTACACAATTTAACAATTATTTAAATACAGCACAAAGCTGCGAAAGGCTTAATCAACTTCAAATAAATGAGCTTAATGTGCGCTTAACTAAATTAGACGAATTGTACACCGACTATGATAGCATACAATCAGATATTGAAACTTTAACCGAAATTCCAGAGGACCAGTACCACGAACGTGAAACTTTTGAAACCTCTTATTTCGGAGCCATCGCGCGAGCTCGAGAAGTATTGACGAGGAACGAGATAACCGCAGACAATGCTGATGCTGACTTCGCTTCGGTGACAGGTTCTATGACTGCAAAAAGAGGTGGGCCAAAACTTAAACTTCCAACCATACATTTACCTACCTTTTCGGGTAACTATCATGAGTGGCTCGAATTTCGCGACACGTACACGTCACTTATACACTCGGATGATACAATACCAAAAATTTGTAAATTTCATTACTTGCGTTCTGCCCTGAGAGATAGCGCATCTTTAATTATAAGTTCTCTCGACCTCTCTACTGAGAACTACGATATTGCATGGACGCTTTTATGCGAGCGTTACAACAATAAACGCCTTCTTGTAAACAACCACATTCAGGCAATTTTTAACATTCAACCCATTATAAAGGAGTCCTCCAGAGCTTTACGAAATATAATCGACACTGTAAACAAAAACTTAAGAGCATTAAAAACCCTTAACTTACCTACCGATCATTGGGACATTATTATAATATATATTATCTCTAATAAATTAGATTCTGTTACGAATCGAGAGTGGGAAACTTATCGTAACACGTTAAAAGAATTACCTACCTTTAAAGAGTTTATTGAATTTCTTAAAAATCGTTCTGATCTTTTGGAGACAATGGAAGACTCCTGTTCAAAAAGAAGACATAGTGACGTCACTAGCAATCGTCAAAATACAATGTTAGTTAGATCTCGTTTTTCATTGTCAAATGAAACTTCGTACATTTGTTCTTTGTGTAAAGACAACCACCCTATCTATCGTTGTCCGAAATTTAAGGCTTTATCTATAGAAATGAGAATAAAAAAGGTTAAAGATTTAAAATTGTGTTCTAATTGTCTTCGTCAAGGTCACAATGTCAACTCATGTAAATTAGGGTCATGTCGTTTATGCAACAAATCGCATAATAGCTTGTTGCATGTACATAATACACAGACTTCTTCCACGCCTCCACTCGCGGCTGGGACTAACGTCGTCCTCTGCTCCGCGCCGTCGCCGTTATCGGTTCAGTCGTCGTCGTCGTCGTCACATCTGTTACCCTTGCCCTTGTTGTCATCGGTTCAGCCGCTGCCATCATTGCCGCCGTCGTCACCACCTGTGGAAACTCAAACAAAGGTTAGTCATAATACTGATATTACTATGTCAGTCATTGATAAAGGTTGTGTGCTCTTGTCTACTGCTTTAATTCAAGTACAAGATAGCAGCGGCCAAAAACACACTGTTCGCGCTTTGCTAGATAATGGAAGCACGTCTAGTTTCATTACGGAGCAGTTGTGCACCAAACTCAACTTAGAGACCGTTTCTACCTCGTCTTTAGTGGAAGGGTTGAATTCACAGATTTCACACTTAAACAAACGTTGTGAAATCATTATATCGTCTCTCTTTAATTCATTTAAAGAAAACATTAATTGCTTTGTAGTACCCGTAATAACACAACAGTTACCCACTACAAAAATTGATTACACATTACTTAATATACCTCATCACATTACATTAGCGGATCCTACCTTTAATGTACCTTCGAAGGTCGATATGCTGCTCGGCGCGGATGTGTTTTGGATGGTACTTTGTTCACAAAACATTTCATTAGGCAAAAACATGCCAACTTTATGTAAAACTAAATTTGGCTGGTTAATATCTGGTCTAATACAAAAACAAAATTGTTTACATACAGTCCATTGCAACCATATAACTGTTCAAAATGATGAAAATTTAAATGATCAATTAACACATTTTTTTGAATACGAGTCTATCCCAACATATAAACAAATTTCTAAAGAGGAGGAAGGTTGTGAACAAAGTTTCATTAGAAATACAATACGCGATCCCGATGGTAGATTTATTGTTACAATTCCATTAAAAGAATCGCCTAAAAAATTAGGTGATTCATATCAGCAAGCCTTATCCAGATTTTTATCTTTAGAAAGAAGATTCAGTAAGGATCCTTCTTTCAAAAAACTTTATTGTGATTTTATTAAAGAATATATTGACTTAGGACACATGACAGAAAACGTTAACAAACA